ATTTATACGAAGTATCTTCTTTTGCACAATACTGTGCAATTGAATATTTCTTGCTATTGCGCAATACTGTACAATTGACAATTTCTTGCTATTGCGCAATATTGTGCTATTGGATATTTCTTGCTATTGCGCAATACTGTGCAATTGAAGATTTCTTGCTATTGCGCAATACTGTGCAATTGAAGATTTCTTGCTATTGTGCAATACTGTGCAATTGAAAATTTCTTGCTATTGCACAATACTTATTATATAATAATTTACACATCCTGTTTGGTGTGTATCTCCTACCATATCATTATTATTTGCTTTTAAATATAAATCAGAAATAACCAACTTAAAAGGGAAAATTTTAAAAGAAAAAAAAAAGGAAGAAAAGAAAAAAATCCACCCCCCAAATTTTTTGAACCCCCTTATGATTCATCACCCCCAAACTCAATCCCAGCCTTCCCTTTGTGGTATGGTACCTTGCAGTACAATTTCAGAGAGATCCATACACTTGAACACAAGTTATTGTCTGGAAACTAGAAAAATGCTTATTTTTGGCCCCTTTTTGGCCCCCAATTCCTAAACGTTTCGGGCAATTACCCCCAAACTCAATTCCAGCTTTCCCTTTGTGATATGGAACCTTGTAGTACAATTTCAGAAATATCCAAACACTTACACACAAGTTATTGTCATGAAACTAGAAAAATGCTTGTTTTTTGCCCCTTTTTTGGCCCCTTATTCCTAAAATTTTGAGGCAATTACCCCCAAAATCAATTACAGCCTTCCCTTTGTGATATGGAACCTTGTGGTACAATGTCAGAGAGATCCATACACTTACACACAAGTTATTGTCTGGAAGTTACAAAAATGCTTATTTTTGGCCCCTTTTTGGCCCCTAATTCCTTAACTGTTGGTACCATAACCCCCAAAATCAATCCCAACCTTCCTTTCGTGGTATTGAACCTTATGGTAAAATTTCATGGAGATCCATTCACTTAAACTAAAGTTAGAGTGCGAAAACCAATGTGTCTTCGGACGACGCCGGACGACGCCGGACGACGCCAACGTCATACCAATATACGACCAAAAAATGTTTAATTTTTGCGGTCGTATAAAAAGTTGTTACCTTCAAAAATAAAAGAATCCACAGTATGGATTTATGTTAATTTCATACTTAGATTGTCAGGTTAGGTTTTCAACATTTAATGTATTCCTCAAAACCTACACATAGCAGGTCTATATTTGGAATAGTTGATTTAAGCATGGAAGTAATATTTAAAAGGAATTTCAATATTACTTCCATGATTTAAGGAATATATAGTCTCCCAACATATGTCATTAGGCGTAATTTTGGGTATATGGTCTGACCCTTAGCAGCTGAAGATGATAGGTCACCAATATTTGGAATGTGGATTTGTTTTAAATAAATATATATGTATATGTCTGTCCTACATGTGAAATGGATTTGACCTCTCCCATCTGAAAGTGATCAATTCAATCAATTTTTTGGATTGGATCTGCATCTCGGAAATTCTACATGATAGGTTGAAAATATTTTCTTTCTATATGAATTCAAAAAGGTACACAAGACAGGTTTCATTTGAATTTGACCTTAGTTTGAGACTTCACTCAGTTTGATCATCGTTTTTATACGACCACAAAAATTAAAAATTTTTTGGTCGTATATTGGTATGACGTTGGCGTCGTCGTCGTCGTCTGGCGTCGTCCGAAGACACATTGGTTTTCGCACTCTAACTTTAGTTTAAGTGAATGGATCTCCATGAAATTTTACCATAAGGTTCAATACCACGAAAGAAAGGTTGGGATTGATTTTGGGGGTTATGGTACCAACAGTTAAGGAATTAGGGGCCAAAAAGGGGCCAAAAATAAGCATTTTTGTAACTTCCTGACAATAACTTGTGTGTAAGTGTATGGATCTCTCTGAAATTGTACCACAAGGTTCCATATCACAAAGGGAAGGCTGTAATTGATTTTGGGGGTAATTGCCTCAAAATTTTAGGAATTAGGGGCCAAAAAAGGGGCAAAAAACAAGCATTTTTCTAGTTTCATGACAATAACTTGTGTGTAAGTGTTTGGATATTTCTGAAATTGTACTACAAGGTTCCATATCACAAAGGGAAAGCTGGAATTGAGTTTGGGGGTAATTGCCCGAAACGTTTAGGAATTGGGGGCCAAAAAGGGGCCAAAAATAAGCATTTTTCTAGTTTCCAGACAATAACTTGTGTCTAAGTGTATGGATCTCTCTGAAATTGTACTGCAAGGTACCATACCACAAAGGGAAGGCTGGGATTGAGTTTGGGGTGATGAATCATAAGGGGGTTCAAAAAATTTGGGGGGGGATTTTTTTTTTCTTTTTTTTTCTTTTTTTCCTTTTTTTTTTCTTTTAAAATTTTCCATTTTAAGTTGGTTATTTCTGATTTATATTTAAAAGCAAATAATAATGAAATGGTAGGAGATACACACCAAACAGGATGTGTAAATTATTATATAATAAGTATTGTGCAATAGCAAGAAATTTTCATTTGCACAGTATTGCACAATAGCAAGAAATCTTCAATTGCACAGTATTGCGCAATAGCAAGAAATCTTCTATTGCGCAATAGCAAGAAATATCCAATAGCACAATATTGCGCAATAGCAAGAAATTGTCAATTGTACAGTATTGCGCAATAGCTAGAAATATTCAATTGCACAGTATTGTGCAAAAGAAGATACTTCGTATAAATTGCTTATTTCTTGGTCAATTTCAATGGGGTTTTATTCTTGAATTCTTGGGGTTCTTTAATATGCTGAATCTAACCGTGTATTAAGTTTTTGGATTTTGGGCCCCGTTTTTTAATTGGTCCACATTGAGGTCCAAAGGGTCCAAAATTTACCTTTGTTTGGTTTCATCAAAAATTGAATTATTGGGGTTCTTTGATATGCCGAATCTAACCGTGTATTTAGATTCTTAATTTTTGGTTCCGTTTTCAAATTGGTCTACATAAAGGTCCAAAGGGTCCAAAATTAAACTTAGTTTGATTTCAACAAAAATTGAATATATGGAGTTCTTTGATATGCTGATTCTAACCATGTATTTAGATTTTTGATTATGGGGCCAGTTTTCAAGTTGGTCCAAATCGGGGTCCAAAATTAAACTTTGTTTGATTTCAACAAAAATTGAATATATGGAGTTCTTTGATATGCTGAATCTAACCATGTATTTAGATTTTTGATTATGGGGCCAGTTTTCAAGTTGGTCCAAATCGGGGTCCAAAATTAAACTTTGTTTGATTTCAACAAAAATTGAATATATGGGGTTCTTTGATATGCTGAATCTAACCATGTATTTAGATTTTTGATTATGGGCCCAGTTTTCAAGTTGGTCCAAATCGGGGTCCAAAATTAAACTTTGTTTGATTTCAACAAAAATTGAATATATGGGGTTCTTTAATATGCTGAATCTAACCGTGTATTAAGTTTTTGGATTTTGGGCCCCGTTTTCAAATTGGTCCACATTGAGTTCCAAAGGGTCCAAAATTAAACTTTGTTTGATTTCATCAAAAATTGAATTATTGGGGTTCTTTGATATGCCGAATCTAACCGTGTATTTAGATCCTTAATTTTTGGTTCCGTTTTCAAATTGGTCTACATAAAGGTCCAAAGGGTCCAAAATTAAACTGAGTTTGATTTTAACAAAAATTGAATTTTTAGGGTTTTTTGATATGCTGAATCTAAACATGTATTTAGATTTTTGATTATGGGCCCAGTTTTCAAGTTGGTCCAAATCGGGGTCCAAAATTAAACTTTGTTTGATTTCAACAAAAATTGAATATATGGGGTTCTTTGATATGCTGAATCTAACCATGTATTTAGATTTTTGGGCCCCGTTATCAACTTTGTCCACATTGAGATCAAAAGGGTCCAAAATTAAACTTTGTTTGATTTCATCAAAAATTGAATTCTTGGGGTTTTTTGATATGCTGAATCTAACCATGTATTTAGAATTTGGATATTGGACCATAATAGGTGAATGTCCAATTTAAAATTTTTAAGTTCTTAGACCACATTCATTCTGTGTCAGAAACCTATGCTGTGTCAAATATTTAATCACAATCCAAATTCAGAGCTGTATCAAGCTTGAATGTTGTGTCCATACTTGCCCCAACTGTTCAGGGTTCGACCTCTGCGGTCGTATCAAGCTGCGCCCTGCGGAGCATTTTATTTAAAATTATTAAAATATTGAAGCATTTTTGGTGTTATAATCAGTTCTGTACAAAAGGCTATGCTAAAAAACAACACCAACAAATAATAAGTATATTTAGGGAATCCTGTTAATAAAGGTAAATGGAGACTGCCTTAAGCATGCACACTTAACATTGATCATTTCTCTATGGAAATGAGGTGAATGTCAAAAGACTCCAGTCAGACAAACACATAAGAAATTATTGTATAGATTGATAGATTATTTGGTGTTTAACACCACTTTCTGCACTACTGGCTATTTCATGGTGGCCAGTTTTTTTATTGGCGGAGGAAGGCAGAATGCCAGGAGAGATCCACTGACCTTTGGCAGGAAAACTGACAATCCTAGTCAATTAAGATTGTAGTAGAATACACCTGCTATGTGCCATGTTCCAACTCACAACCTCAGTGTTGACAGGCTAGTAATAAAGTAGATGACTACTTCGACCACTGGCCCACTGAGGCCCCTTGATTGAATAGACCAAATATATTTAACCTATTACTCATACAAAATGAGATGAGCTATGTATAAGTTGATCAATGAAACATGAAAATGAGGTCAAGGTCAAATAAAGCCTGCAAGACAGACATGTACACCAATTATAGTTGCCATTGCTTATAGTATCTGAGATACAGACCTAATTGGGAAAACTTTTACCAATGAACAAAAAAATTGAGGTCAAGGTCAAATGAACCTGCAAGGTCTACATTAACAAATTGCAATTATTCTGGGATTTTTTGGCACTTGAAGGCAAGACAAAAACAATATGTAGATATTACACATTCTTTTATTGATGACAAGACAGATTAATGCTCACAAGTTTGTACAGAATTCATTTCAAACAACAGTATAAATAATAATGATAACAAAACAAAAAAGACAGCACTGGCTATAGTAACATAAACATTCCTATTCAAACATATAATGGATTTTATTACAAAATTAAATATCTCCTAAACAATTATAATTTTAGCTTATCGTATCAGTAGTACTTATAAAAAGCAGTGATAGGTTACTTAAAATTCATAGTTGGTTTGCTTGTATATGTTACATGCAGCATTGCACAAGTTACTTAAAGCAGATGTTTGGTTTCTTATAATAAACTGTTATCACAGAGATATGTCTCGTCTTTTTGTAGTTTCGATAATGCAAATGTTGAAATTAAAAATAGCAACACTTTAACATGTAAGTTTTGCAAATATTCAAAGTCAATGAACCATGACTGAAGCTACATGGCTAAACAATCTCCATGGAAATGAGATGTGCCAATGCTAATACAACTGCATACCAAATACCATGGACTTATCATAAGTAGTTCCCTTTAAACAAACCTAAACACAAACTAATACATGTAAACTAAGCAAAATTTCAAGGTCAATTAACCATAACTGAGGGGGCAAGGTCAAATAATCTCCATGGTAATGAGATGTGCTAATGCTAATACAACTGCATACCAAATATCATTGACCTACCACTAGTGGTTCCCCATAAACAGATCTAATCACAAACTAATACATGAAAACTAAGCAAAAGTTTCAAAGTCAATAGACCATGACTGAGAGGGCGGGGCCAAATAATCTCCATGGAAATGAGATATGCCAATGCTTATACAACTGCATACCAATTATCATTCACTTACCACTAGTGGTTCGCCATTAACTGACCTAATCACAAACTAATACATGAAAACTAAGCAAAAGTTCAAAGTCAATAGACCATAACTGAGGGGGCGGGGCGGGGCCAAATAATCTCCATGGTAATGATATGTTCCAATACTAATATAACTGCATACCAAATATCTTTGACCTACCACTAGTGGTTCACCATAAACTAATACATTGTTGACGCCGCCGCCGGCGGCAGAAACAGCATACCTATGTCTCGCTTTTTGACTCCGTCAAGCGAGACAAAAACTGTATTCATCTAACATAGTTTACTAAACTGAAAATTAAACTCCACATACTAACATTATGAGCAATCTTTTGATAAATCATAAAAAAATAATTATCAGGATTAAACTTTTGTATCAAATCAAAATATTTTAAATTATGATGAATTTAGAGTTGCATTTCACACAGAATTATATATGACTGGTATATTTTTTAAAAATTTTGACATACACAAATAATTTGTTTTAGTTTATTGCTCATTTAAAATTTATGTTTTTTAATAATACAATCTCAAAATTTTGTATGAACTACTTACAGTTCCTATACAAGTTTAAAGTTGTTGATTAACTCAATTGAACACATCATAGTAGTCAACTAGAATTACCTAGATGGACAGAAAGAGTAATTTTGAAGACTGGCAATGTGCTTGTTGTCTGTGTTAATTCAAATGGGATGAAACAAGTTCAACAATATAAATAATAACAATAATACTATATTTAATAGTAAGTGTATTTTGCATTTTGTTTAGCTATTTTTAAAATGACATTTGAAAAATCAATTAAAAAAATAATGGAATCCTTGTCCCTTCTAAATTTTCTAAACTAGAGAGCTAAATATTCATTAAAATGTGTATAATTACTCTAACAATATTTCAGATGCAGATGATCCCACAATGTTATCCTATACATTTCTTGAATGGCTGAACATTATATATTTCATTTCCTTAAGGAATGACTGTAATATTTTTTCTGTCTATGAAGAAATAACATCAAAAATGTGGTGCACACTGAATAACCCGCGTAGCGGGTTATTTTAAAGTGTGCACCACATTTTTTATGTTATTTCGAATAGACAGAAAAAATATTACAGTAATTTCTTATAATTTAATTCTGAATTCCATTTTAAACTGGAGTAAACCATGAAAAAACGTTGATGACGTCACGGTCACATGACAAAATTATGTCTATGAGCTGATAAACAAAACAACGTCAGCCAATCAGAAGACGCGTTACATCCAAAATTAAATTATAAAAGAATATATGTTAAAAAAAAGTCAGTTACCGGTATGTAAATAAAAAGATTCAAATCATAATCATGTTATTAGTATTACAATTTCTTCAAAGCATGAATATCAGTATAGGCTATATAAGTATTTTCAAAGTATTTCACACTTGGAAAGGAAAAAAATCTTCACAAAATAAGACTAGAATTTAAATCTAGCAGTGTGAATCCAGTCTAGGGAAATGCAAAGAAATCCTTAGAAAAGTAAACAAATAACAATTCAGATATTTCCAAAATTAATAAATATGAATTCAAAATGATAACAAATTTAAAAAATATCACCAACAATCCCTCAAATTCAAACAGATTAAAAAACTTGGTATCTTATACAGATTTCATAATGCAATGCAAATACCTGAGAATAACAAGAACAAGTGTGTACAATTATGATTCATCCTGTCAGCAAAACAGTTACCATTGTCAGTCAGTGAACAACAAACTGAGATTGTGCTTTTAATTGACAATTTAAATGTACCATGGTATGTATAACTGTATTTGTTTCTTCTTTTTTTCACAATCTGTGTATTTGCAATATTTAAATAAAAGAAGAATGTGTCTAAGGACATGTATGCCCCCGCTCAAGTTTGCTTATAATATGTGAAAATACGTTTGGGACGGACGGTCAAGGGTTATCCTTAATGCCCCCTTTGCCTAGCGGCACAAAAATGAGGGAAAACTCTTATTTATTTGAAATTTTAGATTTCAGTTGACACATCAAGCATGTGCAAGTCTGAGATTCTTTACTAATGTGTATGAAAAACATATTCACCAGTGAATTGAGCTACATCGTACTTGAAAAAAAATTAATTGTAAATAAAACCAGATATTTATTATTTGTCATTATCCTAGGAAACACCTGCTTCAAATTATGGTTATTATCACCTATTTGTACAAAAAAAACAAATTACTTCCAAAACAAAATATGCAATAAATACAATGAAGATAATTATATATACATCAGCTAAAACTCCATAGGGTTAGTTCAAGGCTACAGTTTCTATCTCTATATCTTCTAGTGTATGTCTATTTATAAGGTATTACCTGTCTATTTACAATATTGAAAGACTTTTAATTATTAATTCTAATAATAAAATCATATGTTAATTAAAGTCCAGATATCACAAAGATCACCAGGAAGCATGCATACAATTTAACATGTACAAAGATGATATGCATGTGATGTTTAAACTATTATGTCATTACGGTTTTGCTTCGTTTCAAGGAAATCCCAGTTGGACATGTTATACAAATAAAATAAGGTGTTATTAGAAGTAACGTTCCAACTAATTACATATTTCATCAAAGATGTTGCCAATCAAAAGTTAATAGGTTTGTATTTGTCTCCAGGCTGTGAGATATAGTCTCTGGTAAACTATGATTAAACCACAATTTCTGAAGGTTCTTATAGCTGTCTGGACACAGATGTAAAGGATTACCCCTTCTGTAAAAAAAAGAAAAAACTTCTGAAAATATTTTAATTACATGTAAAACATGGAGTGGGGGAAAAATGGTTAATACTAGAAAACTGACTTTGCAGTGCCAGTGCATATTGATTTTCACAAGGACTGGTAGCACTTATACTCTGATATAGTGTATATCATGTATATGAATAAAAGGAGATAAGGAGCATGACAATGAGAAAGCAACCCAATGACACAAAAAAAAAAAAAACAATATAAAGACATCTACAGGCCAACAAATGATCTTAAACAATAGAAACTGTTGTATACAATTTTTCAAGCTCTAAATTTCCCCTGGTTAGAAGAGTCATGAACGAATTTGATAAAGACTATCATAGATTGTACAAAACTGTTATGAAATAATTCATATTAATCATTCATAAAAGATTTATTACTTGAATATTTTATTCTTTTATACAGCATCTGTTATTTCCTTTCCATATAAAATGTCATAGATATCTTAATTTTATAATTGAAAACAGCAAATTTTGTCATGATTCATAACAGTTGTTTCCTCTGAAAAATTGTAGGTTTTACGCTAAGAGTGTAAAAATCTTTTACCAGGGATTCATTTCAAGACAACACTGTCCATTCCAAACATTTCTGTATAAAAACTGGCTACTTTCGGCTAGTTTTTAACAAAGGGAAACCCAATATTTTTTATTTTCATCTAGTTAATAAACCAACAAATAACAGTAATTCATGTAAATAATGTCTTTAGGCAGAATACATAAAACAATCAAGTGGGATTCACCAACAGAAAAAGAAAAGAAAAGTAAACCCCGGTAAAATGTATGATCAGCAAGAACTTTGAATAATAACAAAATTTCCATAATTCATTTAACCAAAATTTATACCAATTCTAAGGTAACCTTTGAATTCAAATATTCTCAATGACTTTTAAAAGTAGTTGTTATCATCTAAATAATATGCTAAAGATATAATTTCTTGCGTCCTACCTGAGACCTTGGTCTGTTTCTCCATAGCTGTCAAGATAAGGTGGTGGAACAAAGCAGCCCTTTGTCTTACCAGTAAGTAATAAAATCTGACATTCTCTTACCCTACAAATTAAAAGACAGATTTTGATTATAATAGTACATGCTGTTTGAAATAAGAATAAAAACACCTATGTAACATATTAATAGAAAACTGTTTGCATGTTACTGTTTACAATATATATATAAAATATAAACTATCATCAAATTTCCCTTCGGGCAAACTAACCTCAATTTTGTGGCAGTTAATTCAAGAAGGTTGCAAAATGATCAGTTTTGATCAAAACATCAAATGTTTTCTTTTACGACAATAACAGGAATACGTTTATTTCCAGCAATTGCAGACAATCTCAAAATTTGTATATGGTAGTAAACTCTGACAACATACCTGAGAAATATTCCTACTCCTGCACCACATTTGTAAGAGTGTTCAGTAGCAGCACCAACTTTAACACCATCAAGTTCTGTCTGACAACAATAACTCTGAGAACACAGCATCTGTCCACATACCAAACACATAGTAGGGGCTCTTGTGTCATCTCCATTTGATTTGGGACATCTATCAAAGGAACAAGTAAAAATATTTTACAAACTTAAGTTTTTTACACTCCAAAATGTTAATACTGTACAATAGTTTTTCTTTAAGAAAGTTCACAATGTTCGATAAAATACAAAATATGAGTATTAAAATTCATGGGGTTATTCATTTTAGAAGATTTCATGATGAAACTTAATGCCCAACAAAAGGCATATTCAATTTATTCGTAACCAAGGAAGCCAAAACTACATATGCAATGTCTTATAAACAAACACTTTTCTATAAAATCAATGTTCACAAATAAAAGTACTTTATTGTCAGTTCTATTTCAAGAGCCAACATTTTTTTTTTTATTATCTACTAACTCTTTCAGCAGCTATTATATTTGGCAGTTGCTTATCATTTTTTAAACAACTATTAATTCTAAAAGTACAAATGTACGTATCAATGTACTAATTAACAAATCTGAAAAAAATCCAAAGATTGGAATCTTCATTCATTGTACATGATGAATACAGTAAAGTTAAAGTTTTACCTATCCAGTTAAAAATATTTCTCTAATTCTTCGTCAATTTATCCCTTTCTGTGCCCATTGTATAAAAAAAATTTAATCAACGTGTGGTTCGTTTGATCTCAGTTCTTCATTGGTTAAAATACGATTATGACGTCGAATTTTCTTGCTTTCCTCTGAATTTCCTATTGTGACGGCATGAAAAAAGGCAACCATAACTGATGACGTCACATAGAAAGAGCACATCTTTTTGCAGATCATTCGAAAAGAAAGGAATAAATTTGCCTGCGTATTTTTTTGAAAATCATTAGAGAAACAGATTCCACCGACAAATCTCGTGTAATACGATATTTATCTACTCTCGACAGTTAAATTTTAAATATTTAAAACGCTCGGCGAGCCTTGCGTTTTAAATTTGAAAATTTAACTGTCTTGAGTGGATAAATATCGTATCACACTCGATGCAGTGGTAGAATCTATATATAACTATAAACTACAATGCAAAGGTAACACAACTACTCACGTAAATGTAGAATCTCTGTTTATAAGTTCACTGTAATCATCAGGTAAGGGAACAAGTCTATTGATAGGTAAAGGATATGTAATTATCTTATCACTACTGGCAGAGAACCTGTCCTTTAACAAACTGTTACTGCACCATCTGAAACATAATGAAAAACAATATATACTTTGAACTATTGCTCACTAATTATATCCCTGCTCAATGTTTTTGACTTTATTTTGAAATTGGTGCCGTATATCAAGAAGCTATGACTTGTAGTGGCTGAGAAAAATATGATTTTTTTTTCTTATATATTTGCATGACAGAACTTGTTTTTGCCAAACAGGAAGTAGAATATCACAGGAACTGAAAACGTGTCACACAGTATGGCATAACCTCACGAAGCTTGGCGCCATATATCAAGAAACTTATCAGTTGCAGAAAAAAAATTATCATAACTTTTCCTTCATTTCTTTTCACAACTGTGTACTTTCTTCTGCAATATTGCAGTGTTAGGATAAAATAACCTACTGTCATAATAGTCTTTTTTTTATGTATAATGCTTCAACGGCCATTACATATTCTTACTTAATCAAAAGGCATGTTTATAAAATTACCTCATGACTAGAGTCTGAATTATGTCCCCTTGTGTTTCAAACAAGCTGGAGAGAGGTGAGGAAATAGCTAAATATCTACAAATGGGCTCAAACTGATCACAGGATGCTTCTGAAAATAGAAAAAAAATACTAAGTTGAATATACAAAAGAAACTAGATGCTGCTAAGAGTCCGAATTGCTCACCTGACAAAAAAATGCAATTTTGATACTTACTTTCACGTTTTTTGCAAACAATTCTATTTCTTCTAAATACTATTTTATTTTTTCTTTCTTGGGAACAATTCAAAATCGGCATTCAGACAAAATTGTGTTATAGGACAATCTTTCATGTCATATATCATACTTTCAAAACAAGAGATAAAAGTTTTGAAGGTCACAACTCAATCATGTAAGTTGGCAGGTATGCAATCCTGTTTTATTCAGTATCAGTGATGGTGGATACTTTGTTGAAATCTATGGACATTAAGCAATGTGATATTTTAGCAAAGAATCCACCCATATTCAAATCCTTTGCTACTTTTTAAATGACACAGCTGATGGTGGAAAAATCTCAAGTGAGTAGGCTAATTGCCATATTTGAATTGAAAGTATGTTAATGTTAATATTATGTTAGTTAACAGGTATGACAATGAACTTATCATACTGAAGATGGCATAAAATAATATGTACTCATAATATAATAAGAATGTGAAAACATTATATCGATAAATGATAAGTACCCTGAAGTATATTTGGCACAGGTATATTGGTAATGTGATGATAGAGAATAGCAGCACATCTCAGGAATGGTAGACAAGCCTCTTTGACCATCTGAGTTACCTGCCATGGCTGGGGACTAGTCTGCTTTTGTATACTGTCAAAAGGAAGCATTAATCAGATTATTGTACATATATCCATTACTTTTTTCCCCATAAACAATTATATATGAAAAACAAGTAAACATCATTTCTTGAAATTCAATTTCTCGTTATTTTTCAAATGGTGAAAAGTTCAAGCTAGACAGTACTATTGCAATGAATGTTATACAAAATTTCTATCAAAACCTGGATTATTCAAAAATATTATATATTACAATGTGTCAAAAAAAAACCCAATCAAAACCTGGATTATTCAAAAATATTATATATTATAATGAGTCAAAAAAAAAAAACAATCAGCAAAAACATTGTTGAAAGATTATATAAATGGAAACATTTACAAATTCAAAATCTAAAGTATTTCCGTTTCAGTTTCTGATGAGAAAGGTAATAGATTGATTAAAATTTCCTCTCTTATAAAAAAAAAACCTGTATATGTTATATAACAGAATTATTCCTACCCAGCCAACTGCCTAACATTGGTGTATATTTCCAGCATTTTCTGATCATCAGAATCTGTTTCAACTTCCATTGCACCTATAAAACAAAAGAAATAGAATACTTTGGTCCTGATAATGCACAATTTAGCAATTTAAAATCTGATTTATTATTTATCTAAAATATTTAAATAATATAATTTGTAACATGACTAATCCCCAGTAACCAGAATGATGACCTTGATTTTCAGGTTGATATAAGTAAAGAAAGTAATTAGCAAGTTTTTAGAAAATTTGTTACCCTTAGTGTTTATTCTGCAAATTTCTTTGATAGAAGCAGTACGTTTGGTAAGTATCAACTACCATGGAACTAGTCAATAAGGGAAGAAATATTAGAAAGTGAAAAATATATTATGTTAGTAATCCTTACAGTAAAATCAACTTACTTTGAGAAGAAATATCACAGACAAGCATTATCTGCACCAAATGAGCTGTAAACACAAGCTCTAAAGCATGATGATTGTTAATTCCTCCAGTGGGAATGATTGACAAAGGTGACCTTTGACCTTCAACATGTAGTGAAGGAAGGGTCATTGTCAGCAAAGTCAGATAATGAAATAAGTCAACATCAAGTATGCACATGTTTTCATTGGCTTGTGTAGAATCCATTATCAAAACTGAAAGAAGAAAGAAAGTACTGGTAACAAATAATATTCCTTTTTAAATGAAAGAAGAATGTGTGATAAGGCCACTGTTTTGCCTTTTTGTGAAAATCAAAATGTACTACAAATCTAACAAATAACATCCTTTAGATGTTCATAAGACATCAGTCTGTCTGACAACAGTATTTATATTTTTGAACTTTGTCTCACATATTGGCATTAGGTCTTCAATGATCAAGAGCTTTATGAAAAAAGATATTTTGCAACAAATGTATTTAACAAATGTGTGTAACATATCTTTTTCGGTTAAGCTCATGCTCATATATATTTTGACCAAAATCTATGCAATAAATGGCCATTTTATGTCAATCATGTAACATTTTCATGTCATAGTGACATTATTAGTGACCTTTCTGTATCAAATTTTCCTGATTGAAGCAACTGGTTCAATAAAATCTAAATAATTTTGAAAGGCTTGAGTACGTTTACTATTTTTTACAATTTCAGGAGGGAAATAATGGCTTTTTTTATACCCCCTCCTTTACCTTCAGACATGTGATGTTTTATTACATTTCAAAATTCATCTTCATGTATTAAACGTCAATGGCAATTTCTGTTAAAACTTGATAGGTGGAGGTTATCTAAATTTAAATATTATGTTTACTTTAGTGGTAATCAAAATCAATCTATATCTCATTGATCTCCTTCCTCCTTTAACTGATTACCAATTTCCTGAATGTCAAATTTGTGTAGATTGAAACCTGATTAACAGATGTTCTAATAAAAGTCAATTTCATGTGTCTCCATTAAATCACAAGCAATAGAAAACAATTCTACCATAGTAATGCATGGCTAAGTTTGCAATCTAGTTATACTAGTCTTTCATCAGATAATGAATTTCAAATGTCTTTTTCATTGCTTTCTAACGTCAACTTTGGTACAATGGTATGCTAGTTAATTAGATAGACTATAAAAATTAACAATAATTAACAATGATTTTTAATGAAATTTTCTGAGCATGTATCACTGGTAAATACCTCCATTTTGTTCTTCCTATCTCATATATATAAATATATCATATCATACTTTTTTATCTATCATTTGCTTACATTTTGCAAACAAAAACCCATCTTTTTTTTATAATTTGAAGTATTTTCAGAATAAACAAACCATAAAAGATCATGAAAAAAAATAATCTTAAACTTACATGACAGTACTTTGAGACAATGCTGTTTGACCAAGTCTGAATTCATCACTTGACCACATACAGCAGCAAAACGTACTAATGAACCCATACAATCTGACTGTCGTGAGGACAATGATCCAAACAATGGTTTCTGTTCATGTCTCAACATTTGTTCTGAAATCAAAGTTAATTGAGTTAAACATAGAGATCGATTTTAGTATTAATCCTTTATATCAACTATTAATAAAAGAACAGAGTTCTAATGTCCCCCTGTTGTACATATTTTATATGTTCAAGGGCAATACCTAAAAAACAATAAATATCTTAAAGAAATGAAGGCTTGAGAGCAAATACAATGCAATTTCTGATATAATTAATATCTACAAGGGCATAACTCTTTTAAAGTTATTTGATCGGCACTGATTTGTCCAAGATAAAGCTGATATAAATTTAATAATAAAAATCTGGCAAAAGTTGTACATGTGAGAGGACTTACAATGCAAAGGAGATGGTACAGTAAGGGCTAGTTTTGGCCTAATATTCGAAGTACATCTAATGAAAGATTCTTGACATTTTTTAAAGACTTAAGTGTCTACTTCAGTCGATTCAATTAGTTTATGTAAAAGATTTGAACTGATTTGGTCATTAGAGAAGCTCAAATTCACGCTTAAATATGCAAAATCTATCAAATATGCCATAAAACGTCATTTTTCAGATGGTTTTTGTCTAAAATGAAAGTGGCAGCATTCGTTTTCAGTCTCAACCTTTATATATGTTATGTATTATCATCAAATACAACATATATTTAAATACTAAGACTGAACACAAATGGGGCCACTTCCATTTTAGACAAAAACCATCTTAAAATTAGCATAAATGCTAAAATTGTGAAGATTTCAGTAATATTGCACGAATTTATGATGCTATTACCTAGTGCATGTGCATTGTATTGTCAAAACCAGCACATATACATGAAACAGAATTATTCTACATTACAATAAATAGCTAAAAGTTTACATTTTAACATATTGGTAAAAATGCTATATTTTAGGGCCAAAAAGGGGGTCTTACCGAGCCTACTCCTTTCCATATAACTAATATTTCCAAGGGGCCCTCTTTTAAAAATATATGATCGGCACTGATTTTCAAATTTGTCTGAGACATTTCTGATATAAACCTATGATATAAGTTTCATAAAAATCTGGCAAGAATTGAACACATGAGGGCGCTAACAATGCAATTTTCCATATAATTAATATTTCCATGGGCCATAACTCTTTAAAATAAACAGCTGCGCCATGAGCGCATGATACGCTTGTCGTCCTGTGTGTGAATTTTTATGCAATAATCATAAATAGTTTCTGACATATGGCGCGACATGCGAATACCCCCCTTTTTTTTACAAAAAAACTCAATATCTCTAAAATAAAATTTTGAATCAAAACCAAAAAGTATACAGATCTTTAGATTAATATAACTAAGAAGTGTGTAAAATTTTAAGCAATAATCATAAATCGTTTTTGAGATACGGCGCGACATGTGAAAAACCCCTCCCCCTTTTTTTACAAAATACTCAAAAATAAAATTTTTCATCATCACTAAAAAGTATACAGATCTTAAGATTAAAATAACTAAGAAGTGTGTAAAGTTTTAGGCAATAATCATAAATTGTTTTTGAGATACGGCGCGACATGTGAAAAAAAACACACACCTGTTTTAGTTACTAAGTCCCGTAACTCAAAAAGTTTTAATCTTATTTTCACCAAAAGGTATACAGATCTTTTGACCATCATAAGAAACAACTATCTTAAGTTTCATGAAATTTGGATAAGTCATTCTCAAGTTACGGTGCGACATGTTTACGCTGGACAGACAAACGGACAGACGACATTTGTATACCATAATACGTCCCGTCAAAATTTTGACGGGCGTATAAAAATGTTGATCGCCACTGATTTTTGAACTTGTCCAAGACAATGCTGACATAAACCTAAAATATAAGTTTTATAAAAATCTGGGAAGAATTGTATAGGTTAGAGTGCTTACAAGACCGGACTGAACAGAAGCATGGACAGACTACCAGAATTTCTACGTCCGCCTACACACGCATTAGGGACAAAAAAGAGTTGCAATATGTATGGTCAATGCCAATAAACACATTAATGACAAAAAATATTTGATATGCTTTAAAGAGTATATATATTTGAATGCTAGTAAAGAAATATGACAAAAAAAAGGCACATATCTTCAATGTATTCAAACAAAATTAAAATTGTTTGAAGGCTCTGGGAGTAGTTGACTACATATAATAGTAACTCTCTTTTCCTGCTTAGCCAATAGGCCCAAACAGTTCTGCCCTAAAAGTTCAGAGTATTTTACTGTTAAAGAAAAAACAAATTACAAAAAAACACAAAGACAAAGACAAAGAACTAACCTATGGACTGTATGGTAAAGGCACAAGTATTCCAAGCCATAATTGGAACTCTAGGGTTTGTTTCATCTGGTTCCACTCCTAATCCAAACTGTAATATATTTTTAAATATTTATTGTATTAAACATTCTTCCAACTAATAAATAACAAATCTCAACTGTATTAAAGTCATATTTGATGACTTTCAGATTTCCACACTTAAAAAACATATATGTATGTATAAAATTATAAAAACAATCTTAATAAAAGACAAAATGCACCTAAATAAAGGTTACATGCAACTACAAAGGACCAGAAACAAATAGAAAACCAACATTACTTTATGATTTGCTAACAACATCTTATCGATTATAATTTTCATGAAAATGTAAAAGAGCTAATAATGAAGACACATAATTGTACCAAATCAAAATGTAAGAATACAATCACTACTCACAGAATAAGAATCTGAGGCAAACTTCTTGATCATGTCCTTCATGCTGTCAGAGAACTGTTCACTGAAAAATATACAGTAGTGTAATTTATAGAAAAATAGACAGCAGTGTTATATAGTGAAAAATATACAGTACCAGTAATCAACAACAAAAGTTGGTGGTGTTGTTTACTGACTTTTATCAAACCTTATTATTATGAAAAGTTTATGAGTGGTTCAAATTACAATCACATTACGTTGATAATTGTAAAGTTTCCTTTGTTATCCACACAAATTCCCCTCCCTAGGGTGACAATAGTATTGTTACCCTCATGGCAACCCCAAATGTCATCAACCAGGTGATTACTGGAAGTTATCTGCATTAGATTGAAAATTCATTGTCACTCCATTAGTTGTCGCTGTAATAAAATATCTCATAATGTTGATGTCTGATAGTTATCAAATCCTGGTTGCTACCACTTACTTAAACTAAAGCCATGTTTTTTCCAGTTGGATAAAAAAATAAATAGAGAATGTGTCCATGGGACAGATGATGCCCCCGCTTGCAAATGTTATAAAGGGACATAACTCAAGAAAGGTAAAAGTCACATCATCCAATTCAAACTTGATCCCAGTTTTGTGGTAATAAGCATTGTGTATAAGTTTCATAACATTTGGTTGAGGCAAACTTAAGTTACAGAAGGGAAACAAAAAATTCAGCAATAATGCTGAATTTTTCCATTTCTAAAGGGGCATAACTCTAGAACGGTAAAAGAGAAAACACCCAAGTTCATACTTGGATCTGTGTTTTGTGGTAATAAACATTGTGTATAAGTTTCATAACATTTGGTTGAGGCAAACTGAAGTTAAATAAATGGGGAATGTGTCCATGGGACACAGATGATGCCCCCGCTTGCATATAACGTTATAAAGGGACATAACTCAAGAACTGTAAAAGTAACACTATCCAAATTCGTACTTGATTTGAGTTTTGTGGTAATAAACATTGTTTAGAAGTTTCATAACATTTAGTTAGGGCAAACTTAAGTTAGAGAACGAAACGAAAATTTCAACAATTTTTCCATTTGTAAAGGGGCATAACTCTAGAATGGTAAAGTGACGCCACCAAAATTCAAACTTGATCTGTGTTTTGTGGTAATTAGCATTGTGCATAAGTTTCATAAACATTTGATTGATGCAAACTAAAGTTAGAGAACAGAAACCAATATTTCAGCAATTTTTCCATTTGTAAAGGGGCATAACTCTAGAACCGTAAAAGTGACGCCACCAAAATTCAAACTTAATCTGTGTTTTGTGGTAAAAAGCATTGTGTATATGTTTCATAACATTTGGTTGAGGCAAACTAAAGGTAAAGAACATAAATGAAAATTTCAGCAATTTTTCTATTTGTAAAGGGGCTTAACTCTAGAAAGAAAAATTCAAACTTGATCTGTGTTTTGTGGTAATAAGCATTGTGTATAAATTTCATAACATTTGGTTGAGGCAAACTAAAGTTAGAGAACGGAAACCAATTTTGGGACGTACGTACAGACAGACAAGGGTAAAACTTAATGCCCCTCCGTTAAGGCGGGGGCATAAAAATGGAAATCATTTCGGGACATATGTACAGGCCTATAGACGGACAAGGGTAACACTTAATGCCCAATCCGCCGTGGCAGGGGTATAAAAATTACAGCTATCATTTTGAATGGACATTCAGAATTGTCCACTTGTGAAAGTTGTTTTCCAATAAAGAATAAATAAAATGCTCCGCTGGGGCGCAGCTTGATACGACCGCAGAGGTCGAACCCTGAACAGTTGGGGCAAGTATGGACACAACATTCAAGCTTGATACAGCTCTGAATTTGGATTGTGATTAAATATTTGACACAACATAGGTTTCTGACACAGAATGAATGTGGTCTAAGAAACTAGAAAAATGTTTGTGTTTTTGCCCTTTTATGGCCCCTAATTACTAAAAATTTTGAGGGAATTACCCCCAAAATCAATCCCAGCCTTCCCTTTGTGGTATGGTACCTTGCAGTACAATTTCAGAGAGATCCATACACTTGAACACAAGTTATTGTCTGCAAACTAGAAAAATGCTTATTTTTGGCCCCTTTTTGGCCCCTTATTCCTAAACTTTTTGGGCATTACCCCCAAACTCAATTCCAGCTTTCCCTTTGTGATATGGAACCTTGTAGTACAATTTCTTAAAGATCCATACACTTACACACAAGTTATTGTCATGAAACTAGAAAAATGCTTGTTTTTTGCCCCTTTTTGGCCCCTAATTCCTAAAATTTGGAGGCACATCCCCCAAACTCAATCCCAGCATTCCCTTTGTGATATGGAACCTTGTGATACAATTTCAGAGAGATCCATACACTTACACACAAGTTATTGTCATGAAACAAGAAAAATGCTTGTTTTTGGCCCCTTTTTGGCCCCTAATTCCTTAAATGTGGAGGCAATTACCCCCAAAATCAATCCCAGCATTCCCTTTGTGATACAGAACCTTATGGTACAATGTCAGAGAGATCCATACACTTACACACAAGTAATGTCTGGAAGTTACATAAATGCTTATTTTTGGCCCCTTTTTGGCCCCTAATCCCTTAACTGTTGGTACCATAACGCCCAAAATCAATCCCCACCTTCCTTTTGTGGTATTGAACCTTATGGTAAAATTTCATTGAGATCCATTCACTTAAACTAAAGTTAGAGTGCGAAAACTAATGTGTCTTCGGACGACGACGCTGACGACGCCAACGTCATACCAATATACGACCACAAAATTTTTTTTGCGGTCGTATAAAAAGGAACATGAAACAACCTTTTTCCAATTACATATAACAGCTTCCAGTTTAATATATATCCACAATGTTTGTAAATGTTGTTTAAGTAACATTCATACCTGCCATCCTCAGAGACATAGTCCCACAACAACTGGAAATTTCTTGCTACACTCTCAGCCAGCATCCTTGTTACCACTGGTAATGGACATGGTTTGAATAACAAGGAATCTTCTAAAATATAAAAAAAGAAACTCTCTTTCATCTAATATCATTTGTGTATGGATATACAGTCAAACCTGGTTGTGTCAAAGTCGAAGGGACCGGACCAAAGTATTCGACACATCCGAGGTTAGACTCATCCGAGGTCGAGTGTGTCTTCATAAGTTTGGAAAGCATGAAATACGATATGATTTGTGTAAACTAGATACAATGAACACTGTGCCTTTTTTTCGATATGACACTTTATGATTGTGTATTCAATCTCCATTTTTGGTCCTTCATAATAATTAAACACACAAGTACAGATACAAATCATGCACAAATAAAATCAATAGTCTACACAAATATTTACAAAGGTCAGTCACTATAAATTATGAAATCACTCGCAGAACGAATTAAGTTATGAACGGTCTCTGATGAGCCAGAGGTCGTCTGCTTTACATTAAATTATCATGAATTTATCATAATTGTCCTAATTCTTTTATTTATTATAATTAATGAGTTTTAAATCTAACGATTCATTTAATCTCGGCTTGGGTCATTTAAATTCGTTTTGTTTTTATCTGATGTGAAAAATGTTCAACACTCTAACATTCCGCTTGAACGATCAACCAAAGGTGTTAATTACCGGTCATCATAAACATTTCATTTTAACTGTTATACAAACAAGTATGTTTACTCAGCTTTAATCTCTTTGGAAAATGATTTGGTTACATAAGAAATACATCCGATTTGAATTGTTATCATTAGGTCTGCATCTTTTGAAAATTCTTACTTTCGAACTTCGAGTCATCGTGGTCAATTTACATGAATTTTACATCGACGGGACTATAAAATTTACTCGACTTAAACGAGTATTCGAATCAACCGAGTTTGACTCATCAGAGGTAATTATGCATTGATCAAACGGGAATTTTACCGGGACCAAGAAATTACTTCGACTCATCCGAGTTTTCGACACAACCGAGTTCGAAACAACAAGGTTCGACTGTAAAGGAAAATTTGGTATTTTTTTCTCATAATCAACCACATATTCCCTTTTTTGTTTATAAAGTTAACATTTTCCAAAATCATTGTAGCTGAATAATTATGTAATACATATCTAAAGAATTTCATATACATGTATCTAGATTAATAAGGCTAAAGATGGCAAAATACAACACTGGAATAAATCAAGTAAGACCTGAAACAGTTCTTTGAGATGTTTTCTCAGATAACCTTAATACGCATCATTAAAATATTACATGTATCTAATACTGGCAAGTAGTTACATACCAGTTTATGTAATCATCTTTTAGAGGTTATTTACCATAATGTGCATTCTCATATGTTTTCTCACCTCTGTTCTGCAGTATACTGCAGATGAATTAATCAATAAATAAACCCTTATCTTCGATGCTACATCATTCTGGATAGTTTTCTGTGGACTATCAGTACAACCATTCCTTTTAATTTGATCCCCATTTTTCTATACATTTTCTCAAGCTTTCTGTATACTTTTCAATAAAGTTTTGTGTAAAGCCATTAATTCGGTCATATTTACCTTGATCTTCATTTTCTTTAGCTTTCTCTATACTATGCTGAACAGTTTTCTGCAGGCCATCAATCCAATCATTAAAACTTATATAAATATTTTTTTGATCACTGAAACGAATACAAAGTTGTATAGTTTATTCATAGGCTACAACATCAAGACATAAAAAAAATAAATTGCTCCGCTGGGTGCAGCTTGATACGACCACAGAGGTTGAACCCTGAACAGTTGGGGCAAGTATGGACACAACATTCAAGCTTGATACAGCTCTGAATTTGGATTGTGATTAAATATTTGACACAGCATAGGTTTTTGACACAGAATGAATGTGGTCTAAGAACTTAAAAAATTTTAATATACCTATTCAAACCATATCATTATTATTTGCTTATATATATAAATCAGAAATAACCAATTTAAAATGGAAAATTTTAAAGAAAAAAAAAAGGAAAAATATCCCCCCCCTCCAAATTTTTTGAACCCCCTTATGATTCATCACCCCCAAACTCAATCCCAGCATTCCCTTTGTGGTATGGTACCTTGTAGTACAATTTCAGAGAGATCCATACACTTGAACACAAGTTATTGTCTGGAAACTAGAAAAATGCTTGTTTTTTGGCCCCTTTTTTGGCCTAAAATTCCTAAACGTTTAAGGCAATTACCCCCAAACTCAAACCTAGCTTTCCCTCTGTGATATGGAACCTTGTAGTACAATTTCATGAAGATCCATACACTTACACACAAGTTATTGTCCTGAAACTAGAAAAATGCTTGTTTTTTGCCCCTAATTCCTAAAATTTTGAGGCAATTACCCCCAAAATCACTCCCAGCATTCCCTTTGTGGTATGGTACCTTGCAGTACAATTTCAGAGAGAGATCCATACACTTGAACACAAGTTATTGTCTGGAAACTAGAAAAATGCTTATTTTTGGCCCCTTTTTGGCCCCTTATTCCTATAAAACGTTTTGGGTAATTACCCCCTAACTCAATTCCAGCTTTCCCTTTGTGATATGGAACCTTGTAGTAAGAAAGATCCATACACTTACACACAAGTTATTATTATGAAACTAAAAAATGCTTGTTTTTTGCCCCTTTTTTGGCCCCTAATTCCTAAAATTTTGAGGCAATTACCCCCAAAATCAACCCCAGCATTCCCTTTGTGATATGGAACCTTGTGGTACAATGTCAGAGAGATCCATACACTAACACACAAGTTATGTCTGGAAGTTACAAAAATGCTTATTTTTGGCCCCTAATTCCTTAACTGTTGGTACCATAACCACCAAAATCAATCCCAACTTTCCTTTTGTGGTATTGAACCTTATGGTAAAATTTCATAGAGATCCATTCACTTAAACTAAAGTTAGAGTGCGAAAACCAATGTGTCATCGGACGACGACGACGCCAACGTCATACCAATATATGACCACAAAATGTTTTTGCGGTCGTATAATTATAATGAAGTAGAGATTTTTTTTAAGGTTTATAAAATATATATAATCTGCACATGCTTGTAAGTGTCTTTCATCTTTCATACCAAAAATCGAATTTGCAAGATGCAATTTAGTCTGGTGCACTGCATATATATATGTTTCAAGCCTGATAACATGTGGTAATTAAATTCCCATAAAAATAAAGATTTTACATCATTTGGTCTTTTGTGGAGAGTTGTCTCATTGGCAATCATAATGTCACATCTTCTTATTTTTTTATTAACAGAACCTATTCCTACCATACTTTACCATACAATTTAGTTATGAGGTCTTTAAAACTATTTATCTAAATTGCAAGAGCTAAAATACTACTCAGTTGTTTGTATGATGTTTATACAACCAGAGCTTTTTACATGATAGACATACCTTTCTTTACAAAGACTAGAAAGAACAGGAACAATAGGTATCACAGTATTGCTTATACATTCACACAGTGGACACAGGAACTCACTGTTATCTACATTATAACTCAGACTAGGTCTAAATCTAAATGGTCTACCTCGTCTCTCCTTTGCCAGTAATGCATCGAAAAACCTAAAAAGGAAAGAAATTATCAATAAATGCTCCGCTGGGGGCGCAGCTTGATACGACCGCAGAGGTCGAACCCCAACAGTTGGGGGCAAGTATGGACATAACATTCAATCTTGATACAGCTCTGAATTTGGATTGTGATTAAATATTTGACACAGCATAGGTTTCTGACACAGATTGAATGTGGTCTAAGAACTTTAAATTTTTTAATTTACCTATTCAAACCATATCATTATTATTTGCTTTTATATATAAATCAGAAATAACCAACTTGTGATGGAAAATTTTAAAGAAAAAAAAAGGAAAACTAGAGGCTCTCAAGAGCCTGTGTCGCTCACCTGACTCTACTTTGGTTTTAGAAATCATGTAAAGATAGATAAAAATCATAACAGATACCCAAATAATGATTGAGGCCAAATTTTGATTAATATTGGTCCCGTTATTTAATAAAATATCCTGGTGGCCATCTTGAACAGTAAATCGGCAACAAAGTAGCAACACTTGGTCAGCACTTCATAAGGAACATTCATGCCATGTTTGGTTTCATTCCATTCAGTGGTACTCTAAAAGAAGACATTTGTATGTATTTCCCATAGGGTCCTATGTTAAACTAAGCCCCCCCCCCCCCCCCCCCTAGCTGCCATCTTGGATGATGGATCGACTGCAAAGTAACAACACTTGGTCAGCAACTCATAAGGAACATTCATGCCATGTTTGGTTTCATTCCATTCAGTGGTTCTCTAAAAGAAGACAATTGTATGTATTTCCCATAGGGTCCTATGTTAAACTAAGTCCCCCGCTGTCGGCCATCTTGGATGATGGATCGGCTGCAAAGTAACAACACTTGGTCAACATCTCATAAGGTACATTCATGCCATGTTTGGTTCCATTCCATTTATTGGTTCTCTAAAAGAAGACATTTTTATGTATTTCCCAAAGGGTCCTATGTAAAACTAAGTTCCCCGCTGGCGGCCATCTTGGATGATGGATCGGCTACAAAGTAACAACACTTGGTCAGCATCTCATAAGGAAGATTCATGCCATGTTTGGTTTTATTCCATTCAGTGGTTCACTAAAAGAAGACATTTGTATGTATTTCCCATAGGTCCTTTGTTAAACTAAGTCCCCTGCTGTCGGCCATCTTGGATGATGGACCGACTGCAATGTAACAACACTTGGTCAGCACCTCATAAGGAACATTCATGCCATGTTTGGTTTCATTCCATTCAGTGGTTCTCTAAAAGAAGACATTTGTATGTATTTCCCATAGGGTCCTATGTTAAACTAAGTCCCCCGCTGGCGGCCATCTTGGATGATGGATCGGCTACAAAGTAACAACACTTGGTCAGCACCTCATAAGGAACATTCATGCCATGTTTGTTTCATTCCATTCAGTGGTTCTCTAAAAGAAGACATTTGTATGTATTTCCCTTAGGGTCCTATGTTAAACTAAGTCCCCCGCTGGCGGCCATCTTGGATGATGGACCGACTGCAAAGTAACAACACTTGGTCAGCATCTCATAAGGAACATTCATGCCATGTTTGGTTCCATTCCATTCAGTGGTTCTCTAAAAGAAGACATTTTTATGTATTTCCCATAGGGTCCTATGTTAAACTATGTCCCCCGCTGGCGGCCATCTTTGATGATGGATCGGCTACAAAGTAACAACACTTGGTCAGCACCTCATAAGGAGCATTCATGCCATGTTTGGTTTTATTCCATTCAGTGGTTCTCTAAAAGAAGTCATTTGTATGCATTTCCAATAGGGTCCTATGTTAAACTAAGTCCCCCGCTGGCGGCCATCTTGGATGATGGATCGGCTACAAAGTAACAACACTTGGTCAGCACCTCATAAGCAACATTCATGCCATGTTTGGTTTCATTCCATTCAGTGGTTCTCTAAAAGAAGTCATTTGTATGCATTTCCCATAGGGTCCTATGTTAAACTAAGTCCCCCGCTGGCGGCCATCTTGGATGATGGATCGGCTACAAAGTAACAACACTTGGTCAGCACCTCATAAGGAACATTCATGCCATGTTTGGTTTCATTCCATTCAGTGGTTCTCTAGAAGAAGTTCAAAATGTAAAAAGTTAACGCCGACGACGGACGACGACGCCGGACGACGGACGACGGACGCCAAGTGATGAGAAAAGCTCACTTGGCCCTTCGGGCCAGGTGAACTAAAAAGGAAAAAAAAAATTTGTTTTGAACCCCCTTATGATTCATCACCCCCAAACTCAATCCCAGCCTTCCCTTTGTGGTATGGTACCTTGTAGTACAATTACAGAGAGATCCATACACTTGAACACAAGTTGTCTGGAAACTAGAAAAATGCTTGTTTTTTGGCCCCTTTTTTGCCCCAAATTCCTAAACGTTTAGGGCAATTACCCCCAAACTCAAACCCAGCTTTCCCTTTGTGATATGGAATCTTGTAGTACAATTTCATAAAGATCCATACACTTGAACACAAGTTATTGTCTGCAAACTAGAAAAATGCTTATTTTTTGCCCCTTTTTGGCCCCTTATTCCTAAACTTTTTGGGCAATTACCCCCAAACTCAATTCCAGCTTTCCCTTTGTGATATGGAACCTTGTAGTACAATTTCATAAAGATCCATACACTTGAACACAAGTTATTGTCATGAAACTAGAAAAATGCTTGTTTTTTGCCCCTAATTCCTAAAATTTGGAGGCAATTACCCCCAAAATCAATCCCAGCATTCCCTTTGTGATATGGAACCTTGTGATACAATTTCAGAGAGATCCATAGACTTGTACACACAAGTTATTGTCATGAAACTAGAAAAATGCTTGTTTTTTGCCCCTTTTTGGCCCCTAATTCCTAAAATTTGGAGGCAATTACCCCCAAAATCAATCCCAGCATTCCCTTTGAGATATGGAACCTTGTGGTACAATGTCAGAGAGATCCATACACTTACACACAAGTTATGTCTGGAAGTTACAAAAATGCTTATTTTTGGCCCCTTTTTGGCCCCTAATTCCTTAACAGTTGGTACCATAACCCCCAAAATCAATCCCCACCTTCCTTTTGTTATATTGAACCTTATGATTAAATTTCATTGAGATCCATTCACTTAAACTAAAGTTAGAGTGCGAAAACTAATGTGTCTTCGGACTACGACGACAACGACGACGCCAACGTCATACCAATATACAACCACAAAAATTTTTTTGCGGTCGTATAAAAATCAAAGTAATCTATCCTAAAGCTGAAAACTGGAAAGAATCCAAAATGAAAATGTGAGTGGTTTTTTTTGCAATTCTGTCAGAAAGCCTTGTTGTCATTTATTTGATGGAATATAGAGGGAATGGGTGCAAATGACATTGATGCATGAAACATAAAAATGCAGAAAGCAAATCTTAACAAACAAATGCTTTAACATCATAATGTTTAGATTCAATGTGGTATTTATAAATATAAACTGTTAACATAGAGATATGTTTCACCTATTTGTTATTTTGATATTGCAAATGTTGAAATTAAAATAGCAATACTTTAACACGACTTTTCATAAGTCGTTCCCTTTAAACAAACCTTACCACAAACATTAACTTGTAAACTATGTAAAAGTTTCAAAGTCAATGTACCATAATGAGGGGTTGGGGTTATATAATCTCCATGGAAACGAACCTTGTAAATGCCAATACATTTGCATACCAAATATCATTGACTTAACATTAGTGGTTCATCTTAAACTGATCTAATCACAAACTAATACATGTAAACTAAGCAAAAGTTTCAAAGTCAATAGACCATGACTGAGGGGGAGGAGCCAAATATTCAAAATGGAAATGAGATATGCCAAAGTTTATACAACTGCATACCAAATATTATTGAACTTCCACTGGTGGTTCCCCATAAACTGACCTAATCACAAACTAATACATTTAAACTAAGTGAAGTTTCAAAGTCAATAGACTATGACTGAGGGGGCGGGGCCAAATAATTTCCATTGTAATGAGATGTGCCAATGCTAATACAACTGCATACCAAATATCATTGACCTACCACTAGTGGTTCACCATAAATTCGACCTAATCACAAACTAATACATTGTTGACGTCCCCACGGCTGGAAACAGCATACCTATGTTTCACTTTTTGACTCTGTCAAGGCGAGACAAAAAACAAAATGTGTCTGCCCAATATAAAATGTAAGCAGGAGCAGCATCAGTAATTTCTGATGGAAAAGGTTGGGCCTCTTATTTTTTTCATGTTTCCAATTAATAAACATCAATGATGCTGTGACAAACACTATCCAATTCCACTGGCAAATGGTATCATAAAGGCATAAATTAATCCTTAATTTTCTGCAATAAGGAAACTTTGCTAATAGGAAATCATTCATGTTGCCACCTTTGTTAAACAAACACTGCAGTAAAATCTAAATGCATAATCTCTGTTAAAATTTTTTACTAAATTCTTCAGAATTTTTTTTGGTAATCAAAAGTTATCCATCTAAAAAATAAGATCACATTTACAAAGCATTCATCAACTAATTGCTGTTAACTGATGAACAAACATATTACATGTAACATGTCAACTTCCTTTGGCCCCAAACAGGGAGAGTGAAGACCCAGCAGGGAGACTTCAATGAGAATTAAGAGGTCTTGATTAATTTGACTATTTTTCACAAGGAAACAACTTAACAGAAAATCTAGGGAGACACTAACTTCTCTTTGAAGAGTTTTATAATGCTAAATCAGGAATCATAGGGCAAAAGTCATGTATACTTGGATCTGGTGTGGTGAACACTGATATCACCTAATACAGTTTTTACCTTTGCCAGCAGTCAGCATGCATTACATGACCACACGAACTAGTATGTACATCAGTGTTTAGGTCAGCTGACATAAATGTTGGGTCATATTTATCTCCATTTAACACTACTTTGCTACGATTTTGTGATAGCACTGTAGACCTGAAACAGAAAACATATGTCATCATTGCAACTGCATAATGAACAAAGTGAAAAATAAAGAAAATTTCTGAACAAAAACTACCTTATAAATTGTCCAATTAAAATCTTTAAATTGCATATTACTCGAAACCTGAACGAAATTGTAGTTTGACAATTCCAGCATACCTCTGAATGTAAGCAGCTAAAACCATAGCCCTGGAATTGTGTCGAACATCTTGTTCTTCTTGGCAAAGGATACATGTGGCATGTTGACAACCCACATATCCTACTGATGTCTGATTTCTACCAAGGGCTACAGGAAACCTGCTGTCAGATATACTGAAACATAAAAGTCAAAACATATAATTAAAAAGTTAAAACCATTCATTTTTGAGAAAATCTCTAAGAAGATACTTTCAAAAAAAAACATAGGTTAACTGACATGTTGATCCCAAAATCCCTTTCCCCACTTCATAGTTGGTTATAGGAGCTTTCTTACGCTCATATTTTTTGTTAACACTCTAAATAAAATTAACTTACTACAACGCTCAAAATTAATTTTCCATCTACTGTACTAGGTAAAACTTTTATGCAGACAATATCATCATAATGAAATCAAAATTTAATCTGAAATTAAAAAAATGGTATTGTTACCTAACATCCATATCAGATGGAGTTTTTGTCAATTCAGCATCTGTACTATCAAACAGATCTGCATTATCTTGGATAAAATTTTTCTGCATTTTTGAGATCTTTGCCATTATTTTTTCTCTTCTTTTAGCAGCTATCTCTGCCTTTTGTCTTTTAGCTAATTCTATTTCTTGTCTCGTACTGGCTGACAATTGATCCAACGCACTAGCAGTCACATTAGAATTAGTCATCTGTCTTATCTCCATGAATTGCTGTAAAATAAATCATTACATAAAGATTTTAAACAATTAAAGATATTTACCAAGAACTTTTTGTGAAGTAATTTTGTTTTTATGAAAATTATTTCTCATTCAAGGCTTCCAATTTACTCAAGCAAATTTTAAATCTTAAAAGGGAACGAATATTTTCTTTTTCTTTCCAAAGCGTAGATTAATTTCCAAACATTTTATGTATGGACACTGCGTCAGTATACAAATATAATTTGGGAAAGGCTTTTTGAAGATGTCAAAGCTTTTCTCCTCAGAAGTAAAACTGTGGGGGTATTCTAGCATTGCTCAATTTGACATTACATGTACTAGATTTTTAAAATGACTAAATTGTTTAGTCTCAGTGATACTTGGAAGCTAATTATGTTACAAACTACTCTTAACAAATAAATTCTCAATATCAAACTTACCTTAACAACCCACGTCAATAAATTGTCAGTTGAATCATGGGATATATTACGATGATCAGCAACAAGGGATTCTAACAACGTCAAAATATTTCTGTCTTCTGTAAAGTGATAAACATAATAATATTAGAAGTAAACCCAAATTCATTTGAAAAACAAGTAACAAAATCTCAATTCACTGCATCAATTAAAAGGGGAATAAAAAATCCAAATCCATTGTAAAAAAAATAAAAAAAATAAAAGCACCTGAATTATGATTTTTCTTATGCTTCTCTCAAAGAATGTAACACTTTACACATACTTTCAATATTTGAAATAGAATATGTGCTGACCAGTCTGATTTAAATTATCTATCACTTTGTTCTGTTAATTTTGTTTAAGATCTGAAGACATCCCATAAAGGTCAAGTTCAGATGACTTTATATGCAAATTTTAAATCTACCAATTATCTAGAGTGAAACACTGGCACTTCGATTACAAATTGTAAATACTATATCTTAAAGCTTCAAAAGGAATATCTATGTGAAAACTTATAATAATAGCTATAATATACAATTTCATGTTTGTGTGGGATTTTGTTCAATGAAGGAGAGCTTGACCTCTTTAGATACATGTCGATACATGTCTTATGTCTGGGGGGTTCAGTTGAAATTTGGGAGTCTCCCTAAAACGAAATAGAACTAGATTGTATGTGTTGTCACGCTAAGCATAAGTAATTCAAAGTATTGGAAAAAAGGAAGTAGATCTCTGACAGATACAATAAACTGCTTCGCCGAGCGCAGCTGGATACGACTGCAGAGGTCCAACCCTGAACAGTTGGGGCAAAAATGGACACAATATTCAAGCTTGATACAGGTCTGAATTTGGATTGTAATTAAATATTTGACACATTATAGGTTTCTGACACAGAATAAATGTAGTCAAAGAACTTGAAATTGGTTACATGATTTGAATTTATATTCAATTGAAGATTTCTTGCTGTTGTGCAATGCACTGTGCTGTTACGTAATACTTAGTAAATCTGTTTTCAGACTATATACAATTGACAATTTCTTTAAATTTTGACGAAAGAAAAATTGCTCACCCCCCCTCCAAAAAAATAACATTTGAAGACATTTTCTTTTTGTAAAATGTGATACAATTTAAGAGACATCCATACACTTAAACACAAGTTATTGTCTGAAAACTATAAAAATGCTTGTTTTAGACCCTTTTTGGCCCCTAATTCATGAACAGTTTGGGTAATTACCCCCAAAATGAATCCCAACCTTCTACTTGTGGTATTGAACCTTGTGGTACCGTACAATTTCAGAGCAATCAAAATACTTATACACAAGTTATAAACTAGAATAAAATGCTCCGCTGGGGCGCAGCTTGATACGACCGCAGAGGTCGAACCCTGAACAGTTGGGGCAAGTATGGACACAACATTCAAGCTTGATACAGCACTGAATTTGGATTGTAATTAAATATTTGACACAGCATAGGTTTCTCACACAGAATGAAAGTGGTCTAAGAACTTAAAATTTTTTAATTTACCTATTCAAACCATATCGTTATTATTTGCTTTTATATATACATCAGAAATAACCAATTTAAAATGGAAAATTTTAAAGAAAAAAACATACATGTGATGGACTGAAACTCAGATCAGGAGATTGGAAAATTTTGGTCAGGAGATTAGGACTCAGATCAGGAGGTTTTTAATCGACATAAAGTTTGTCGTAAATGTAACCGTGTGCTGTAAAAATTGTCTTTTAAAGTGTGTTTTCTTCAACTTTCAATCCGAATGTATTATGTATTATGTTTATAGTACCCTTGTACTTATAAAGTTTCTTTATCTTAATATTCTACATGTTCAATCTAAGATTCTTTTTTTTTAGTATGTTCTTTAAATTTTTCAATTCATATCTTTTATATCATGATTCTATAGGACAAACATTGCATCAGATCATTTGTTTACCTATCTGCATTTGCAGTTAGATTTTATTTGAATAATCAGAAACTCATTTAAATTTGTAACATGGGTCATAGTTATTATATGAATTCAATTTAAGCCTTGAAAGAAAGTATAGAACCCTCAAATAATTTTCAAATTATTATTTTTTGATTTGTCCTAAGACATTTAAAATCATTTAATTACCATCCTATTATGATTATTTGTTCAATTTATATTTTATTTATATTCTTTTAAAAATTTACATTATTTAAAGGAAAGTAACTTAAAACAGGATAAATCAGGGGAAGTAACCCAATAAATACACAAAGTTTTTATTACACAACGGCAGTTAGCCTGAGGTAAAAATCGTTGATTACCAGTATGTTTGACACCCAAGCTGACAAGTGAAGCCATATAATTATGCATGTTAATTGATTTACAGGTAAAATATAACTTCAGGTGATGTCAGTTACACCAGATGTCTGAGATGATATGTTGGGCAGATTTCATACACAGGATTTTTTTCTCTTCAACGCGAGGTCGGGAGGAGACCCCTGAAAACGGGATTATTGTACTCCCGTCGGGAGGAGACCCCTGAAAAACGGGATTATTGTACTCCCGTCGGGAGGTTTACATGTATGAAAAAAATAAAAAAAAATCCCCCAAATTTTTTTGAACCCCCTTATGATTCATCACCCCATTGGCCCAAACTCAATCCCAGCTTTCCCTTTGTGGTATGGTACCTTGCAGTACAATTTCAGAGAGATCCATACACTTGAACACAAGTTATTGTCTTGAAACTAGAAAAATGCTTGTTTTTTGGCCCCTTTTTGGCCCCAAATTCCTAAACGTTTAGGGCAATTACCCCCAAACTCAAACCAAGCTTTCCCTTTGTGATATGGAACCTTGCAGTACAATTTCATAAAGATCCATACACTTACACACAAGTTATTGTCCTGAAACTAGAAAAATGCTTGTTTTTTGCCCTTTTATGGCCCCTAATTACTAAAATTTTGAGGGAATTACCCCAAAAAATCAATCCCAGCCTTCCCTTTGAGGTATGGTACCTTGCAGTACAATTTCAGAGAGATCCATACATTTGAACACAAGTTATTGTCTGCAAACTAGAAAAATGCTTATTTTTTGCCCCTTTTTGGCCCCTTATTCCTAAACTTTTTGGGCAATTACCCCCAAACTCAATTCCAGCTTTCCCTTTGTGATATGGAACCTTGTAGTACAATTTCATAAAGATCCATACACTTACACACAAGTTATTGTCATGAAACTAGAAAAATGCTTGTTTTTCGCCCCTTTTTGGTCCCTAATTCCTAAAATATGGAGGCAATTACCCCCAAAATCAATCCCAGCATTCCCTTTGTGATATGGAACCTTGTGATACAATTTCAGAGAGATCCATACACTTACACACAAGTTATTGTCATGAAACTAGAAAAATGCTTGTTTTTTGCCCCTTTTTGGCCCCTTATTCCTAAAATTTGGAGGCAATTACCCCCAAAATCAATCCCAGCATTCCCTTTGTGATATGGAACCTTGTGGTACAATGTCAGAGAGATCCATACACTTACACACAAGTTATGTCTGGAAGTTACAAAAATGCTTATTTTTGGCCCCTTTTTGGCCCCTAATTCCTTAACTGTGGGTACCAATACCCCCAAAATCAATCCCCACCTTCCTTTTGTGGTATTGAACCTTATGGTAAAATTTCATTGAGATTCATTCACTTAAACTAAAGTTAGAGTGCGAAAACTAATGTGTATTCGGACGACGACGCCGGACGACGACGACGACGACGACGCCAACGTCATACCAATATACGACCACAAAAATTTTTTTGCGGTCGTATAAAAATGCTTGTTTTGGGCCCCTTTTTGGCCCCTAATTCCTAAACAGTTGGGACCATCACCCCCAAAAACATTCCCAACCTTCCTTTTGTGGTATTGAACCTTTAGCTTTAATTTCATAGAGATCCATACACTTAAATAAAGTTATTGTCTTGAAACCAAATGTCTTCGGACGACGATGACGTTGACGACGTGATAGCAATATACGACCCCAAAATTTTTTGCGGTCGTATAAAAATCACACACAAGTTTATACAACTCATTACTATTGACCTCCTGACAAAACATGAATGCATTCTTGTTGAGTAGCTTTTGACAATAAAATGCTCCGCTGGGTGCAGCTTGATATGACCGCAGAGGTCGAACCCTGAACAGTTGGGGCAAGTATGGACACAACATTCAAGCTTGATACAGCTCTGAATTTGGATTGTGATTAAATATTTGACACAGCATAGGTTTCTGACACAGAATGAATGTGGTCTAAGAACTTTAAAATTTTAATATACCTATTCAAACCATATCATCATTATTTGCTTTTATATATATAAATCAGAAATAACCAATTTAAAATGGAAAATTTTAAAGAAAAAAAAAAAGAAAAATATCCCCCCCCCTCAAATTTTTAGAACCCCCTTATGATTCATCACCCCCGAACTCAATCCCAGCCTTCCCTTTGAGGTATGGTACCTTGCAGTACAATTTCAGAGAGATCCATACACTTGAACACAAGTTATTGTCTGGAAGCTAGAAAAATGCTTGTTTTTAGGCCCCTTTTTGGCCCCAAATTCCTAAACATTTAGGGCAATTACCCCCAAACTCAAACCCAGCTTTCCCTTTATGATATGGAACCTTGTAGTACAATTTCATAAAGTTCCATACACTTACACACAAGTTATTGTCATGAAACTAGAAAAATGCTTGTTTTTTGCCCCTTTTTTGCCCCCAATTCCTAAAATTTTGAGGCAATTACCTCCAAAATTAATCCCAGCCTTCCCTTTGTGATATGGTACCTTGCAGTACAATTTCAGAGAGATCCATGCACTTGAACACAAGTTATTGTCTGGAAACTAGAAAAATGCTTATTTTTAGCCCCTTTTTGGCCCCTTATTCCTAAACGTTTTGGGCAATTACCCCCAAACTCAATTCCAGCTTTCCCTTTGTGATATGGAACCTTGTAGTACAATTTCAGAAAGATCCATACACTTACACACAAGTTATTGTCATGACACTAGAATAATATTTGTTTTTTGCCCCTTTTTTTGCCCCTTATTCCGAAAATTTTTAGGCAATTACCCTCAAAATCAATCCCAGCATTCCCTTTGTGATATGGAACCTTGTGGTACAATGTCAGAGAGATCCATACACTAACACACAAGATATGTCTGGAAGTTACAAAAATGCTTATTTTTGGCCCCTTTTGGGCCCAAAATTCCTTAACTGTTGGTACCATAACCCCAAAAATCAATCCCAACCTTCCGTTTGTGGTATTGAACCTTATGGTAAAATTTCATAGAGATCCATTCACTTAAACTAAAGTTAGAGTGCAAAAACCAATGTGTCTTCGGATGACAACGACGACACCAACGTCATACCAATATATGACCGCAAAAAATAAAAATATTTGTTGGATGAACAAAGGGACAGACAAGGTCATTGCAATATAGCCCCACTTTTAGAGTTGAGATATAATTTCATTTTTGTAAAGTTTGTATGAACCAAAGGAAAACATAGAAAATTTCAATTTTAGAACTTAAGTACTTGGTCATTATTAAGTAGAGATGAAAACAGCTAAACTGTTTCTTTTATTGTTTACCTTTCAATGCTCTGGCAAGGAAGTCAAAATTATGATTTCCTTCCATTGTTGCTCTTCTCTGTTCATGCAGGGCAAGTCCTATTAAATGCAAAACCTGTAAAATATTGAAACAAAATTCAAACAGCTCTTATTATTGTTTTTCTTAAATTATTTAACATTTCACAGCGGTATAACATGTTACTTTTATTATTCTTCCCTTAGCTTATTTATTTTGTATTTACATTGTATCATAGATCAAATTTATTCGTTCAGTGTATGTTCACTGGTGTTAATATGTCCTTTGATTGAGTTAAGCCATTTCAGTTGATATTTTATAGTGTGTCTTTCTATGTTGTGATGTTACACTATTGTTTCAGATAAGGGTGAAGGTTTGGTACCATTAAAACATTTAAACCTGCTGCAATTGTTTGCACCTGTCCTAAGTCAGGAATCTGATGTTCAGTAGTTGTCATTTGTTGATGTGGTTCATAAGCGTTTCTCGTTTTTTATATAGATTAGACCGTTGGTTTTCCCGTTTGAATGGTTTTACACTAGTACTTTTTGAGGCCCTTTATAGCTTACTGTTCGGTAAGAGCCAAGGCTCCGTGTTGAAGACCGTACTTTGACCTATAATGGTTTACTTTTATAAATTTTGACTTGGATGGAGAGTTGTCTCATTGGCACTCATACCACATCTTCTTATATCTACTTAGCACATAATTCATCAAACAATTAACTTATGACGTTCCAATAACACATACTGGTATATCGTACTCAGGAAAGGCACTATGAAACTGGGGTAAACATTTATAGTGGCAATTTTAGAATTCCTCTTACATTTTCACTGTACAAAAGTCTTTAACGCCCACCCATAGTTGAGATTTAAAAGTGCCTTTCCTAAGTCTAATGTATGTTTAAGCATCCCTTAAATGGGTATACTGAAATAATATAATAGTAAAAATGACTAAAGAAACAAATGATGAGCAAACCTGGCAAAGTAGACATTGTGATGAGGATTTCACTATAATTAGAAGGGTATTTTTACCTTTATACCAAGGTTGTTAAAAATAAGTAGTGTTAATTATCAGTGACCTAACAGAATTTTTACATTTATATTCAGATTGAAAAAAAAAACATTAGTTATCCTTGACCTAACAATATTTTTACATTATTACCCAGACTGTTAAAAAAAAAACACCAGAAAATGTTAATTGTCCGTGACCTAACATTATTTCTACATACTAGTATACTACCTCAAACATGATTGTCCTAATGTCTGACATACTCAATAAATTGAAATTTGTATGATGTATGATCTACAAAAGTTTAGTCTTAATAACTGAGATTTACAGGTAAGCCATATATTGACTTTCACATACTTACTCTATCAACCTGAGCTTCTGACCATGACCTTGACCTAACTGCCACCGTTCTTTGTAGAATGAGATGCATAATATGTACCATAATGTCACACTGCAACAACCCAACAAGTGGCTCAAACATTGGTGTAACCTTTGGTGGCACTGGGGGTGGCAATGCTTTAATAAACAAATTATATTCAATGTATAACATTTACACATAAAAATCTAACAAGTGTCTCAAACAATGATGTAACCACAGGTGGCACTTGGAATGGCAACTGTGTTATTTAATTCTATACTTAGTATATACCTACTGTAATCAACCTGTGATGGCACAAATGAGTGGTATTGTTTAAAAAAATATTATAAAAGGTACACAGTGGCATTATTTATTGAAGTGAACAAAAAGACACTTACACAATGATCACAATGTTGCCCTCTCCTCACATTTCGAAGCAGGGATATAATGAGGTACTGACAGCTGAGGAAATGGTTAAGCAGAACTGATGATCTCAACACTCCAATATAAGATAAACTTAGATACCTTTCATATGGAAACCATCTCATAAGATCACAGTCTATTTATCTTTTTATTTTTCGAAATAAATTTTATTTTGGAAAAAGAAGAAATGAGAAGGGATACAATAGAAGATTGACCTGAAAAATAGAGATTCAGATATTTTTGGCTGTGGTTAATATTCTGGAAGTGTTAGATACTCACATGAAGTATCATAAATCAAATCAAAGGGGAACTTAGGATATGGAGCAGTACATTCACCATTAAATGTGTACAAACTTATTTATTTGTGCATTCCCAATATGGTGTTACAACAACTTGTTTGTACATTCACTAGTTGACTGTATGATCTCCTCTGTACATTCCCAATTTCTGTTATGTTAATAACCATTTCAAATTCAATTGTCAAGATCAGATTACTCATAAACAATATCTAAAGGTTTGCATTCTGGACATGTTTTGACCTAAAAGATCTATTGAGAAAAACTTGATCTTTGAAAAAAAACCTGAAAAGTTTGGTTTTTTTTTGTGTCTTAACACTTCGCTTAGAAAACATCTGAAAATACCCACTTTCTTGAATCAAGGATCTTTCTATAATATCTATCAGCATAAAGGCTTACCATGATCTTCTTTTGCATCTTTCTTCCTTTTCATCTGAGCTTCTTCAGACTGTAAGAAATAATAAAGCTCAATATCAGTCAGCACAATGTTAATGTGAACTTATTTTACATTATTTGTATTACAATGTAAGTTTTTTTTTTAAGGACACTCTAAATAATATTTATATTCTTGAAAATATGGTGCACAAAAACATGCTGCTTTTACTTAATCTCAGCCTAAACATTTATAAAAACCATGATTATGGTAATACATATGCAATTTAACATTTTTTTTCTATCATCTTTCATATTAACTTTAAAATTCAACAAATATATATCATGAGGTTAGAGGTTTTCAATGGAATGTAAAATCTAGGTAGAATTATAAATGGTTATCAACATTCAAGAAAAACATTTTTGTTTAGGACTTTGGAATAATTCCTGTTGATATGCTCCAATTAAAAAAAATCCACACACAATCAAAGGAAATATTTGAACTAGCTCTATAAATTTTATGTCAAGACTTTAATCATACCTTAGACTGTTCAGTTCTACTATAATGGAGGAAAAATGGGTTGTATTCCAAGTAAAACTCTGGTTTTAACTCAAATATTCCTTTTCCTCCCATTGTTGTACCAGGTTTTCTATAATGTGAATTAAAAAAGTGTTAGCTGTAGCCTTTCAGCTTAACTAAGAAGGAGTTTATCGATACATTTTCAGGTAATATCTCTGCTATCTTTATCAATCAACTTAAATGGCAAGGCTAATGGCTAATGGTAAGTCACTTAAATGTTCATAAGTTATATACATCTGTTGCAAAGTATTTTTATAAGTGATAATGTTAGATGTCTAACACAGATAATGTTGAAGAAGTGTTTTATTTTGCATCTATTAAACATCATTTTATTTAATCTTTCTGTATGTAATTGGATTAATTTTATCTTTTACTTTATGTCTGTTTTGTAAATAGATTATTTTCATGTTTTATTTTGTCTGTTACTATTCAATCCAATATTTTTTATGTTTAGAGCATCTATCATATCTGTCTGAATGAAATTTGATATTTTAGTGTTTTATGCTTTTATCTTATCTGGCTGTATGTAATTTAATATTTTTATGTTAAAGCAGACTTACTTGAAAACAGCAACATCATTTATGACCTCCTCAATTCCTGTCTCATGGTTACTCTGTGATAAATACAAAAATCATGAGTACAATTACCTTTTTATAAGTATTTATTTTGTACAAAATTGATTTTATGGAAATTTTTAATAAAATCTGGTGAAATAGCTCAAGTGTATGAAGTCATGGGTTCAAATCCTGAACAAGTTAACCCTGTACTACAAAACAAATTGAGATATTTGAGTAAGAGCAAACAAAGTATAATGTGTTCATGCAACAATTTTAAGTCATTTAAATCATTTCAATTTAAAAAGTGTTACATTCCACAAATCATTCTTAAAACAGTTAACTTTTAAGTTCAGTTTTGGATTTAGTATTAAGTAGAGTGAATTTACATCAAATTTTGTTCATCAAACATCACATGCAGATAGCATAAACAAGATGTCACCCCTTAAGATGAAATAACATCAGAATATTTTTTCTAACTGAATATTAGTTTTAAATGATTACAACTCACATTTACAGGCAATCCTTTGGTAAGTTCACTATAAGACATAGGTGCTATACAAAGTTGGTGAATTATCTCCCTTTTTGTTATATCCTGTTCGTCCATTGTTCCTATGCCAAGCACAAAACGTTCACCTTAACAGAAAAAAATTTCATGTAGGTGCCCATTGTATTATGCCTTTATCAATATCAGATATACATTTTTATGAAATTCTTGCAACCACATAAAATCTAGCTGTCAGTTAACAACTCATTTACAACACAACTTGACAAGGAACTAATTTTTTTCTAATAGTGCATGACTATCCATGGGAAAAAAAGTACTTTAACAGTGCACTGATAACTTACTTATTATTGTTATGAGTAAAGTGAGGAATTCTTCAGCTAATGTAACAGTCTGTCTAACCATGTCATCCTGCCCTGAAGGTGTGTCATATTCCGGTCTGAAAGTATAGAAATCTTGCCTAAAGTTTCAGTTCTAATGTCCTTTGAGAATACTATAAATGAACAACTTTAAATTCTACTTTCTTTTTCTAGGAAAAAAGCTGCATGCTGTATCAAACACATGGCAGTTTTGACTAAATACATATGTAAAGAATTATCTTAGATTACTTTGAATATAACTACCTAAACTGTACTGAAACTGCATCTAATCACAATTTCAGAAAACCCAACTTTTGGAAAAAGTTTCAATACTGATTTAACTGTACCAATGTAAGCTGTTTGGAAGGCAAAATCAATAGAGAAGCAAAATTTAAAACATTAGTTCATATATGCCAATTAGGTTTTAACTGCACCAAGCATTGCAAGTTTATATTGTCAAAGTACCTTACAAAATATATTCTAATTCAATACTTATGTGACAGTTTTTTTCATTGGCTAAAATTTACCATCAAATCCACAATAGGCATAACATTGAATTGCTGGAATCCATAAATGTTTGATAAATAAAATAAAACTTAACAAAAATTATAAACAACACCTTCCACAAAAACACCATTTTTAAAAAGATAAAATCCAAATAAGAAACTTACAAGTAACGGAATAAGCTTTAATTTGAAAGTTTCATTTGTATAAGATTATGTTTTGCAATGACGTTTATGCACCAAAATCCATCATTAAGTCTTGCAAATACTTATTATCTTAAATTTATACTTTTTTAAGGCTGTAATGTATTATTTCTTTTGGTAATGCATTAGAGAAGATTAGCAGTACTGTAGTTGAAGAGTTGCTGTTTTTTTGTGTGTGCGTCACCAGGAAAATCAGCATTTGTGACTGCAAATCCCAATTGATGGCAGCATATCTTCAACTATAGTACTGTCATTCCTAAAAGGTAAAATGTTAAAACGAAAAGAAAGGCAACAATATTCTTAACATTCCTCAAACTATGAAAATGTTATCTGTTGAAATTCAATTAATCACAGTATGTTATACTTACTTTACCCAAAACAGAAGATTATATTTATTCAAAAGGTGTATAAGAAATTCATTGTTGTCCATAATACCAGCTCCAATCTGTAAATAAAATAATGTCATAACTTTAAGATATCAATGTACATCAATCAATTAACCTGAAATTTAGGATTTTTTTTACACTAAAACATCTTTTTCCCCACTTCCCTCTGTTAGGTTTAAGTTAACAAGAGTGCACACGCTGAAATGTCTTGCCTGTTTTACTGACCATTGATTTTATATTGAAAGTCTTAAAGATAAAGGTTTTACTACAAGTATCATATAAACTTATCATTTCTAAAGATCAATGAAAATGAGGTCAAGGTCAGATAAAAAATGTCACACAGACATGTACACCTTACAGTTATTCAATACACCAAATATAGTTGACCAATTGCTTATGGTAATTGAAAAACAGACCAAAACACAAAAAACTTAACATTGACTAATGAACCATGAAAATGAGGTCAAGGTCAGATGAACCCTGCTAGACAGACATGAACACCTTACAATCATTCCATAAACCAAATAAGTTGACCTATTGCTAATAGTACTTGAAAAACAGACCAAAACACAAAAACTTAATGAACCATGAAAATGAGGTCAAGGTCAGATGATATCGACTTGAGAGACAATTTCACCTTACAATCATTCCATACACCAAATGAAGTTGACCTATTGCTTATGGTCTTGTAAAACAGACCAAAACACAAAAAATTAACAATGACCTATGAACCATGAAAATGAGGTCAAGGTCAGATGAAACCTGCCAGTCTGACATGTACCTCTTACAATCATTCTATACACCACATATAGTTGACCTACTGCTTGTAGTATCTGAGAAATGGACCTAATGACGTAACTTTAACCTTGATACTGATCCATGAATTGAGGTCGAGGCCAGTTGACGGACGGACTTGTAGATGCTGCAAGGAACCCATATACCAAACATAGTTATCCTATTACTCATAATAAGTGAGAAATTCATATGACAAAATAAAATGCTTCGCTGGGGCGCAGCTTGATACGACCGCAGAGGTCGAACCCTGAACAGTTGGGGCAAGTATGGACACAACATTCAAGCTTGATACAGCTCTGAATTTGGATTGTTATTAAATATTTGACACAGCATAGGTTTCTGACACAGAAAGAATGTGGTCTAAGAACTTGAATTTTTTTAATTTACCTATTATGGTCCAATGTCCAAAATCAAAATACAAGGTTAGATTCAGCATATCAAAGAACCCCATATATTCAATTTTTGTTAAAATCAAACAAAGTTTAATTTTGGACCCCAACTTGGACAAACTTGAAAACTGGGCCCATAATCAAAAATCTAAACACATGTTTAGATTCAGCATATCAAATAACCCCAAGAATTCAATTTTTGCTAAAATCAAACTAAGTTTAATTTTGGACCCTTTGGACCTTAATGTAGACCAATTTAAAAAACGGGACTTAAAATTAAAAATCTAAATACACGGTTAGATTTGGAATATCAAAGAACCCCAATAATTCATTTTTTGATGAAATCAAACAAAGTTTAATTTTGGACCCTTTTGACCTCAATATGAACCAATTTGATAGCGGGGCCCACAAATAAAAAATCTAAATTTATGGTAAGATTCAGCATATCAAAGAACCCCATATATTCAATTTTTGTTGAAATCAAACAAAGTTTAATTTTGGACCCCAACTTGGACCAACTTGAAAACTGGGCCCATAATCAAAAATCTAAACACATGTTTAGATTCAGCATATCAAAGAACCCCAAGAATTCAATTTTTGTTAAAATCAAACTAAGTTTAATTTTGGACCCTTTGGACCTCAATGAAGACCAATTTAAAAAACGGGACCCAAATTAAAAATCTAAAAACACGGTTAGATTTGGCATATCAAAGAACCCCAATAATTCAATTTTTGATGAAATCAAACAAAGTTTAATTTTGGACCCTTTTGACCTCAATATGAACCAATTTGATAGCGGGGCCTACAAATAAAAAATCTAAATACATGGTTAGATTCAGCATATCAAAGAACATCATATATTCAATTTTTGTTGAAATCAAACAAAGTTTAATTTTGGACCCTAATTTGGACCAACTTGAAAACTGGGCCCTTAATCAAAAATCTAAATACATGTTTAGATTCAGCATATCAAAGAACCCCATATATTCAATTTTTGTTGAAATCAAACAAAGTTTAAATACTGGACCCTATCTTGGACCAACTTGAAAACTGGGCCCATAATCAAAAATCTAAACACAATATTTAGATTCAGCATATCAAAGAACCCCAAGAATTCAATTTTTGTTAAAATCAAACTAAGTTTAATTTTGGACCCTTTGGACCTTAATGTAGACCAATTTAAAAAAACAGGACGGACCCAAAATTAAAAATCTAAATACACGGTTAGAATTGGAATATCAAAGAACCCCAATAATTCAATTTTAGATGAAATCAAACAAAGTTTAAATTGGACCCTTTTGACCTCAATATGAACCAATTTGATAACGGGGTCCACAAATAAAAAATCTAAATACATGGTTAGATTCAGCATATCAAGGAACCCCATATATTCAATTTTTGTTGAAATCAAACAAAGTTTAATTTTTGACCCCAATTTGGACAAACTTGAAAACTGGGCCAAAAATCAAAAATCTAAATACATGTTTAGATTCAGCATATCAAAGAACATCATATATTCAATTTTTACTAAAATCAAACAAAGTTTAATTTTGGACCCTTAGGACCTTAATGTACGGTAGACCAATTTGAAAACTGGACCCAAAATTAAAAATCTAAATACACTGTTGGATTCGGCATAACAAATAAATAAATGTGATCAAAGATTTTACAAATCTAATGCGCCATACTGTGCAATTAAAGATTTCTTCTTGAAATTTTTCAATATTTGAAATTTGAAAAAAAAATAATATTTGAAGAATAATTTTTTTAATTTCTGAAATCTGAAATGAGAAAAATTGACCCCCCCACAATTTCTTTTTATCCCCCCCCCCCCCTTTTTTTCCCCCAAAAAATTCTTTCCCTCAAGATATGGTCATAATCTCAATTCAAATTTCCAATGGAGTTGGCAACCATAATTACCCATTTAAATTTACCATAGTGCTAACTTAATCTATTTTATAATAGAATTAAAAATATAGTGTCAAATCTTTCATATGGATTTTTTTGTAAAAAAAAAAGATGCAACATTTGCAGATATTTTTACTGGTCTTCCTTTATAAATATGCATTTCTTTAAACATAATTTAAAAGCAGTGTAAGGGAAGTAACCAAAACGTTGTATTTGGATTACCTCCCTTACACTGTTTTAAATTATCTTTATTGTTCATTAACCATTACTTTATACATAATTTAAAAGCAGTGTAAGGGAGATAATTTCAATGATGTATTTGATTTATCTCCCTTACACTGCTTTAAATTATGTTTTGTACTAAAGTATTTGTCCATTAACCAGGACAACCTTGTTTTTCCCCCTTTTTTGCCCCTAATTCCTAAACGGTTTGAGCCATAACCCCCCAAAGCAAATCCTAACCATCCCTTTGTGGTATGGAAACTTGTAGTATAATTTCAGAGAGATCCATACACCGTTCCACAGTTATTGTCTGGAAACTAGAAAATGCTTATTTTTGGCCCCTTTTTGGCCCCTAATTCCTTAACTGTTGGTACCATAACCCCCAAAATCAATCCCAACCTTCCTTTTGTGGTATTTAACCTTATGGTCAAATTTCAAAAAGATCCATTTACTTAAACTAAAGTTAGAGTGCGAAAACCAATGTGTATTCGGACGACGACGCCGGACGACGACGACGACGACGACGACGACGACGCCAACGTCATACCAATATACGACCACAAAATTTTTTTGCGGTCGTATAAAAAGTGTAATTTTTTTTGAAGCAGTTACTGAACCATGAAAATGAGGTCAAGGACAATGGGCATATGCCAGACGGAAACTTCGTAACATAAGGTATCTGCATACAAGGTATTCAGCATTCAGGTCTTTTACCTTCTGAAATATAAAGCTTTATATAAATAGTTTACGCCCTGCTGCCTAATAGTAATACCTATGTCTCTCATACTGCGACTTTTGTCGCAGGCGAGACAAAAATAGTAGAATCAGTAATAAGTAACCGACTAGCACAAATATTCATACTTCACAATTATGATGTTATGAAGCAATTATGCAAAGAACCAGGAATGATAGCTCGAGACTGTTGTATAACATAAAACTTTGGAGTTTTAAGAAATGTACCATCATTGATCTAGTTATATAATTATTTTGAACATTAAATTGCCATTATGCAATGTAAATGAATGGCACTGCAATTTCCTGAATCCTGAAACTACTCCAAAACATATTTATACAAATTACTTCCCTTTCAGAACTGGAAATAAACCAAGGGGATCAGGTAATGACTTATAAAAAAGAGCTATACTGGTAGGGTGCTAATTCCTGGAACTTAATTCAATATCAAATACATAAAAATAAAAATAATAAGGTCGGTGGTTTTCTCCGTGCACTCCGGCTTCCTCCACCAACAAAAACTGGCTGCCAAGAAATAGCCCGAAAGCGGTGCTTAAAAGTGACGTTAAAACACCAAAAATCAAAAATCAAATCAAATCATAAAAATAATAACAGGAATTACCAAAAAATATTAAACAGAACAACAGACCGACACATCCAAGATAATTAATGTACAAAGACAAACAAGTGAACCAAAATTTGAGGAGCTTTCTTATAACAGTAGATACACAGATTTTAAAACCTTTAAGAGAACCCTAAACCACTGTTATGTATTTTTACCTTAAGTTGTACTTAAGTACTTTGTTTTAAAATTTGCATGTTTCAGATATGAACACATTTGAATTGTAGGTACTGCTAACTTCCTATTTTAAAACTAAGACGATTTGCTCTGTTTATTTCAAATTAATTTAGAATCATTCAAGTTGGTATTAACTTAAAATTAAAATATAGATTATATGGGCTTAACTTTTATTAGTAAGTCTATATCATTCAAACTTATGACTATTCTGTAAGCATAAATAATGTAAAATATATACCTGTAACATATTTATATCTTTGTCGAACATCTCTCTTCTACATTTAACATTGTGGTAGAAAAAAATCTGTAAGCAATTAAATACAAGATGATGAAATTATAAAAATAATTCTGCATACAACAAAGATTTTTACCAACAGAATAAAGAATTGAAAAATCAAGACAAAAATATATAATAACAAATGACATGACATAAACTGGCAAAAATGTGCTAAGTGTAAGTGAGTTATAAGCGTTGTTCTATCAAAAGTTGAGTCAGAAGAATGAAAATGTCAGATTTATTTATATAATGTGCATTATCATACTAGATGAAATAGACCTGTCCAATGGAAAGACAGTATCAGTGATATCAATTTCATCCTTTTTGCCAGGTAACCCCTCTTTTAATATGTGTATCCAAACGGATTAACAGTTTTCATACAATCTCTGATACAGAAAACCTCCAAATAATTGGTCATCTTCTGTAACTTTACTTAAATGTCTTTTCTGTTTGAACATGTCTTTTTCGTCTATGACAATGACATACATTGTATTTTTGAAACAGCTGATCCAAAATGTTTTAAAATAAAATCTTAATGAATGATGACAAAAAGCAAAACAAACTTATTGTAATGGACTTTTGACATAGGTTTTGTTTGGAAAAACTACTTGTGTGAACAAGATTTCCCAATCAGCTGCAATTGGCTATTTCTAGATTTTTATTTGTAGAATACAAATACAGAGGTGGATGTGTAATATAAACAAGGATTTTGATATAAATAAAAGTGGGTAATGATATAACATCCATATTATGTCCCAGAATGAAAAGTGAGAGTTAAGAGTCAACATACAATCCTCAACAATAGAAAAGTGTCTTATGCAATATGTCAAGCTCAAAATCTGCATAGTATAGGCAAGATGTGATTAAAATTAAATTTAACGCCACAAATCAGATACGCTTTATTTCAGATATAATGTATTGTGCATTGTTGTCAGGGGGGAAAAAGCAATAAACTTCAATATTCAATTTTTCATGAAATGTGATAAAATGGATTAGTGGATCTGTAGGCCAATAAATTAAAATACCCTTGTCTCACCTGATTTAGTAGGGAGTAACCATTCCTTCTCCACATTCCAGCTTGTGTTTGTGCTATCATCACTTGTACTCGCAACGGTGGCTCTATAATTTCTGCCATATCTATATGCTGTAATACATTTGAAAATTTTTCTATTAAAATACAATCAACAAATTAATAGTAAAAGGGGTCAAAGTCTCAAATGGCCAGAAAACAGTAAGAGAAGCTGATTACACAAAGTTGGCACCCACTTTTCCCTTCCTACCAGCCAAACCACCCAATATAACCATACTATAAGCCAGTTTTGGACTTCATCCAACTCCGCCAGAAATATATAACATATGCACTATTCACATTGATTAAATCATTCATGGTAATAACACACAATGTTTTTAAAAGTGAACAATCCTTACTGCATCAGCTGAAACTTAATGTCTCTTTAATTATTACCATACTTGAATGTTACTATGTTATCTAATACAACTTTACAAAGACACAATTTATTCATAAGAACACTCTTACCTCAATGTTAACTTCAGGACTATTCCATGAAATTCCAAGCTTTCCAAAATGTAAAAATAGACCTGAAATAAAATACTTAATAACTAAAATCTAAAAACTGACAAAAAAGTATTTAGTGTGATACAGGTCAGGGTAACCCTGTGAGATTCATGTAAACCTTAAAAGTGTTTCAATGAAAACAAGAATGTGTCCATAGTACACAGATGCCCCACTCACACTATCATTTTCTATGTTCAGTGGACCATGAGATTAGGGTCAAAACTCAAATTTGGCATTAAAATTAGAAAGATCATATCATAGGGAACATGTGTACTAAGTTTCAAGTTGATTGGACTTCAAATTCATCAAAAACTACCTTGACCGAAATCTTTAAACCTGAAGCAGACTAGACGGACGGACGAACGAACGGACGCACAGACCGAAACACATAATGCCCCTAGGTGATGCATAAAAATATAGTTGACTTATAACTCGATTCTATAGATAAAATTAAATGACCTATCATTCATACTATTAAACTGAAAAAAAATGTCTGAGCGACTCATATATAGGCTATACCCCCATGCAGACCTTCCACACCCCAGCTGCAGATGAGGCGCCATGTGTCATTCCCTCTTGGTGAACCCTCCCTCCACATTCCCCAGCTGGCATATTGTTGAGCAGGCAGGTTCTTCCGCATTCTGAAGGTAGCAAGCTGACTTGCTCATACAGGAACTCAAAATCCTTTTGTATGCTGAGTGTCTCTCAAGGGCCAAAATCTAGGTATTTTAAGTGTTTATTTAAAAATCTATTAATTATTTAAGTTACTTGTCTGCTTTAAGCCAATATGATTTACTGGAGCTATGTTTTTGTTTACACACAGAGACCCCTTTTAAGCTAAACTTGTTTGGAACTGGTATTTAACTCTACAATGGTCATTTTCATTAATGGTGAATTTTCCAAAATTCTCAATATGTTATATTATCTTTATATTATAACTTACCTTGAGGGTGTCGGCTTTAACTAGATTTAGTGGGCCATCCTTCGGTGACCTTGAGTGTTTTGTTTAACATAAAAAGGAGTATTTGCTGACCACTAAACAATTACCAGAGTATCAAGACAAACACTCTACTAAAACTACAGAAATTATAATCACAATAAGACTGCAAAAAATCGATTTACAGAAATACAATGTGAAACAACAAATACAACTACAAGCTAGTTTATATAAAAACAGTTTATAATGAAATATATAAAAAATAAAGTATGTTCTCCGATGCACTTTTACTTAAATTTACCTGCTAGGATCCTTGATAAAGGCAGATGAATAGATACAGGTTGGGTAGACACATCATACTTCAAACATTTCACTTTATGTCCACAAACTGTAATAAATTAAAAAAAAATAATTATAAACACATATTATTTATAGACAAATTGATAATCATTGGAACTGAATGGACCAGTTTATATATGTTTGAATTTTATCAAAAAATCAAGAAACTGCCATAACTTAACAGTTGTCAAATTCTAAGTATTAAGTATCTTGATTTCAATTGAACAAAAACAATAAGTTTTAATAAAATGTCTTCTCATGGCAAACATAAAATAGAAAAGAGAAACTGTAACAAGGTGTGCTTAAAAACCAAAATAACTTTTAAAAAATATAAAGAAATGTGATATGAGTGCCAATTAGACGACTACACACCAGAGTCCAAATAAGCCATATGTTAGCAGCTGTATGTAAGCAACTAAAAGTTTCTGTAATCTTTCAACAAGGAGCAAACACATACCATATAGTCAGGTATAAAAGCCTGTAAAAATTCAGTTGGGAATAGCTCAACTCATAAGATTGATACAAAGCACAAAAAACAACTAACATAATAAAATGCTTCGCTGGGCGCAGCTTGATACGACCGCAGAGGTCGAACCCTGAACAGTTGGGGCAAGTATGGACACAACATTCAAGCTTGATACAGCTCTGAATTTGGATTGTGATTAAATATTTGACACAGCATAGGTTTCTGACACAGAAAGAATGTGGCCTAAGAACTTCAATTTTTTTAATTTACCTATTATGGTCCAATGCCCAAAATCAAAATACATGGTTAGATTCAGCATATCAAAGAACCCCATATATTCAATTTTTGTTGAAATCAAACAAAGTTTAATTTTGGACCCCAACTTGGACAAACTTGAAAACTGGTCCCATAATCAAAAATCTAAACACATGTTTAGATTCAGCATATCAAAGTACCCCAAGAATTCAATTTTTGTTAAAATCAAACTAAGTTTAATTTTGGACCCTTTGGACCTTAATGTAGACCAATTTAAAAAACGGGACCCAAAATTAAAAATCTAAAAACACGGTTAGATTTGGCATATCAAAGAACCCCAATAATTCAATTTTAGATGAAATCAAACAAAGTTTAATTTTGGACCCTTTTGACCTCAATATGAACCAATTTGATAGCGGGCCCACAAAATAAAAAATCTAAATACATGGTAAGATTCAGTATATCAAAGAACCCCATATATTCAATTTTTGTTGAAATCAAACAAAGTTTAATTTTGGACCCCAATTTGGACCAACTTGAAAACTGGGCCAAAAATCTAAAATCTAAATACATGTTTAGATTCAGCATATCAAAGAACCCCATATATTCAATTTTTGTTGAAATCAAACAAAGTTTAATTTTGGACCCCAACTTGGACCAACTTGAAAACTGGTCCCATAATCAAAAATTTAAACACATGTTTAGATTCAGCATATCAAAGAACCCCAAAAATTCAATTTTTGTTAAAATCAAACTAAGTTTAATTTTGGACCCTTTGGACCTTAATGTAGACCAATTTAAAAAACGGGACCCAAAATTAAAAATCTAAATACACGGTTAGATTTGGCATATCAAAGAACCCCAATAGTTCAATTTTTGATGAAATCAAACAAAGTTTAATTTTGGACCCTTTTGACCTCAATATGAACCAATTTGATAGCGGGCCCACAAATAAAAAATCTAAATACATGGTAAGATTCAGCATATCAAAGAACCCCATATATTCAATTTTTGTTGAAATCAAACAAAGATTAATTTTGGACCCCAATTTGGACCAACTTGAAAACTAGGCCAAAAATCTAAAATCTAAATACATGTTTAGATTCAGCATATCAAAGAACCCCATATATTCAATTTTTGTTGAAATCAAACAAAGTTTAATTTTGGACCCCAACTTGGACCAACTTGAAAACTGGGCCCATAATCAAAAATCTAAACACATGTTTAGATTCAGCATATCAAAGAACCCCAAGAATTCAATTTTTGTGAAAATCAAACTAAGTTCAATTTTGGACCCTTTGGACCTTAATGTAGACCAATTTAAAAACGGGACCCAAAATTAAAAATCTAAATACACGGTTAGATTTGGCATATCAAAGAACCCCAATAATTCAATTTTTGATGAAATCAAACAAAGTTTAATTTTGGACCCTTTTGACCTCAATATGAACCAATTTGATAGCGGGTCCACAAATAAAAAATCTAAATACATGGTTAGATTCAGCATATCAAAGAACCCCAAGAATTCAATTTTTGATGAAATCAAACAAAGTTTAATTTTGGACCCTTTTGACCTCAATGTGGACAAAGTTGATAATGGGGCCCAAAAATCAAAAATCTAAATACATGGTTAGATTCAGCATATCAAAGAACCCCATATATTCAATTTTTGTTGAAATCAAACAAAGTTTAATTTTGGACCCCGATTTGGACCAACTTGAAAACTGGGCCCATAATCAAAAATCTAAATACATGTTTAGATTCAGCATATCAAAGAACCCTAAAAATTCAATTTTTGTTAAAATCAAACTAAGTTTAATTTTGGACCCTTTTGACCTTAATGTAGACCAATTTGAAAACGGAACCAAAAATTAAGAATCTAAATACACGGTTAGATTCGGCATATCAAAGAACCCCAATAATTCAATTTTTGATGAAATCAAACAAAGTTAAATTTTGGACCCTTTGGACCTCAATGTGGACCAATTTAAAAACGGGGCCCAAAATCCAAAAACTTAATACTTGGTTAGATTCAGCATATTAAAGAACCCCAAGAATTCAAGAATAAAACCCCATTGAAATTGATCAAGAAATAAGCAATTCATACGAAGTATCTTCTTTTGCACAATACTGTGCAATTGAATATTTCTTGCTATTGTGCAATACTGTACAATTGACAATTTCTTGCTATTGCGCAATATTGTGCTATTGGATATTTATTGCTATTGCGCAATACTGTGCAATTGAAGATTTCTTGCTATTGCGCAATACTGTGCAATTGAAGATTTCTTGCAATTGTGCAATACTGTGCAATTGAAAATTTCTTGCTATTGCACAATACTTATTATATAATGATTTACACATCCTGTTTGGTGTGTATCTCCTACCATATCATTATTATTTGCTTTTAAATATTAATCAGAAATAACCAACTTAAAATGGAAAATTTTAAAAGAAAAAAAAAAAGGAAAATAAGAAAAAAAAAGAAAAAAAAAAAATCCCCCCCCCCCAAATTTTTTGAACCCCCTTATGATTCATCACCCCCAAACTCAATCCCAGCCTTCCCTTTGTGGTATGGTACCTTGCAGTACAATTTCAGAGAGATCCATACACTTGAACACGTTATTGTCTGGAAACTAGAAAAATGCTTATTTTTGGCCCCTTTTTGGCCCCCTTTTCCTAAACGTTTCGGGCAATTACCCACAAACTCAATTCCAGCTTTCCCTTTGTGATATGGAACCTTGTAGTACAATTTCAGAAATATCCAAACACTTACACACAAGTTATTGTCATGAAACTAGAAAAATGCTTGTTTTTTGCCCCTTTTTTGGCCCCTAATTCCTAAAATTTTGAGGCAATTACCCCCAAAATCAATTACAGCCTTCCCTTTGTGATATGGAACCTTGTGGTACAATGTCAGAGAGATCCATACACTTACACACAAGTTATTGTCTGGAAGTTACAAAAATGCTTATTTTTGGCCCCTTTTTGGCCCCTAATTCCTTAACTGTTGGTACCATAACCCCCAAAATCAATCCCAACCTTCCTTTCGTGGTATTGAACCTTATGGTAAAATTTCATGGAGATCCATTCACTTAAACTAAAGTTAGAGTGCGAAAACCAATGTGTCTTCGGACGACGCCGGACGCCGGCGACGACGACGACGACGACGACGACGACGACGACGCCAACGTCATACCAATATACGACCAAAAAATTTTCAATTTTTGCGGTCGTATAAAAACAAGACAAGAAGTATCAATCTTTATAGAGAACTCAGTTACTGAAAGCTAGTTTAAAGCAAATTTCAACAGATAACTAAATCATGTTCTTCCAATCTTAAGTATTAATCAATACACATCCAACGGATTTAGTGCAGGACTGCTTATGTTTTTTTCTCTAAACATCTGATATAACTACCTGTTTTGTCTTCTCGTTTCACTGTAGCTGGTTTGTCTTTGCATTTCAAAAGAAACTCTAATGTGAGTTTAAAGGCTTCAAGCAGAACTTTTCTCTAAAAACAACAAAATTTTTTAAGTTAAAACATATAAATGGGGAATGTGTCTATGGGACACAGATGATGCCCCCGCTTGCATATAACCTTATAAAGGGAAATAACTCAAGAACAGTAAAAGTGATACTACCCAAATTCTTACTTGATCTGTGTTCTGTGGTAATAAGCATTGTGTATAAGATTCATAACATTTGGTTGAGGCAAACTTAAGTTAGAGAGCGGAAATGAAAAATTCAGCAATTTTTCCATTTGTAAAGGGGCATAACTCTAGAATGGTAAAACTGACGACACCAAAATTCAAACTTGATCTGTGTTTTGTGATAATAAGCATTGTGTATAAGTTTCATAACATTTGGTTGAGGCTAACTTAAGTTTGAGAACGCAAACCAATTTTGGGACGTTCGGACGTACAAACGGACAAGAGTAAAACTTAATGCCCCCTCCGCTACGGTGGGGTTATAAAAATTAAACATCATATGCACAGTATCTAAGAATCAGGATTTTTCATTTTAAAATTTACATTTAAGTATTAATATACAATATAAATATTATTTAGATTTTCATGTTTCCTCCCAACAAATATCTTGTCAATCCATCATCTTCCTTTTCAGTTGAATGACTTGTCAACATAAAACTGATTAGGAAACTCACAAACTGATTGACCAGAACTGACAGGAAGTCTTCAATTTGAATAATCTATGTTATTCTATTTGATACAAAATATGCCATGTGGAACTGTTAAAGAATCTAAACTTAAGTCCCAAAATCTGGTGATGCTTTTGCCAATGACTAGTAATAAAATTGCTACAAAGTGAATTATACTCACATCTGTTCCACACCATTCCAAAAACTCAGTTATAACATCATCCTGCTTTAGTTGTAAGTTAAATGCCCCTTCCCATTCAGGTTCATACTCCAGATGTACACCTACTTGTCTCATAACTCCATCCATACCCTATATGAAATCAGATAATGAAAATGAGCACAATTCTTAAAGAACACTGTAATCATTATTTCTAATGCTGTATATGAGTCTATTATTAAAGTCCTAAAAGAATATAGAGTTATTGGATCAATATTGGTGTATATTGTCCAGAGTATATTTGTATACTGTGTATCTTGCATCAGATAATATTCATCAGTATTCATCAAGGATCCGGAAATTTTTCCAGACAATTTCGGTCATTTTGAGATGTTTGAAAAGTTGGTGCCCCTTTTCAAATTGTCGTTATCAACTTGACTATATACACCTTATCGCTATTTGTCCGCCATTACTGGACATCACACAAGTTCCCGTAAAATTTTGACGTCATAATAGAAAATGTCTGACGCCACAATGGAAAAGTGATTGTTGTATGACGTCAAAAGTTCGAGCGGGACAGATTCTCGGGTCAAGCGGGAATAGCGATAAGGTGTATTCATAGCATCAACGAACATGACGAACTTGTATTGCTGTTTCATCGCATTTACTAAGTAAATGTCTTACCATTACCATGAAGGACAGTTTAGGGAAGGCAACAGTCTAAAATTGAAATGATTTTAATGACTCAAACATGAAAATGGTTAATTTCTCAGACATTGCTTACGTTTCTTTCGATTGACAAAAGTTAAAACCGGAAGTTTGCGATATTTTAAAGTACGAATAATTCCGGATTCATTTCCGGGATTTGTTTTGTTTATCAAATTGACAGGAAATCACCGGCTTTTTATGGCTTTTTTATTTTATTACCTTTAAAAGTGTTTGAATATAACAGATAATAGTTGCACTCGTTTAATTTAGCATGAAATCAATTTGCATTTAACGATTAAATATTAAATTTGCTAAAGACAATTTCACGCATGCGTATTACATAGTAAATAAAGCACATGTGTTACTCATGAAAAAATACTTTTTTCTACGTAAATTTAGATTTAAGTTTTTAAACAGAATTGATGACTCTCTTTGATGAAAAGTAAATAAATAATGAATACACTTGTCAGGGAACTTTAATGTTTTAAAGATATTATTCTGAGCTTGTGATCACTGTCAGGTGTGAATTAGAACCACAGGTAAAGTGATTAGCGATCATTAGCCAATGTTTCCCCATAGATGTTTTATACATCTATGGTTTCCCGGAGGCATTGATATAGATATTAGGAGGGCCCTCAGGATCATCAAACTACTGTAGTGGCAGTTTTATTACAGGAAAGGGATTATAAACAAAAACAAGTGATCACAAGTGCAAAATGGCGATTAAGAAATCCGATTTCAAACATTGAGTCAATGAAATGACCGAAATTACTTCTGTAAAAAAATAAAATTTGTCCTAAATCCCAATTACTCGTTTAGGACAAATAGTTTCATCTTAGGACATGACTGGCAAATATGACCGTTTCCGGACCCTTGGTATTCATACAATAACCCAACTGTTTTATTACTGATGTCACTTATTTTAATCTTATTTGCTCTAGTGGAATATGATATCATTGCACAAAAACATAAGTTACCTTCTGAGTGAAATATGTTGTTGCTATACAATAATTATCATTATTGTGTTATTATCTTATGTTCTAATTAAAAATTCTAATTTATAATATACCCTATAGTGCTGTTAAATAACAAAACTTATATTTTTTGTAAAAAATAACGCATTTTATTCACATCTCTTTCTGGTATATTTTTGCTGTTGGGTTGATGTCTCAACAATGTTTACATCATTTTGCCTTTTATTCACACTGAAATGTCTAGATATGAAAATTATCAAACAAATATGCTATCTTACTGTTCAATCATTATTTTTTAGCTCCTCAAAAAAAATTACCTGCATCATTTTCAGCATCTTAAGAAATGATTTAAAACCTTTCAGGAAACTATGTCTCAGCTTGTCACTCCATTCTTCTGGTGATGGTCTACATATCAAAGCATATCTGTAAATGACGGAAAGAGATAACATGTTGACATATCCGATTTGAACTATTTAAAGGATCTAATTTCAATTGGATTGGTCAGATTTATTTATATTATCTTAATTTTATTCAGTGTAAATGTTATTCTAGTTCCATAACCTTTCAAATATGAAATAATCTTTAATTTTTTATACTTTAGCAATAAGAATTAGCAAATTTGCCAATATTTTTACAAACACCAATTAGAATTTACCCTGACACTTTCAAACAGTAAATTAAACACAATGATTAATCAAGAGTTAGTGAATAATGAGCAATATTTATTTCCACAGACTGTAATACCTAAAAATCCAGATCGGCACATCAATCCAAAACATAGCAGAGTTAATATTCATATTACATCCTTAATATGTCCTAAAGACATTCATTTCAAAATTCTTCCATTATTGCTATTTAAGTCTCATCATCTGAAACGCATCATATCTTTTGCCCTGACATATAATAATATAACTTACTTGACATCATACAATACGTAACAAGCTCGTTTGAAGGATGTACTTCTTTCATTCCTTTCAAAGGACAGCTTTCCATCATCTATAATAATTATGACAATAATTTTGAGTGAGTGAAACTGAATTTTAATTATAAAGCAATTTGCTATGGATTCATATAAACATCTGAAAATTACAAACAGTGAATGTACTCCGCCTAAGATATACAACTTTCTTTTATCAAGATTCAAACTTCAAAATTTTAAGTTTGTTTATCATTAAGAGTAAATAGGTATCAAACAAAAACACTTACTGTTTTTCTTCTCCTCACAGAACCCGAGAAACGTTGTTATAATTACATCTAACAAGTCATGATCAGTTACCAGCATTTTAGCCTGGAAGAAAAAAAAAGAATAAACTAACATTCCTCATATTGATGTGTATTTCAGTTAACTTTCCACATGCCTACACAATCTGGTTACTCATTCATTCATTTTATATCTTTTACTAATGCAATTCATTTATACTCGACTAATTTGCATCTAATACTGAATAAATACTTGCATGTTCAAAACAACTTTGTTGGATTTCAATATTTTTTCAATTATATTTTTTACTATGAGAGCTAAAATAATAATAGGTAACTTTTTTGCATGTTATTATTTAAAATGTGTGATGACTTCCTGATTCCACAACTGTTGTTTCACTTTAGTCATTATATTTATCAGTGTACAAAGATATAGTACAAATTTAATCAAAGTCAATTAAGTAGGCAATGTAGTTCATATTGATCTATCTTTGTCTGGGTGACCTCAGTGGGGAGCGGTCTAAGTAGTCAAAATACAATCACTAGCTTGTCAACATGGAGGCTGTGCGTTTGAATCTGGCATGTGGCATGGCCGTTCAACTCCAATCTTAATTGACTAGGATTGTCAGTTTTCCTACCTAAGGTCTTGGTTCTCTTCAGGCACTCCTTCTTCCTCCACCTATAAAAACTGACTGACACAAAATAGCGCAATAGTGCTGAAAGTGGCATTGAACATCAACCATAGGTTCAAGATGGGTTATTTTTGTAAAAAAAAACCATGGCAATGGTTGCTGAATTGTATACTTCTAAGATGGAAAGTGTTGTAGCAAAAATTGCTTTATGGATAAATCAGATTGCTACCAGCAATACACTACATATTTGGATCATGCATATTACATTGGCAAACTAAAGCATTAAGAATTAATGTGCATCTTGATAAACTCTATTAGTTCCATAACAATACACATTGTATCTTTCTTCACTGTTCAAACTTTGTAAATTATAAGGAAGTGTGAAATAAAAAAGGACTATGCCTTTCTTTTTTTCTTTTTTTTTAAAATAATTTGAATACCATCAGACATCAAAACAAAACATCCAATCCATGCACAACTCGTGTTTTCCCTAGAATATTTTTTGAAGGATGGGGTATTGACTGAAAGGATGGCGGTCCTGAATTTTGAAGGATGGGGGTTTATATTGAGTAAAATGGAATTTCAAATTTTAAAGGATGGGGCCCAAATCAATGCATAAAAACTCTAGAGAAAACACAGAACTCAGTAAACTGACAATACTAATAACCTACCACTGATGGTACCGTGAAAATTTGAACAGACAAAGATGTAATGGATACTGGGCGATTATGGTCGTCCAATACAAACTCTCTGGTTATTGCTTCATAATGCTACAAAACAGATATAAAAACAAGATATGACATCTGGTTTCTTAAACAATTTCCTGTCAAATTTATCTGTATATTAACAGCAAAGAAGTGATTTTCACCATAAAATCTTACTAATAAATTGTAACTGAATTTTCCTGAATATATACAAACTAATATTTCTTTCTGTTTCGTTTTTTGTTCTTTTTTTAATCCAAAATTGGAATTTAATGAAGCCCTAAATAAGCCATTTTCAAGCAGATGTTCATGTAATCCTAACAAATTCCTACAGAAAATTGTTTAAAGTAGCCAGATGCCTTTCTTGTTTGTCAATATTGACAAACATACCAGGCTGCTAACTGTAAATATTTGTACTGACAACGAGGCCACAGAGACTTCAAAATCATGATCATCATTAGCATAGTCCTTAATCAGGCTTGGATAATGCTAGAAGTAGTCAAAAATATTGTTATTTTTGTTCCTAATTAAAACTTTGTCTTCATACCTTTAAAATAATTACATTTATTATACATCTTTAGAGTAATGAAGAGTCATGAATTGATACTTTTTTTCTAAAACTTTTAATTTCAATGATCTGATTACAATGATTTTAATCTCACTTATAAAATTACTATTTTCTGTCATTCGAACTGCACTGATTTATACATGTATACTTTTTCATCACAAATGGAGTTCCAATATATTTAATGGTACTGAAGATTCTCTGAAGTTTTATTGAATTCCAGTCAGTAATATTGGAGAAGATAAAAGTACAGATGAATCATTGGACAAATTAACAGAAAATGTTAGATAAACAGATTCAATGATCTCACCCCTACTTCACTAAAGTCCACTGCTTCACTTCACAGTGGGGTAATAAGAGGCAAATACTGTCATTATGTACTAAAGAATCCAGAATATTTCATTGAAAAACCAATATTTAAAGAGAAAATAAACAAACATACAAATGAATGAAAAAAAATTGATATACAGATTTTCTTGTGAACAGAGTGTTTAATAAGGTTAAAGTTAAATAAGGGCTTACTGAATATGATGACATGTCAATTCTTTAACATCTTGACATGGAATGTAATATAAAAATTGTTGAAATGTTGAAATGAGACAACTGCTGTTATGATCTGTAATTTTTTTTAATATGTGTGTTTTATATTCGTTTTATTGGCTGAATGACATTACCTTAGTGAAGATAATAGAAAACTGCTTTTTGCATTCCTGGTCCATTAGTACACTGTAATAAATCATATATTCATGTTATGACTTAAATAAATTTGAACAATCAAATCTACTGATTTGCCTGTTATGAAAATTTTCTTGGAGGATTTGCAAGCGACCTTTAGGAAAGAAACAAATGATTTTATTTAGAACTACACATGTAGTTGAGCCAAGAAATTATACTTTTAAACCTTTAAATATGGACCTTTGGTGCTTATTGCAAAACATTTTATTATGTGTTTTTTTTCAATTATCATGCGAAAACCAAACAAAAAAATCCCAATTATAAAGACAACTAAGGTGCATAACTCTTGAATGGTACATGCCAAAACAGTCAAAATATATCTTGATCTGTATTTCATGGTCAATAATATTGTGTCAAAATTTCAAAAGATTTGTTAAAGCGCTAGTTTGAGAACATCAAGAAGCAAAAGGAGTGACAGTAAAACAATGAACTGATGTACATGTGCATCACTATATACCCCACCTCATAGAGGCTGGTAAAAAAGGATAAACTTTGGAAAATCAAGTGTCATTTTCACTCAACAATTTAAAAAAAATTGTTTAAAAACATTAACAAATTCTTTATTGCACTATCTTGTTGTTAACAACTGACCTATGTACATGTAGTACATTTGACAATTTGGATGAAAAATGCCATATTTTTACATAGCTTAACTTTTTAAAATAAATGTGGATTGTGTCCATGCATGGACACAGATGATGCCCCCACTTTCATATCATATAAAGATATAAAGGGACATAACTGAAAAACGGTAAAAGTGACTCTACCTAAATTTGTACTTGATCTGAGTTTTGTGGTAATAAGCATTGTGTATAAGTCTCATAACATTTGGTTGAGGTAAACTAAAGTTAAGAGAACGGAAACAAATAATTCAGCAATTTTTATGTTTATAAAGGGGCATAACTATAGAATGGTAAAAGTGACACCACCCAATTTCATACTTAATCTGTATTATGTAGTAATAAGCATTGTGTATAAGTTTCATAACATTTGGTTGAGGCAAACTAAAGTTAGAAAACGGAAACAAAAAATATGTACTTGATCTTAGTTTTGTGGTAATGAATATTGTGTATAGGTTTCATAATGTTTGGATGAGGCAAACTTAAGTTATAGAATGGAAACTAAAAATTTTGCAATCTTTCGATTTATAAAGGGGCATAACTCAGTAATGGTTAAAGTGACACAACCCAAATTCAACTTGATCTGTGTTTTATCAGTGGAAGTCAAAATTAAACATTGCATTGTATAAAGCATTGATTGTAGTTGATTCAACTATAATCATGGACAAAGGACGATAACTCCAATTTTAAAAATTACTTGATATTTAGAAGAAAATAAAAATTTTGCATTTTTCCATTTATAAAGGGGATTACTCTAGAACAGTTAAAGTGACACCACCAAAATTCAAACTTGATCTGTGTTTTGTGTTTATAAGCATCGTGTATAAGTTTCATAACATTTGATTGAAGCAAACTTAAGTTAGAGAACGGAAACTAAAAATTTTGCAATTTTCCCATTTATAAAGGGGTATAACTCTAGAACCGTTAAAGTGACGCCACCAAAATTCAATCTTGATCTGTGTTTTGTGGTAATAAGCATTGAGTATAAGTTTCTTAACATTTGGTTGAGGCAAACTTAAGTAAGAGAACGGAAACTAAATATTTTGCAATTTTCCCATTTATAAAGGGGTATAACTCTAGAACCGTTAAAGTGACGCCACCAAAATTCAAACTTGATCTGTGTTTTGTGGTAATAAGCATTGAGTATAAGTTTCTTAACATTTGGTTGAGGCAAACTTAAGTAAGAGAACAGAAACTAAAAATTTTGCAATTTTTCCATTTATAAAGGGGTATAACTCTAGAACCGTTAAAGTGACGCCACCAAAATTCAAACTTGATCTGTGTTTTGTGGTAATAAGCATTGTGTATATGTTTCATAACATTTGGTTGAGGCAAACTCAAGTTAGAGAACGGAAACCAATTTTGGGACGTACGTACATACGTACGTACAGACGGACAAGGGTAAAACTTAATGCCCCCTCCGCTACAGCGGGGGCATAAAAATGAAAAATTCAGCATTTGTAAAGGGCATAACTCTAGAACAGTAAAAGTGACGGCACCAAAATTCAACCTGATCTGTATATTGTGGTAATAAGCATTGTGTATAAGTTTCATAACATTTGGTTGAGGCAAACTTAAGGTAGAGAACGGAAATGAAAAAAACATGCAAAAAAACAATCTTGATGTTCATAAAAACCTACTTGGAAGGCTATATTATTCTTCAGCTATCTAAAAATCATTTTTTGTTGCACAATAACTTTCATATTTGAAAATTCACCAGGCCAAAATGTGAAACTAAACTCTTAACTGTGTATTGCTACCCAAGATTCACATTTGCTTTTTAAGAGAGATGCTGTCTCCTTCTTTCCACCATATACTTACCCTGACATCATCATCTGGTGAACCAACATTCTGGCATCTGTAATATATAATTCATATTGTTTCAAAATAAACTGTTGACACAGTGATATGTCTGGTGTGTATATTTGTAAATTGAAGTATAATGTAAATTTTGAAATTTAAATGGCAAAAGTTAAAAATGTCAACCATGTAAAACTTTTGAAGTCAATTGAATAAGACTTTGTCACAGGAGAGACGATTTTGACTGTATTACTTTATTTGGTGTTTTCAAATCATAGTATAGATCTTGATTACAGCACAGAATGGTTACAGAAGAACTGAAAAAAATCCAAAGATGTGTAGAGAGAAAATAACATTCAAGGCAGTGTATAAATGTATCACAAATCTCACTTTTCCACATCTGTGTGTCTGACAGTATCAATTTTTCTATTAAGGATTCTCCATTCTCATAAGGTTGTGTGCTAAGTGTACAAAACAGTCTTCTCAATCCATCTGAAATTACATTGACATATTTAAAAATGAAGATAACTTTTAATGATCTACTTATCTGGTCCCTCACGATGCAAAGATTTTTATTTGTATTTGTCTTTCTAGAGTGGTTAGTTTTACAAAAGTTTATACTGATATGTGCTTTTTGTCAAAAATCTAAGGATTATTATGCACTGTGAACGAACAGACTTTGAAACTATAAATTTACCTGGATTATAAATTAACAGCTGTTGTTCAATTTATGTCTTGACCAAGGAAATAAATATAATTCAAGGAAAATAAAACAACAGTCAAGTAACTATGGCATTCATTTTCCAAGATAATCTGAATAAGAGTCATGTGTGGGTTTCTAGAAAATATATGGACTTTATTATCAGTAATACAAACAAGGCATAAATAAAAGTTTAAAATCTAAAATAAAATGCTCCGCTGGGCGCAGCTTGATACGACCGCAGAGGTCGAACCCTGTTGGGGCAAGTATGGACACAACATTCAAGCTTGATACAGCACTGAATTTGGATTGTGATTAAATATTTGACACAGCATAGGTTTCTAACACAGAATGAATGTGGTCTAAGAACTTAAATTTTTTTAATTAACCTATTCAAACCATATCATTATTATTTGCTTTTATATATAAATCAGAAATAACCAATTTAAAATGGAAAATTTCAAAGAAAAAAAATCCCCCCCCCAAATTTTTTGAACCCCCTTATGATTCATCACCCCCAAACTCAATCCCAGCCTTCCCTTTGTGGTATGGTACCTTGCAGTACAATTTCAGAGAGATCCATACACTTTAACACAAGTTATTGTCTGGAAACTAGAAAAATGCTTGTTTTTGGCCCCTTTTTGGCCCTAAATTCCTAAACATTTAGGGCAATTACCCCAAACTCAATCCAAGCATTCCCTTTGTGATATGGAACCTTGCAGTACCATTTCAGAGAGATCCATACACTTGAACACAAGTTATTGTTTGGAAACTAGAAAAATGCATATTTTTGGCCCCTTTTTGGCCCCTTATTCCTAAACGTTTTGGGCAATTACCCCCAAACTCAATTCCAGCTTTCCCTTTGTGATATGGAACCTAGTAGTACAATTTCAGAAAGATCCATAGACTCACACACAAGTTATTGTCATGAAACTAGAAAAATGCTTGTTTTTTGCCCCTTATTTGGCCCCTAATTCCTAAAATTTTGAGGCAATTACCCCCAAAATCAATCCAAGCATTCCTTTTGTGAAATGGAACCTTGTGGTACAATGTCAGAGAGATCCATACACTAACACACAAGTTATGTCTGGAAGTTACAAAAATGCTTATTTTTGGCCCCTTTTTGGCCCCGAATTCCTTAACTGTTGGTACCATAACCCCCAAAATCAATCCCAACCTTCCTTTTGTGATATTGAACCTTATGGTAAAATTTCATAGAGATCCATTAACTTAAACTAAAGTTAGAGGAGAAAACCAATGTGTCTTCGGACGACGACAACGACGACGACACCAACGTCATACCAATATACGACCGCAAAATTTTTTTGCAGTCGTATAATGACAAGTTTCTTCAATAAAAATTTTATCAAGTACAAATCTTAACCTAACCCAGTGAAACCTATGAACCAACCTGATTTTCCTATGATATCCTGAAGCCATGTAACTAACTTGAGAGCAAACTTCTGATGGGCTACCACTATTGTATGCATAATCTGTACCTTCAATGGCTTACTTCCATGTCTAGATGTTGAGTGCTGCAATATATAATCAGTAATACTTATTTGAATGCTCTTAGACCAAATTTTCACTGTTGTAGTACAACTTTTATATATTTTGGTACTGAATTCTAATCTTTCTTTGGTAACATAGCTGTAATATTGTTTTGTGATACAATTAATTCATTTTCAGAATTTTGTTATTGTTATGCAGTATATGAAAGGAAAAATGATTTCTCCATTTTCTTACCTCAATGATATGACGAGCCTTTTCACAATAAGAAAATGTACCATCTCTTACACTGCTTCTTCCCTGAAATGAAACATTTTCATGAAATATTACAATATTAACAACAAATGAAGTTAGAACAAGGAACAGACAGTACTATTATTTAAAGCATAGATATTTCATGGATATGACTAAGAGAAAACAATTTATTGGACAATGTATAAATCAAATGCACTTATGGAGTAGATATTGGCCAATGTTTTATCTTACTGTAAGGTGTAAGGTCTTTGGTGTATTTTTTAGCAAATGTTGAGAACAAAAGAATGCTGCTTTATATTTTCCAGAATTTAATGACATTGTTGTCTCATGTGCATACAAACCATATCCATTCTTCTTAGATCTGATCAATTGGTATCATCTAATAGAATTGCTTTTCCTAAATAATAACTATTTGATGCTGTATATTATAGAAAAAACAAGAATGTGTCCATAGTACATGGATGCCCCACTAGCACTATCATTTTCTATGTTCAGTGGACCGTGAAATTGGGGTCAAAACTCTAATTTGGCATTAAAATTACAAAGATCATATCTTAGGGAACATGTGTACTAAGTTTCAAGTTGATTGGACTTCAACTTCATCAAAAACTACCTTGACCAAAAACTTTAACCTGAAGCTGGAGAGACGGATGGACGAACAGACGAATGAACGGATGCAGACCGAAAAGCATAAGGCCCCTAGGTGGGGCATAAAAATATATGACTTAATAACAGCTTCTTTATACCTTACATTTCATTTTAGTTATAAGAATATTCAGTATTGAAATAAAGATTTTTCAGCTAATTAGTCTGACCCCTCAAAACTGGTATTCTTGCCTGGAGAATTCATAAAAAAGTTCCAATCTTAAAGATTTTCACAAACCCAATTTTTTTTCTGAAGATGAAAGTTTAGCTTACCTCTCTGTCAACAATGGTTGCATGCTCAACAGCCTCTTCCTGTGAACACTCTACTGCTCTCTGTAAAGTGTTAATCACCTACAAAAAAAAAACCAATTCACTCATTGTACAACTGTCATTTTTCAGTAATAAAATTCCTACAAAATTTTGTTTACATACTGTAAATTCAGAAATTATTGCGATGTTTTTATTATTTCGAAAAATGCGACAGGCTTATAATCGCAATAATTTAAACTCGCATTTTGAAATTTTTTATATAATTAAACAGGATTTTTCTCAATATCGCAAAAAATAAAATCGCATTTTAGTCTAAAATGACAAAATCGCAATAATAAATGCACGCAATAATTTCTGAATTTACAGTATACCTTTTCAAATTAAGACTGTGATAAGAAATATGAAGCAAGAAATAAAGTTGGCCCTATTCATTATGTGCCTTACCTTGGTTCTGAACATTACAGTGTTTTTAAATGATATATTTTACAGAGTGGTTGATTTATTAACAGATACTTTTTACCCATTCAGGTTACACCATGTATATGCTTTGTTAGTAAATAAATTTAAAGTGGCATTATTATAATACAGAAAACTTCCAAATGAGACTTATGTTTGTGGATAATCATTTAAATTTTAATATGAGCATGCAAAAGTCTAAAATTTGGGTTTCTATGGAAAACATTCCCATTATTTATAGGTAAAGACCCTTTCTTCAATAAAAGGAATGTTATATCCTATAAATAAGCACATTGATAAAATGTGCTTCATACACTTTTTCATTGATACTGATCTTGATAGATATCAAATGGTTTTAACTTAGAAATATAACCAGTAATTTGGTTGGTATATGATGAAATAAAAGTAGTCATGTTATATTTTTTTTGTATGAAAGAAAATTGTAAACCAAATTAAAACATATAATTGTCTCTTCGATTTCCCAACAACTTTCATTGACAATTGGTTACTGTCATGAACGAAATATGTACAACAAACAGATGTGTCTTTTGTTTATTTGTATTGTTGGTTTGTTGTCTCATTAACATTTATCTAACATCTAATTTTATTCAGATATAATCAATATGATTTTTAACTGGGGAATATGGCCTTTTTTGCCAAATTACTAATGTTAGCTTATGAAAGCAAGAGGAAGATGAAAAGGTACTTTTCAGCAGTGTTACCTAATTTCAAGGCAGAAGCTCATTTAAGCAAATAAGTACAACTGAATTACATAAAGCATATGCTTGACACATTGGGAGTAGGAGTTTACATATTTTTAGTTATAAACATTATAAATTCAAGAAAAGTTCAAACCTGAATGAGCATGATAGCAGTTGAATTCTAATGGACAAAACTAACCCCCAAAAACTAAAACATATTTAGATTTTTTATATACTGTATTAAGATAAAACTTTCTAAAACAGAAGAATAAAATGCCACCTTATAACTACTAAACTAACTGTATACTACACATTAAAATAAATAATATTCTCCTTTATAAACTGCCAGATTTTTCAGAATTGTATATACCTTACTTCATGTGAATGATGGCTTTAGTATATACATATTACTTTTGTTGAATCATAACTTTTGTTGAATCATAATCTAAGTACATATATTACTTCAACTCAATAGGTGCAGTTGACAGAATTATATTTAGATAACATGGAAATTTTCAAAAATTTGTACATATATATCTTAATAAAAAGTTGCAAAATTAAGAACCATTCAATTAGTAAGCACAGGTTTAATGCAGCATTAAAATTCAGGAAAAATTATATAAATCATATTGATCTAATAGTAAATATCACTATAACCTTCTTCCTTGCATTTGATCCCTACAAAACAATTATACTGAGCTGAAAATTGTTACAGGAGTAGCATACATGTACATTAGATACATGTTAAAAATAGAAAAACTCCCAAGATTTAAGAGATTTAAAATGTTACAGGAGTAGCATACATGAACATTAGTCACATGTTAAAAATAGAAAAATTCACAAGATTTGAGAGGTTTAAAAAGTTACAGGAGTAGCAAACATGTACATGACAAAGCTAGATACATGGACTGACATAGGTAAAGCATTACACCCATGTCCTTAGGAGCTGGGGTATAATTATGGACTGTATTCAACCCTAGCGCCAACTTTAGTCAAGTTTTAAGGGGATTATATTGACTGTTGTTATAGTATACACCAGTACAAGTGATAGATGCAGAAACAAATATTTTTGGCTCAAAACTATTGCAAGGGAATTATAAAGGTTCAAATTCATCCATCTTGTTTACATTTTCAGGCTTCATTGGCTTTTTCACTAATCAGTCAAGGCTCACGTTAGCGGAAGACAGAGTGAAGAAGTCACTTTCCTGTCTGTCACTTAACTTTGTCCGATCATTTAAAGCAATATCTAGTTGCCGGGGTGTTCACAATAGTTGCTTTTAGTTGCTTTTATCACCAGCAATTTTCCATTTTTACCAAGTTGATGAAACAGCCATTTTTTTATTTATAAGTAAAGAAATTCAAAGACATAAGCAATTCATTTCTTTAGAAACGAGGTGAAAGCATTGACTTTACAGATTGGTCGTCTGTTATTTCAAACAAAAAACTTTTTATGAAGCATTATTTTTTTCTTCAGGTACTTGTTACTCGAGAGCATACATCAAATCATTCGGATTTTTTGGCAAAATAAGTTTGATATCTCATTAGAACTAACGAAAATTGGCTTTCGTTAATGTATAATCCATTTACTCATTAAAAGCATCATATTCCTTCCCAAATCACTTGTCAAAACATAGTTTATTTTCATAAATTTTTATTCCTTCGCCATTTACCTATTTGTAAGAACCATGGATCGAACTCGGTATTTCACAGGCCGATTAGCTATGACTTAAATCCACATTCTTACAATAATTACTACAGACGCACGCAGACAGAAGAATTATTATCCCAAAAGGGAAAATTACACATTCCACACACATTAACAGACATTTGGTTAGATCTCTTTGCTAAATGTATATATTTCCATGTTTCAATTTATTGATTAAAGTGGCTTAACTTTGTTAAATCTATATATCTTTTTAACGAAAAACAAATTTTATAGCCTAAAAATTTTGGGTGAATCAAAGCACTATTCTTTTTTGATTTGGAGTTTCTTTATAATATTTTGGAAACTTGATGTGACATGGTTACTAAAGCTTGTATTTAAAACAGGACAAAACTGGGTGACAATTTGATTGGTTAACTTCCAGTGATGGTTATTATCTTATATACAATGAAATGTTATGTGAAATATTAACTGTAGTACTAAACAGGATAAAACTTTACTCATGCCAAGTATTTCTATATTGGGAACAAAGATAATTCTTCACAATTTTTTATAAAAATCACAATTTAACAGAGACTAATAGAGAAAATACAATGGTGGTATGACACCGAGATACATTCTTGTTTTGAAGAACGTGAAGAAAATATCTGACCTAAGAAGAAAAAAAATGTCATAAACAAGGATGTCTAGGATTTCATTCATTTCTTTATACTGACATAAGAAGCTTATTAGAAGTTAATGCTTAATCTGAAATGTGAAGAGAGTTAATTTTACATTATTTGAACCCACTCACCTGTTCATAAGTATGGAGTTCATCATTAAACAGCATTGTGATATATGAATCATCTAACTCGCCCTCAGGTTGTATGTCTGATGGCAGACAATCACACTGCTCCCAAGTTAACATTTGCACTACATAATGTAGAGTTGCCATGAATAATGCGCTGGCTCTGTCAGTCAAATCTTCTGGTAAGACTTCAATAGGATTCTATATAAGATAATTAAGATAGATATATTTAATTAAGTCCACTATGGTCTTATAAACTTTTTACTTCCATTTTTTATGGTTTCAAAAGAGTCCTACCATTAAAGTCGGGAATTTTATGAATATTCATAATATAAAGTTTGGTACAAATCCAGGATAATTTAAGAAAGTTATTAAAATTTTAAAAACTTTAACCACAGAGTGAATGTAATATTTCCTGGCAGAAATTTTTTTTTTCTAAATTTACTTCTGGATACTATCTTATGATCATAACCAAGCTTCTGTCCAAGTTTGGTAGAAATCCAGGATAGTTTGAAAAAGTTATTAAAATTTTAAAAACTTTAACCACAGAGTGAATGTAATGTTTCCTTGCAGAAAAACTAAGTCCATTTATAAGTAAAATACGGAAAAACAGGAATTTTTTTTTTTAAATTTACTTCTGGATACTATCTTATGATCATACCCAAGCTTCTGTCCAAGTTAGGTAGAAATCCAGGATAGTTTGAAAAAGTTATTAAAATTTTAAAAACTTTAACCACAGAGTGAATGTAATGTTTCCTTGCAGAAAAACTAAGTCCATTTATAAGTAAAATACGGAAAAACAGGAATTTTTTTTTTTTAAATTTACTTCTGGATACTATCTTATGATCATAACCAAGCTTCTGTCCAAGTTTGGTAGAAATCCAGGATAGTTTGAAAAAGTTATTAAAATTTTAAAAACTTTAACCACAGAGTGAATGTAATGTTTCCTTGCAGAAAAACTAAGTCCATTTATAAGTAAAATACGGAAAAACAGGAATTTTTTTTTTTAAATTTACTTCTGGATACTATCTTATGATCATAACCAAGCTTCTGTCCAAGTTTGGTAGAAATCCAGGATAGTTTGAAAAAGTTATTAAATTTCAAAAACTTTAACCACAGAGTGAATGTAATGTTTCCTGGCAGAAAAACTAAGTCCATTTATAAGTAAAATACGGAAAAACAGGAATTTTTTTTTTACAAAATTTACTTCTGGATACTATCTTTTGATCATAAACAAGCTTCTGTCCAAGTTTGGTAGAAATCCAGGATAGTTTAAGAAAGTTATTAAAATTTCAAAAAATTTTAACCACAGAGTGAATATTTGTGGACGCCGCCACCGACGACGACGACGCTGAGGGAATGTAGGATCGCTATGTCTCGCTTTTTCGACAAAAGTCGATGGATCGACAAAAATATATGTTTATCATCGATTTTACCTGAATAAGAATGATTTTTTGTGGATCGAATCAGTCAATCAAATGATTTACCCTTGTTTCACTTTCAATGTTGACATTCTTTTCTTCAAAATAACTTTACATGCACAATTCATGCTTATCCATCTCTAGCTAAGGGGTTAAATTGAGGTTCACATGAATATGGATTCAATGAGGACGAATTATTCACTTGCAAGTGAATAATTCATCATCAATGTTTCTTCGCTTATTTTGACAAAATTGAACCATAGTGGCTGCTAAAAGCGAATAATTATTTCACTATTTCACTTTCATGATTGAACAAAAAAAATCATATTTTAGATTTTTTATATATCTCGTAGCTAGTGCCCCTTTAACAATGTATATAAAAATTTGAAAAAAGGCAATTTTGTCTTATTGTATGACACAGAAGTGCTGACAGAAGGACAGACAGATACTGTGGGCACTATTAACTGTATCTTCAGAACAAAGTGGGACTCAGTATTTTTGCCTTAGGTGATCTATGCATAAGGCAGATGTCCCCTAATGTCAACCTTATACCTAAATCACTAAGCTACTCCAAACCCTATAAACAGTATATTTTCAGTCCAATAAACTTGCATCCAGGACACGTGTACATAATCTTATATAGAATCCTATACAACATGTATGTTGTTTACTCCCTTGTCCTTTGTTCTTTAGTGGAAAGTTGTTTCAATGGCAATAATACCACATATTGTTATTTTTATATTGATTATAACACTTCAATAGGATATTGTATGGATTAGTCTTAGAATAGAAATTTAACTTCAAGTTAATTCTAATATACAGTTCGTGAATCTAATTGCATTCTCAGCTGTTAAAATCAGATAACATAACATTTTATTATTTTACTCTTAATCTTCAAATAACAATGAATCAAGAGGTAATAAACTGTTGATACAGAGATATGTCTAGCCTTTATGTAATTTTAATAGTACAATGTTAATATTAAAATTAAAATGGCAATACTTTAACATGTAAACGACCATGCTGAACATTCAAAGACAATGTATCATGAATGAATGAGCAGGATCAAATAACCTCCTTCGAAATTAGAAATTCCAATGCTTATACAAATGAACACCAAATACCACTGACTTATCATATTAAATGGTTCCCCTTTAAACTGAACATAACGCAAACTTCAAAATGTCGAAGTCAATAGACCATGACTGAGGGGGTCAAGGCCTATAAAACTCCATGGAAATGAGATGTGCCAAGGATAATACAACTGCATACCTAATAGCATTGACTTACCACTACTATTGGTAATCTTAAACTGACCTAATCACAAGCTAATACATTGCTGATGACGCTGCCGAAAAAGTATCTCTTTTCCCACTTCTACGAGGTGAGACAAAAATTCAAGCATGATACATTTACCTTAGCAATATTACGAACAAACCTGGTCAGACATTGGTTTATTTTTTGCATTATGTATTTCACAGTAAGGATCACTTTTCCATGCCTCTACATCACCACAATCACAATATCCTCCTCCTCCGGATGTACTCATCTGTCAAAATAAACATCAATCATTATTTTCAAAGTTACATTTATGTATGTGTTTGTGTTATGTGCCCTACCTTACAATGCAATCAATTGACAAAAGTACAGAGAATAGATCACCATAGATAAATATTCAAGCCCAGAACTAACAAAATGGTTGTTTGAACTTTTGCAGCTTAATTCTATTGGGAATAAAATGCTTCACCGAGCTCAGCCTGATATGACTGCTGATATCGAACCATGAACAATTTGGGAAAGTTTGGACACAATATTCAAGCTTGATACTGTCTGAATTTGGATTGTGATCAAGTTTTTGACATAATATAGGTTTCTGACACAAAATAAATGTGGTCAAAGATCTTAAAAATTTGAAATGGCACATTTAATTTACCTAGTATGGTCTAATATCCAAAATCTAACAACATGGTTATATTCAGCACATAAAAAAACACCAAATATTTAATTTTAGTTGAAATCAAACACAGTTTAATTTTGAACCCTTCAAACCTTAATATGGAATAATGTGAAAACAGGGCCCAAAATAAATAAATGGGGAATGTGTCCATGGGACACAGATGATGCCCCCGCTTGCATATAATGTTATAAAGGGAAATAACTCAAAAACTGTAAAAGTGACGCTACCCAAATTTGTACTTGTTCTGAGTTTTTCTTGTAATAAGCATTTTTCATAAGTTTCATAACTTTTAGTTGAGGCAAACTTAAGTTAGAGAACGGAAACGAAAAATTCTGCAATTTTTCCATTTGTAAAGGGGCATAACTCTAGAACAGTAAAAGTGACGCCACCAAAATTCGAACTTGATCTGTGTTTTGTGGTAATTAGCATTGTGCGTAAGTTTCAACACTTTTGGTTGAGGCAAACTAAAGTTGGAGAACAGAAACGAATATTTCAGCATTTTTTTCCACTTGTAAAGGGGCATAACTCTAGAAAAGTAGAAGTGTCACCACCAAAATTCATACTTGATCTGTGTTTTGGTGTAATAAGCATTGTGTTTAAGTTTCATTATATTTGGTTGAGGCAACCTCAAGTTAGAGAACAGAAAATAAAATTCAGCAATTTTTCCATTTGTAAAGGGCACAACTCTAGAACAGTTAAAGTGATGCAACAAAAATTCAAACTTGATCTGTGTTTTGTGATAATTAGCATTTTGTTTAATTTTCATAACATTAGGTTTAGGCAAACTAAAGTTAGAGAACGGAAACCAACCATGGGACGTACGTACGTACGTACAGACAGACAAGGGTAAAACTTAATGCCCCCTCCGCTACTTCGGGGGCATAAAAATCTAAATGCACAATAAGATTTAACATATCATAGAACCGCAATAATTCAGTTTCTGATGAAATAAAACAAAGTTTAATTATGGACCCTTTGGACCTCAATGTAGACCAATTTAACAAGAGGCTCTCGAGAGCCTGAATCGCTCACCTGTATTTGAGAGGAGAGATTTTTAAATGTTAACAAACTTGATGAACAAATTGTGTAAAATTGTCTTTAAAGGGCAATAACTCCTTAAGGGGTCAATTGACAATTACGGCCATATAAACTTTTTTGTAGATCTTACTTTGCTGAACATTATTGCTGCTTACAGTTTATATATATCTATAATAATATTCAAAATAATAACAAAAAACTGCAAAATTTTGTTAAAACTACCAATTCGGTGGCAGCAACCCAACAATGGGTAGTTCGATTCGTCTGAAAATTTCAGAGCTGATAGATCTTGACCAACTGAACAATTTTACCCCATGTCAGATTTGCTCTAAAAGCTTTAGTTTTTGAGATATAAGCCAAAAACTGCATTTTACCCCTATGTTCTATTTTTAGCCATGGCGGCCATGTTTGTCGATGGATCAAAACTTCGGATACAATTTATAAATAAGATAGCCTAAGGAACATTTAGTTAAAGTTTGAAGGTATTTGGCCCAGTAGTTTCAGAGGAGAAGATTTTTTAAATAGTTTACGACGACAGACGACGACGATGACAGACGACGACAGACGACGGACGCCAAGTGATGGCATAAGCTCACATGGGGCCCAATATCAAAAATAGTAATACAAGGTTAGAACCCCCAATACTGTGCTATTGCCCAAAACTGTGCTATTGCGTAAAACTGTGCAATTGAAGATTTCCTGCTATTGTGCAATACTGTGCAATTGAAGATTTCCTGCTATTGCGCAATACTGCGCAATTGAAGATTTCTTGCTATTGCGCAATACTGTGCAATTAAAGATTTCTTGCTATTGCGCAATACTGTGCAATTGAAGATTTCTTGCTATTGCGCAATATTGTGCAATTGAAGATTTCTTGCTATTGCGCAATACTATGATATTGCCCAATACTGCAATATTACGCAATACTGTGCAATTAAAGACTTCTGGTTATTGTGCAATACTGTTATATATAATAATTTACACACCCTGTTTGATGTGTATCTCCTGCCATATCAGTATTTGTTGCTTTTATATATAAATCAGAAATAATCAAGGTAAAAATGGAAAATTTTTAGAAAAAAAAAAATGTTTTTGGCCTCTTTTAGGCCCCTAATTCCTAAACTGTTGGTACCATAACCCCCCAATTCAATCCCAACTTTCCTTTTGTGGTATTGAACCTTCTGGTAAAATTTCATAGAGATCAATCACTTAAACTAAAGTTATTGTCCGGAAACTAAATGTGTCTTCGGACGACGACGCTGACAACATGATACATGTACCATTATAAGAACGCAAAAAATTTTTTGCAGTCGTATAAAAATTAAAACTTTATGATAGTTCTTCAAAGTTATTCTGAATAAAAATTGTTTTTCAAACTTCTCTCATATAATATCCAACGGATAATATGAACATCTACATATTATGCACAACAAAACAACATTACTGGTATATAGAACTATAATGTCGTCATATAGTATTTCATATTAAATTAATTCTAACACAATTTATTAGGGTCCCACAAAAAGGATGTGGGAGCCTTTGTTTTCACATTATCTGTCAACAATTTTTGTAAATGCAAGAACTCCAAAAGTATAGTTAGGAGGCCAATGAAATTTTGAACAGTTGTTGTGCATAATATGTAGATGTGCATTATATTTTGGTGAAATTCAGCTCATTCATTTGTGAACAAAATTATGTTTTTATTTAAAAATCATGAATTTTATCATATATTTTGTGCCACAAATATACCAGTTGGGCGCTTGCTGATTTGTCAGTTTTCAAGTTGATTCAGAGCATATTTCTCAAATGCATGTCATGTAAACTATAGGCTGCTGGATAACTCAGTCTAAAGCAAATTCTGTCTAAAATGAACTCTGACTAAAACAAACTCAGACCATCATTGTTTATCTACAGAAATAAATAGAACTCCAGTTAAGTTTCTTCCATCTTGTGTTCTGTTGTGTATTGCACTGTTTACTGTTCAATTAACAAAAAGACACACAGTATCGATCTGATATAATTGACTGTTACTGAATGCTAGTTCAAAGCCAATAACAACTAATAAATAAATTTATCTTCACAGAAATTTCAATCAGTACACATCCAACAGATCTAGTGTAAAAATGTTATAACCAGTCTTTAAAAAGCATGACCTTGTGTACTGGCAAAATATAAGTATTTACAGCATGTAGGACCATAAGTGTTCATGACTATATAGCAACACATATTTAGTAATGCTTTAATCTATAACTATCAAAATGCATGTTAGTACAGATTAAAGAAAATATTCTTTATATTTTCTTTCAAGCAATAGAGCTTAAGTTTATATAGAGGTAAGCCTAGCATCTCTTACAGGAAATTTTGGAAGGAAGCTTTGCCGTGCCCTTTTTTGTAGAAATTTTTGTCATTATGCTGTTTGCCTGTCATACTGTAATTTATAATCTGGACTGTGATTTGTCTTTAAGGTGGTACATAACCCTACAGGGAGATAACTCTGTAAAAATCAGCTGAACGTTTTAATCATGTTCTATTGTTAAGGAAATATTAAGCTTCTCAATGATCAAAATTAGTGTTTGTCAAACAGCTATATATCCAATGAAATTTTTCCAATAAAGTGTGTGGTTCCAAGTTTTTTTAGATTTTTATATTTTTGTCAAAGGGTCAAAGTAAATATTTTGTCAAAATTTTATGAAATTTAAACAAGGGGAATTAATTCTAGTCAAGGTGTTTGGTACCACCTTAAGGTAGACAGTTTGAGTTATAATTTTACAATGCATGGGATGTTGAGTTATCACATAGCTGATTGATTATAATTTCAATTAGTAACTGTCAAATTGACTATTTTGTCAATCAAGGGATAGGATTACTTTTGGTACAAATGTGTATAATAAAACTATGTTGTGTAATTCTAAGAAACAAAACAACACACAATGGTATAATGAAGATTGTAACAAACCAAAGAAAGAATTAAGAAAATCACAAAGATTTATAAACACTATTGGCCAAACATTTTTAAGGAAAGATTGTGACAGAGTGAGATATATTATAAGAAAGTGGTGAGTGAAAAAATTAAGAAATTTAATGCAAATATGAGTGACAATATGTGAAAAAAAAAATGAAAACTAAAAATCCAAAAGAATTTTGGAAATTGTTTAATAAGGGACGTCAAAGAGAAAAAAGCAATATATCTATTGGAAAATTATTTGATTTTTTAAAGATTTGAACAAGAACCAAGTTTGAAGATGAATACACAATTGAAAATGATGTGAGTTCATCTACTGACACTGACACACTTAATTGTGTTATTACACAGAAGCTGTTAAAAAGGTGAAGAATAATATATCGTCTGGGGCAGATAAAATCATTAATGAATTCATTGCTTCATTGCTAGACAGTATGATTGATATATATATAAAATTGTATAATTAAGACCTTTTGATTATAGAATTAACATGATTAATGCAATACCTGCTTAAATTCATGTTTTAGGAATATTTATGTTATTGTTATATATTGTTTATGATTGTTTATCATAAGCCTCAAAATCAGCAGCACTATATTCCAGTTTCCCCCTTCGATATAACAATATTTTTGATACGGGTATAGAAAGCCTGGCTTATTGGTAATGTGATACCAATATTTAATAACAAGGGGTGCAAATTAGATCCAAAAAATTATAGACCGATAACTTTATTGTTGAGCTTGGGGAAAATATTTACATCTATTCTTACTGACAGGTTGGGTTTTCTCGTTGATGAATTGAATAAATTAAATGAAAACCAAGCCGGCTTTCGACATGGTTACTCTACTTCTGATCATATTTTTTTCTTTGTATGCACTTTTTGAACCTCTCTTTATTAAAAAGAAAAAGCTTCTTTGCCCGTTTGTAGATTTTGAAAAGGTTTTTGATTTTGTACACCAGAATTTTCTATAAACTCCTTTTGAATAATGTAAAAGGAAAGTTTCTTAGAGTTGTTAAAAATATGTATGATGATGTTAAATCACATATTGTACATAATAATAATTTATGTCTTTGGACAACGACGACATGATAGCATATACGAACGCAAATTTTTTGCGGTTGTATAAAAATCTGAACAGCTGACAGATAGTTTTGATTGCAACTACAATGGCATCATTAGCTGTCACATTGTTGATATTCTCCGAATAATTCCTTAATTAGGGCAACCATTAAACACCTTTCCTGAAAGATGATTTCTGTTACAGGTTAACTGATTAGGTTTTTTTAGTTAAAAAAAAAAACACAGTTTCAATCAAACACATAATTAACTGTAAAAAATATTCATCTGAAAAGTTATGTTAAGTTATAAGCCTAGGAAGCTTTGACTGGTTATACTTTAAGACCCCAAAAGGTCTTTGGTACTGATTATGCTGTGCAGTTAAGAAGCCATGCCTATGCATTGGCCATGCAAGTCCTGACAATTACACAACAAATCCAGTCTTCACGCTGAACCACAGGCCCAGCAGCCCAGGGTTGTAAAATTGCTCTCAGGCCTGTAAAAATCATATCTACAGGCCAAAAGATTCTAACTAAAATTTTCCAAAAATTAAGCTCCGATCCTGTAGATTTTAAAGTTCATCGTGAAGACTGCAAATCATCACATACATCCTGGCTAACCAGAGTCAGTGTTAAAGTTCACTTGAGTTGATTTAAAAACAAAGAAATAAATGATCAAATATAATTTTATCTTTATTATTTTTATATTAAAAATGAAACAGTATCGTAATTGTATATTTTGTTTAAATCCATGAATCAATAACAATGCCTTTTATATGTGGAAAAAAAGTGTTGCCATTCACATTAAGAGTGCTCTCAGAGAAAACGATTACCCTGCCCTTTTTAGAATTCTACAGGAAGCACTATGATTATAAAATTAAGGAGATGTGGTATGATTGTCAATAAGACAACTATCTACCTGAGTTCAAATGATGTGGAAGTAAGCAATTACCATGAGCCATTCAAACATTTATTACATGTATATATTTTTTAAAATTAGAATAGGCTTGCTTGGAGAAAAAAAATCCAAATAGATTCTTTGATCTTACCACATGAATCTGTAAAAGAACACGAATTTGTTTTACAATATATTTCTCAAAATAGACACAATTAAACAATGAATGTCAACTGCATAGTATACTTAGATTAAGGTACATTTAGTTCTATAATCAATGTAAAAAAAAAACAACAAATAAACAAACAAAAACAAGCAGCAGCAATCCCAGCTCTGCTGCTAAGTCACTGATTAATTGGTTTTTATAATAATATCATAATACAACTACTCAAGCAGTTATCACACTTAAAAATCATATGCATTAAAAACAAAAAAATTTCATGATCAAAAGTACTAATTTACAATTTACAGTAACCTATATGAAAATGTATCTAGATATTAAAAAGTTAGTAATATGCTCTTCAGCAAGATGTTCATTCACTTTTTAAACTTTCTAGATCATTTAAAGTAAAAAAAATGTTTAAAAGTGGTCAAAATGAAAATTCTGATTAAAATTAAAGTGAATATAATAAAGGATCTTGTTATTGTCATAGACAGTCAAAATCTAGGCAATCTTTTATTAATAAAAAAGGGGTGAAAATAATAGGTGAATCACTGTGAAAGTATGTGTAGCAAAAATTGCAACAGATGCTACGTATACTGCAATTTTGAGTGGAAGGTTGTGTTGATGTTATACGTTTGTTATATGACTGTTCTTATATATATATTTTTAATATCTAAAATTTCCAGCATATATTCAAACAAAAAAAGAATGACTTATGATCCTACATCCTGTCGATACCCTTTACTTATACATTGGCATTGCAAAAGATCATGCGCTTCTCAGACTATTTATGACAACTTTACACTTAACCCTTTGAATGTGTAATGATTGATACTTTAGTCCGAGTGAAAATGATTTATCTATTAGTTGTCATTGGCTTTGAACTTGCTTTCAGTAACTACGTAATTGTGAGAACTCTTATTTCTGTGCTTTGTGTCTATTGTTTTAACGTTGGTTATTTTTGTGCCTTGAGTTAAGCCCATTGCAACTGATTTTTCCAGTTTGTTCTTATGTTGTTCTGTAACACCACTGTTTCAGGTTAGAGAGAGGGTTGAGCATTCACAAACATGTTTAGTTTGTTATAGTCAGAGTTTGTCATGGTCTGAGTTTGTCATAGGCCGAGTCATCAGGAGGTCCATACGAATTTCTTACCTTATATCTATGTTTCTTGTGAGCACTTTTTTGGAAACAGTCAATACACAATACACATGTATTATCATTGGCACAGTCTCTGTAAATATAGCATACAAGGCATGAATGTAAGAGTCTGGATTAGATCATATGTGCCAGTCAAGACTTCATCTGAAAGGCCAATGACTTAAAGGGTATCTTCAATTTAGGATATGAAGAAAAAAAAATGGTACAGAAGTAATTTCTTTTATTTCATTGAGATCATGTACAAAAAGTATTGCTATTTAGCATTAATTTTTGTTGGCAATGCTTTTCTGGTAATAAAACTACCTCTGGTATTGGATAATTACCAAAAAGGGTCCGCCTAATTAACATTTGAATGCCCCCAGGCCCCAGGAGATATTGGCAAATAATTGCTATTCATTTTTTACCTATGTACACACCTGACAGGAGATTGTAGCACTAATACTGTAGAGAAATTCTATTCCATGACAAGTTACTTCATTATTTAATAACTTTCAGCAAAGGCTATCAATAAATTCGATTAAAAAATGCAAATTGTTATTCAATTATGAAGAAAGTTATTTTCATGAGTCAAACTAAGAAAAGTACAAAAAATCAGTTCCAGATTCAATAAAAATTAATTCAGGACAAGTAAAATTTACATGAAATTTTCAAAGTCAGGGAATGATAAATGTATTTCAAACAAAATCAGTCAGCTGAAACAAAACATAAACTTGTTCTGTAAGACATGTGTATACATTAATGTACCAAACATTTTAATGCATTACAAAAAAAGTCCAGATAAGTACAATTTTCATAAAACTTCCTAAGTCCAAGAGCAATTATACTGCAAAAAGTAAAAAAACCAGAATGACAAGCAAATTTCATCTGTAAGTCATCTTTATGCACTTACCGGTATGGACAAAAAAATAGCTCTGGTTTTAAAAGCATTAAAAATAAATGTGGATAGTGTCCACATGTGGACACAGATGATGCCCCCGCTTGCATATCATATAGTTATTAAGGGACATAACTGAAGAACGGTAAAAGTGACGCTACCCAAATTTGAACTTGATCTGAGTTTTGTGGTAATAAGCATTGTGTGTAAGTCCCATAACATTTGGTTGAGGCTAACTTAAGTAGAGAACAGAAACTAAAAATTCAGCAATTTTTCTATTTGTAAACAACTCTAGAACGGTTGTATATAAGTTTTATAACATTTGGTTGAGACAAACTAAAGTTAGAGAACGAAAACGAAAATTCAGCAATTTTTATGTTTATAAAGGGACATATCTCAAGAATGGTAAAAGTGTCGCCACCAAATTTCGTACTTAATCTGTATTATGCAGTAATAAGCATTGTGTATAAGTTTCATAACATTTGGTTGAGGCAAACTAAAGTTAGAAAACGGAAACAAAAAATTTGTACTTGATCTTAGTTTTGTGGTAATGAATATTGTGAATAGGTTTCATAATGTTTGGTTTGGACAAACTTAAGTTACAGAATGGAAACTAAAAATTTTTGCAATCTTTCGATTTATAAAGGGGCATAACTCAATAATGGTTAAAGTGACACTACTCAAATTCAACTTGATCTGTTTTATCAGTGGAAGTCAAAATTAAACATTGCATTGTATAAAGCATTGACTGTAGTTGATTCAACTATAATCATGGACAAAGGAAGATAACTCCAATTTTAAAAATTACTTGATATATAGAAGAAAATAAAAATTTTGCAATTTTTCCATTTATAAAGGGGCATAACTCTAGAACGGTTAAAGTGACACCACCAAAATTCAAACTTGATCTGTGTTTTGTGGTAATAAACATTGTGTATAAGTTTCATAGCATTTGGTTGAGGCAAACTTAAGTAAGAAATAAACTAAAAATTTTGCAATTTTTCCATTTATAAAGGGGCATAACTCTAGAATGGTTAAAGTGACGCCACCAAAATTCAAACTTGATCTGTGTTTTGTGGTAATAAGCATTGTGTATAAGTTTCATAACATTTGGTTGAGGCAAACTCAAGTTAAGAGAACGGAAACCAATTTTGGGATGTACGTATGTACATACGGACAAGGGTAAAACTTAATGCCCCCACCGCCAGGGCGGGGGCATAAAAACAAATTCTTTGTCAAAGGGCTGTAATTAAGCCAAATTTGGTCACTCAGACAAAGCGTTAACTTGATCTGTGAGTTATTATTGTATACTAATGTACCCTAACAACTGTCAGTGGTAACACTATATGCTTCATCCACTTAGGGATTAGTGTATTATCTCATGGTAAGCTTTTATTATTTCTTACATTTTGACTTTTATGACTTACAGAAAATTGTTCGTTCGGCAAGCTGGAAATCAAAATTTCAGTGGTAAGTTGCTTTACATGTACTTGGTAAATCTGTTCAATGATAAAATTAGAATTGTTTTATGACTTGTTTTTAGAAACTTCCGTGGTTATAATACCTGCATGAGTATGTTGGTTCACCATTTTTAAATACTTTGCCACAGAGTTGAGATGGTTGATCCTTTTCCTTTAAAGACTTGAGGATTATTTCAGGGTCACCATTACACAAGAAATGCTCCATAGGCCGCAAGAGAAATTTCTCTGCCAGTCTATCTTCCTTGCTGGACTCATAGTTGTTGGCAAAGACAACTAAAGCAAATGTTTTCCAGTGTTTCTGTAGAGCTGAAAGTAGGTTTCCTGATCTACACTGCAGGTTCCATTCCTGAAAAAAATAAATCTTTCTAAATGGTGTTCAATGGCTTATGAGCGCAACATATTCTATGATTAATCTGAATCAACATGCAAGCAATGTCTAAGATAGTAAGGTTACTTCATGTTCATATGAAACAGTAATACTTTTCAACATATATTGTTTTAGCATATCTATTTGATATGTTAAATACCTTCTTGGTATCCTTGAACCTTTTTTAACATGGAAGAATAAAGTTAAGTTTTGGTGTTTGTTAGGTAAACCATGAAATCATTTTTATCATTTGCCGAAAGAATATCAGCAATTCAAAACTTGGAGAATTAACAAGAAGATGACTGAAAAACCCATATGAACATTTTCTGTTCTTAAATTTATAATTATAAACAGCTTATAAAGAATCATGGGTCACCTAACAAATAACCAAAAGTATTTTTCTGCACCTTAAAGCACAATGTCCACACTTGATTAATTTATCTGTGTATGAACATGTCATTTGTGATACAACAAATAACATGGAAAAAGACATTTTTATTAGATTTCACCAATTTATTCACTCGCTTCATAAATAGAACATTAAGTTTAAAGGTATGTCTTACAAGTATAACCAACTTACCCAATATACAATTCTGTATTGAAGGATTAAAGATTAACAAGAGTGCACATTCAAGTTAAATGTCTATCCTCATTTGCTGATTATAATTGAATTTTATGTTTGTTTGTTTGTTGGTGTATACATATGGCTATATCATAGCAGCAAGTTTTTATTGGCAGAGAAAGTGCCTCAGAGGGCTACTGACCTTTTGCAGAGTCAAACACACTTTGTCAAGAAACAAGGTCAGAACTTGAGTTTTTTTATTACGGTAGATTCTTTTAGATAAATGTCTTTATGATTAGAGTTTTATGGATTAAGGTCTTACTACGGATATAGCATAATCAATGACCAATGAAGATAAAATCAAGGTCAATGAACCCTGACATAGACATGTACACCTAACATTTATTCCATACAACACATATAGTTGACCTCTTTACTTATACTGTATAAAAACAACAGACCTTATGATGAAATACTAACATTGACCAATGAGTCCTGGAAATGAGGTAATGATCAAATGAACTCTGTCAGGACATGTACATGTAAACCTTAAAATCATTATGAATACCAAATATACATTTGTAGCTGACCTATTACTTATTATGCTTATATATAGAATCTGAGAAACATACATGACATACTGAATCATGAAAATATGAGGTAGACCAATGAACCATGAAAAAAAGGTCATGGGCAGATGATCCTTATCAGATGGATATAAACACCTTATAATTGTTCTTTACACACAAAATAGTTGACCTGTAACTTAACAGTATCTACAAAATGGAATGAGCCATGAATATGAGGTCAAGGTCAGATTACCCATCAGACAGACATATATAAAAATAAGGAGATGAGGTATGATTGCCAATGAGACAACTATACACCAAAGTTCAAATAAAGTGGATGTAAGCAATTAAAGGCAACCGTACGGTCTTCAACAATAAGAAAACCCTATACCATATAGTCGGCTATAAAAGGCATGTTCACCTTACAATCATTTTATATACCAAATGTACTAGAGTTGACTTACATGGTATGTAATCAAATAAACTTAAATGTTGATCACTGATTGATGAAATAAGGTCAAGGTCAGGTAGTCCCTGTGTGGCAAACATGTACATGTATACTCTGCCATGCATCTTTATACCAAATATATGTCCTTTTGCTTATAATACAACTGAGAAATTCAGATAATATACTCTTTTTGTTAGTAATCATTGACCATGAATCAGAGGTAGAGGACAAAACACATATGTCAGACTGAAACCTCAGTTCATAAGGCAAACATTGTACATGTATGTTTATTAGATATACTTCTATCTCTTTTTTTTAAAATGAAGGTAAATACAAAGAGATAATGCCCCTATAACCTCAGGGAGCAGGTTTTTTTTTATTAAGCAACATGCACATGATACATCTGTCCCAAATAAATGATTAAATTGTAATTTTTCAAATGCATTGAACCAAACTACATGTAGTTACATGTATAAGAAATTAAGTTAAGTTATCATAAGTTTAAACTAGGATAAATTTTAGGTTTATTTAATCAATCATTAACCTGAAATCTCCATATATTGAGCTTTATGCATTGTACATGTAATTAATACAGTCCATGTTGTCACAAAAATGGCATATTTATGCCCTATAAATCTAGCTACATGTACATGTGACTGTCAAATCAAATCAAATCTAATTAAATTTATTAAAGTCGGTAAAAAGCATACAATACAGTAAAACACATAAGCTCTTGAGAGCTTTCAAACCTACTGTTAGATGCATGCTAAACCAAAATCTATTAATATAATATAAAAATATGCATTGTAAGATTGACAATTTGTATGGCCAGGTGGCATGTGCAGTGATGTGTATTTTTGAATTGAAGAATAAAAAAATGTACCAAACAATGCAAAATAAATTTGGCCTTTACAATAAAAATTCAAAAATTATCATTGATAAGTGTATTATTTCAGCACTACAATGTTCATGTCATAGCATATGTTGAACCCCTGTGGCTGTGGTCAATTATCTGAATCTATATGCACAGCACGATAAAAGGACTTATTAAATATAGCAAATTACATTGCTAACCTTTTAAGCGAAATATTTGACTTTTGAGTGTTCACGGTTTTTACAGTGAGCTCTTCCCACAGTACATTTATATATATATAGACATAAAAAAGGAAAACAACAAAATTATACAATGCATCTTATTGGTGTACCAACTGCGCAAATCTCGGAAAATGTATACTTTGTAAAGATATATAGATTAACAAGAATTTTGAATGAATGAATTATGACTTTTTTAACAGCAATAAATACTTTTAACAGTGTATTTTGACAAAATTCTGGTGCTTGCAAAGGTAATTTCAACGCCATTTTCCCATTATTTTGACAGGATATCGTTACAACGAAACTAGGTAATTTAGGCGCTTTAAATTTACACGTAATCTCGCTACTCGTCAAACTTTGAACTGATCATGATAAAGTACATATGCACTGGGAAACTGAAAGTAGACCACTATTATATATAAGTAAAACTTTTGAAATATGGATAAAATATCAGATGTCATAATTTCTGATTGCGATAAATCAAGATATATCAAACCACTTAGACTGACATATCAACAGGTACTAATAATATCAATCAAATAATTTTTATGGCTCCTGACACAACTTCACAAGAAAATGTTTCTCTTATGGAAAAAATAGGCTGTTATATTGGAGAGTGTTTTGAATTAAGGAGATCAGGTCTGAATATTGATACTAAGTCTAATAAATAATTTGAGAACGAATGCATATAAGGTAAATTTATTTTTTGATTGTGCATTCATAATATATATTGTTGTTGGCTCTGATTCTGACTAATGCTAACATACTTATAGTCCAAATAATTATGAAGTCTTGAAAGGCTATTTTAATTCGTAGGAAGGCGTAACAGAAAACAATTAAAATAGCCTTTCAAGATCTCATAAATATTTGGACTACTAATATACTAAATATACACTTACATGTACACTGTGATGTTTATTGTTTTAATTATCAATTATGTCAATCGATTGTAACTGATTTTATGCCCTTTATGGGCCCTGTAATTTGGGAAATAAAAATATTCTATTCTATTCTATTCTAAAGAAAATGGCAAACATTAGGCATAATCTTTTTCTTCTTCTTCTTCCAACATGTCCAAATACTGCCCACATTCAACATGATGAATATTCTGGCAAGTTGTGCATGATTAAAAACTGGTTAAAAACAAATTGTTGAGTTGATAAGTTAGAGGTTTTGGTCTCTTGATACTTGAATATCTCAAGAGACTTTGCTTTTGCGATATCTGTATGCAGTTTACCAAGAAGGACCATTTCCTACAATCTTTGGTGGCTGGCTGTAATAGGTAAGTATGATGTTCTGTCTGACTAGATCTTCTTGTTGGTTTTTGTAGGTATTTACTCTTGTCTATGGCTACAAAGTCATTTGTTATTTTGTAACACATGATGAGTCAAGCTTCTTTTCATCGTGTTTGTAAGCTTTTCCATCCTATTTCGGTTATCAGGTTGCTGACAACTGATTTATTTCTGTCTGCTTGTTACATGTACATATTGTGCGGCTCGTCTCTGTACTTTTTCCATTTTATCTATGTTGTTTTGCTAGTACGGGTCCCATACTGTCGTGGTGTATTCCATTTGTGGTCTTACTAATATTTTATAGGCATGCTCCTTGATGGAATTTGAGCTGATGTGGAGGTTTTGATGTAAGAAACCAAGGCTTCGGCTGGCTTTTTCCTGTGATGTTGTTGATGTGTTCTCCCCCATCTAGATCATTTGCAATGGTGCAGCCTAGGTATTTAGTCAATGTTTCATGCTCCAGAGTATGGCCATGGAGTTTGTAGTCCCACTTGATTGGATTTTTCTTTTTTGTGATTGTGAGAATGTTGCATTTTTTCCAAAGTTTTTCCCATTTTGCCAGTTTGTCCAGGTCTTCTTGAAGTTTATGGCAATCGTCTGAGAAAATGGTCAAATAGACAACAGAATCATCCTCAAACAGTCTCACTGGGTCCTTACACTGATTCTTGTGGTACTCTGTATACTACTTTCACTTTGTCTGATGTTTTGCCTTCAACAACTTAACTACTTGGGTTCTGTTGGTGAGAAATTCCTTTATCTATTTGTTTGTTTTACTTCCAATGCCATAATTGGGTAGTTTATGTAGGTGTAAACTTTGTCAAAAGCTTTTAAAAAGTCCAGTATTAGCAGATCTGATTGTTTTCCGATTTCCAGATTATTTATGATATCGTCGATACATTCAAGGAGTTGTGTTTCACATGATCTTTTACTCCTGAAGCCATGTTGTAAAGGGTAATGGATGTTATTTACCTCTACATGTTTCAGGGATAGGGATATTGGCCTATAGTTAGCTGGTATGTATTTCCTTTCTTCGTTGAAAAATTGTAAATGATGGTTAAGATCAGAGCAATTTCACTGGCTAGTTCTTTCAGTATCATTGGTTTGATGTTGTCTGGTCCAGCAGACTTGTGTGGTTTTAGATTTTTCAGTTTTTTTTCCACCCCATTATAAGTGATGATTATTTGTTCGCTGTTTGGATAGTTTTCAGGTAGATCTCTTTTACTGATAGGACATGAGTGGAGAAGACTGATTGGAATCGATCATTTATATTTACTTTTTTATTGGATCAGTTTCTAATTTCCCATTTCTTGTAAGTGGTGCTACTCCATTTTTATCACTTTTCTTGTGTTTGATATATTGTTGGTGAATGGATGTCCCCGTTATCTTCTGGAGTTATTATGTCTTCTATATAATTCCAATAGGCTTGTCTTGATTATAAAACTGATTACCTCATACACTAGCTGAGGAACCGTAGCTCTTAGGTCCTTATGATATTTTTTGACAATTGTGGTACATGCAAGACTTCCTTTTGACCCCCTTCATGTATGTTTATGCTTATTCCATTAACCAAGGGTTTCTATACATTAAATTGTAAATCCAGACCAACACTCAACCCCGCTGGTAGCCACAAGAAACAAAATAATTTAGAGATAAGGCCAAAAAAAAATATATGTTTACGGTTACCTGACCGACCCTACTTTTGAGCGCCGACCCCAAGTCATTTTATTCCCATCGTAAAGTGAAAAATTAATTGTACTTGTGTCAAAAGCGAAGTTAGAGTTGCCAATAAAATAAATCCATTGCCTGATACATTTAAATGGTCACAATCGTAAATATGACAACTGTTTTAAGAAACTTGTGACACATGTGATGAAATAATCACTTTGCCGCCTTTTTTCTACAACCAATAACCAAGGGAAAAAATGAAAAACAACACGTTATGAATTTCATGTGTCGGAAGTGCTTTTCTGGATTTACCTTCATCAGGAAAGCTCAAAGCTGAATATTTGAAAGCCAAGAATGTATAAGAACCTAAACGGTTGTAGAGCTATATTACCAAAAAGGATCTAAAAAAATAGCCAAATCCATCTAAGGTCAACTTTGCGTGAGGGAGTTGTAATCTTAGTTTCTAATAATTTCATAATTTATGAACGGACAATTTTAGAAAAGTTTGTTATAAATCATGTCAGCACTGAAGTACTGACTACTGAGCTGATGATACCCTGGGCAACTGATAGTCCACCAGCAATAATAATATTGAAATAATCCAATCATTAAAAATACGGGTAAACTCAGCCCATGGACAACTTGATCAGACCATGGCAAGAAGGACCGCACAATTCAAAATCATGTCACAAAATATAAAATAAAATGGAAATACCGATCTACCTACCCTATTTTTTAATGATGTATCCTTAAACAGACATATATTTTTAATGTTAACCAATTTAAAAGAGAAAACCAGCAACCTGATTTATGCTAAAACAATAAATCCAAAACAAATATTGCATACAGCAATCAACGACAGACACTGAATTACAGATGCTTGACTTGAGACAAGCCTATTATTGTTCTGAAGAATGTTGCTGGGTTAAATATGTTTCTTAGCTTTTAACCTCCCCCTAAACTTGGATAGTGTAGTACCACCAATACAGGAAAATAAATTATAGATATCAGTTGGAAATCGCTTGACTCATCAGATTGAAAGGAAGCACAAAAACACTAAGAAAAATATGACTGACACAAAGCATTCTTCTATTGGTACTAGCAGTTACTGAAAGCTAGTTCAAAGCTCATCACTGCTCATTACAACTAACAAATAAATCATGTTTTACAAGTCTTGAATATCATTTGATACAACTCAAAGGGATTTAGAGTAAACAGGTGATAAACAGCCTGAGAATAGCATGACCTTGTACAATGACAAAATTCAAGTATGGATAGGAAGTAGGCCAATAAGTATGCATAACTGTAAAGCAATACCTATTAAGTTATTTTTTAATTTATTAAAAACAAAATCAATGTTAGTAAGTACAAGTCATGCTTTTAAATATATAAAATAAAATTGATCATTCATTTTCTGCATGCTATATATTTCTAAACACAGATTTATTCCATTAAGGGAAAAATATATATATATATCTGTTTACAGTTACCCGATTGACCCTACTTTTGAGTGCCGATCCTAAGTCTTTTTATTTCTGTTTTAAAGTGAAAATTTACTGAACTCGTGTTAAAAGTGAAGTTAGAGTTGCCAATAAAATAAATCAATTGCCTGATACATCCCAATGTTCACAATAATGAATATGACAGCTGTTTTAAGGAAACTCGCGACTCCTGTGATGAAATAAACACTTTGCCACCATTTTTTTCCAACCAATACTGTAAATTCAGAAATTATTGCGTGCATTTATTATTGCGATTTTGTCATTTTAGACTAGAATGCGATTTTAATTTTTGCGATATTGAGAAAAATCCTGTCTAATTCATATAAAAAAATTCAAAATGCGAGTTTAAATTATTGCGATTATAACCCTGTCGCATTTTTCGCAATAATAAAAACATCGCAATAATTTCTGAATTTACAGTAACCATGGGAAATAATCCAATCATTAAAGCTGTTATCCTAATGCTAGCAATTTAAAGGTTTGGTTGGCTTGCTTGCTTTGTTTGTTTAAATGTTTGCTCAAGCATTGTAATTAAGATTGACATCTACAATCAATAGATAGGCGGGACTTCAGCTTGTTTACATTATACATAACACCCAATAACATTTAAGTATCAATAATGTATACAAGCTGAAGCCCTGCCTATCTATTGATTGCAGATGCCAATCTTAATTACAATGCTTGAGCAAACATTTATACAAACAAAGCAAGCAAGCCAACCAAACCATTAAACTACAAGCATGAGGATAACAGCTTTAAAAATATGGGTAAACTCGGCCCATGGACAACTCTGACCACGCAAGACAGACAGCACAACTCAAAATCATGTCGCAAAAAATAAAATGGAAATACCGACCTACCTACCCTATTTTTTTTAATGATGTAACCTTCAACAGACATATATATTTTTTTTGGCCTAAACCATAATTAGACAAGATTTACTTTTCTCAAACCAGTTTGTGTGTCCAGAATTTTTGTCAGAATATGATTGTTCTTATGAAGTAAGCCTTTTCTAAAATCTCCTGGAATTGAAATAAAAATTATAGGAACAACAATAGTTCCTGTGACTGCGAGTTCGATCTGCTAGTCAAGTGCGTTTTGTTAAAATATACCTTTTTCACTCATTTGGTCTTTTGGAAAATGTTGTTTGTGCTGTATTTAGACCCCTCTAACAAGAAAATTGTTTTGCATTCAAAAGGTATAAAAATTGGTGTTTTTATCCAACACAATCATAGGATAGAACGTTGTTTTCAATTTAGACTTGTTTATATATATATATATGATTCCTAACATCACTGAAGAGACATTAATTGTCGAAATCCGGATATGGTGTACAAAAACCTTTGCACCTTTTGTTTGCAGTATACCATCTTTTCCGCAAGTTTATTGTTTTCTGTTTAGTATTAAATTAATAATTAAGATCCATTTATTACATCTGTGATCCGTTTATTTGGCAATCGCCAATGGCAGTCAGCAGGGTTTAAGAACATTTGTTGTTCCGACCTGTTAGTCAAAAGCGTTTTGTAAAAATATACTTTTTCACTTTTTTGGTCTTTTGGAAAATGTTGTTTGTGCTGTATTTAGACCCCTCTAACAAGAAAATTGTTTTGCATGCACACGTATAAAAATTGCGGTTTTTATCCAACACAATCATAGTTTTGAACGTTGTTTTCAATTTAGACTTGTATATATATATATATATATATATAAAATGAGGAATGGTTCTCACATAAGATTATATTGTATTTGGTAGAATTTGAAGAAAAACACAGTTTTACAAGAGTAACTTACTGCTCACCTTGATTTACTACTTGTACATTGAAGTAAAAAAGATCAAAGTACTGAAGTACTGAACATCGGATGACCGCAAGTTACAAGCACTTGTCTCAGAAAAAAAATCACATCTTTATACCTGAAAGTGAGGTTAATGTACAGATGTATTTTTTTTCTGAGACAAGTTCTTGTGTGGAAGATAAATAGATGAAAGGGAATTCAACATCACCGAAATAACTATTATATATATATATATATATATATATGTATTGTAGTGATACAAATCAATATACTCTGGTTTATATTAATATTAATATTTGTATATTACAGTTACATTTATATATAATTTTCATCCATTTGTATATCATTCTATTCTACTAATTAATAATAGTGCAGTGCAAGTGCATGGTGGCCACTCTTCTATAATAATTCGATTTTTCTTATAGATTGGATTTGAGTAGGCATTCATATTTTCCCGCAAAAAACGAGAGAGCATGTATCTGTATATAATCTTCACCTCCTTTATAGGAGATTGCAATCTTTCTTGAGATATTCCTCCGCATGCGTTTACACAATTTTTCTGTACGTCTGCATAGATATTAATAATTTTTACTTACATACATATAAAACATTTTAATATTATCAAATTATGTTCTAAAACAAATATTTGATGAGTATTCATTGAAGAAATGAATATATATTATATAGCTAGCGATAAGGAATGTTATTTTGCACTCGATGATGTCGGCGTATTTATCATGTTTATAGATCGGTTAAAAACCCAAAACTAATTTACATAATGGAAATTTGGGCGATAGCAATACACCGGAATGACCTCACGGTCATCTGCTGAAAAAAATCAAAATTGTTCAGTTGATAGCTGACCTGACTTTTAGGGTCAGTGTTGCTGCCATCATTTGGTATCAGATTAAAGAAAATGAACTAAAACTGGAATCAATGTTGCCTAGCATCCTACTTTGTTTTTAGCCCTTAGATACTCAGATACTCTACATGGTTCAGGTAGGTTTTGTTATTTAAGCCACTTTGAAATGAATTGCTGTACACTATATTTGTAAAGTATTGTGTGTCATTACTATATGTGAGGTCCAAGGTAAGCAATACAGGCTCCTGAGAACATTTTATGTTTTACTTCTTTCAACATGAATGCAATGTGAGGTGATGATAGATATTATATGGATAGATTATACTTTATCTCTTCAAGAATATGTCTTAAATGTTTGAAATGTGTTTATATATCTTTTCATATCTAAACACATAAGATTAGTAACAATATTATTTGTTTATATTTGTTTAGAATGGAATAAAAAAGATTTGGGATGCAATGACTGTTCATGATAGGTAGGGATGATTACATATACTCTTCATTTTATTATAAGAAAAACTGTAAACATAAACTCTGCAAATTTTACAGATTTTGCTGAATTTTTACACCACCACCAGAATTTAAACATTTTTGAGGTAAAATTTATTCTTCTTGAATTTTAACTTCTTTCAGTAAATATCATTACAATAAAAAGTTGCAACTGTTTATGTACATGTGAAACGGTTTATTTGTAAGGTATGCTTGTTGGAACAATTAAAGATCATAGTTGTTCATATTATATAGCAGTTTTATGATTTCTTTTCAGTGTTGTGATCCTCATCTACAATGTTACAAGACATGTCTTGGTGTTTGTTAAACAGTTCAGACCTGGTAAGATTTTCTAGTTGTTTTAATTTATTAAAAGAGTACATTAAGTCACATTTAGATATGTGTATCTCTGACACTAAAATAGATATGAAAATACACTTTTTTCTAAACCACTCAAACAGACAAAAATGATACAAATGATTTGCATAAAATATGGATACTTTCTAGAATTGATAAAACTCCATATACAAAGGTGTTGGATAATTATTGAAATTGATCATTTAAATTTTTTGTAATGATTTCAATAGACCACTTTCGAGTTCGTTGCACTTCTGTCAAAAACTTTGGTTTCAGTTTAGGGGCATCGTCACTTCCTTCCTATGTTGAGTGATCGGTTGAAAAAATATGGTGCTATATTGCACGTATTATTTGGCAAATTAAATTCTTATAATTGATAATCAGCACTGCTGTCAGAATGACATTAGGGAATTGTGATTAAGTACCTACGGAACAAACATTATTTCTAGTTTATCCTGCATAATGACGATCACGAAGACGAATGGTGAACTTTAATAGTGCAGGTATACAGGTGGTCCCCTCTATCTGGTAAATGACGTCATAAAGGTGCGCATAATTGACGAACTTTTCCGGTGAAGGACATAACTAGAAAGTGGTGTATTGGGGAATTTTATCCTTTTTTCATGCATTGACTTAGAGATTACATAGTTATCTCCCATTGCACAGTTCTACATATTCGTTGTATGAATTACAAATTAAGGAAATTGAGTGGATAAACATGTCACGTTGGGACCTTTTATAGCTGACTATATGATTAATTTGATGACAGGTTCATATTAGCATTTAATTGGACTAAAACTAAGGAGACTTTGAAAATGGGTAAAATTGGAGATTTTTATAGTTTTAGCCTTTGAAAGATAAATTTCAGCATTGACTTAAGGTACAAAGTTACCAGCATAAGACTATCATATAAAAATAGCTTTTTCTGAACAGCCAATTGATTTGACCAAATTGACCAGTTAGTTCTTGCAAACTGTAACATGAATTTCTCCTCTGGTAACCATATTTTTTTTACACCTAACATGTTAGACACTTATTTATCTTACTTATATATACCATTTGTTGAACATCACATGCAAGCTTTTCATTTTTACACATTTAAATGTAATATATCATTTTGAAAACTGCTGACAGCACTTTATGACCTAATTAGATTTGTAAACATGTATAAAGGTAGGATACATAGAGTTGCATTACATAGATATTATTTTTGTTGGGTGTGTTGCCGCCAGTGTTTCCTAAATCAAAACTATCTAGAAATAAAAGAATTAGTGTCAAAATACATTTTATGACTCATAATTTATAGTTATAAGCTTTAAACTATTTTGAAATATTTTTTTTGTCAGCCTTATAAATCGAAATATATTTTGTAGAAATGGTGCCTTAATTTCAAGTTTGAAATTTAATAATCCCATTTTGTACCAACTCCTTTCTACTTACCTTATCTTTGAAATAGTAAAAGTATTAAAATTTTAAGAGTTTTAAAACTTTATTTCATGTAATGCTTGATATTTTGTGGGATGGTTCTTTTTCAGCTCACCTGGCTCAAAGGGCCATATGAGCGTTTGCCATCACTTTGCGTCCATCGTTCTTCGTCCATAAACTTTTTTATAAAATTTTCTCTTCTGAAACTGATTAATAGATTGAAACCAAATTTTGTCTGCTTCATCTATAGGATTTCTACAATAAATTTTGTTATTGTAGTCCAGGTAGATCCACTATCCTGGCCACCGTGTCTAAAAATAGATCATAATAGGGGTCAAACTACAGTTTTGGAAAACATCTTTTAAACTATTTAGAGAAAGTCTGACAGGGTAAAAATGTAAGTACAACCAGTCCAACCTTGAAAATTTGGGGAAAATCTGTCTACCTGTTTTGGAGTTATTGCCCCTGAAATGTTGCTTTCTGACTTTTTTGGCATTTCCTTACCATTGTTTCAAATTCTATTGGAGTTAGGTAAAAAGTGTAAATTCCAAAAATGGCCAGCATGAGAAGATGTTTCCACCCTGAAAATTGGAGAAAATCTGATGTCTTGATATGGAGTTATATCCCCTGAAACATTGATTTTTTTCCAATTTTTAGCAGTTGTTGCAGTTATTATGAAAATTATAGGAACTAGGTTGAAAGTGTAAATTGCAAAAAGGTTCAACACGACAAGACATATTTACCCTGAAAATTGAACAAAAAAATCTGTTGACCTGTTTTGGAGTTATTGCCATTGAATGGAATAATAATTTTTGTAAACAAAAAAGTTTTTGGCTGTTATCATGAAAAATATAGGAGCTAGGTTCAAAGTAAATTTCAAAAATGATCAGCATCATAAAGAGTAACTACAGTATATATACATGTATATAAAAGTCCTAATTAGCAAAATGGTGATTTTTTTCACCAGTTAAGCAATTCGGGCAAAGGTGTGTATCTTGTTAAATCTTCTTTTACTTATTTATCTTTTTTAGCTGTATACCTTTGCAGTTCGAAAGTTTCAGAAGTGGATGGACAACAGGTTATTAATCATGAAGATAATCCAGCTAGTTTAGGTTTAACATATGAACTTTGTGCTGGTATTGTTGATAAAGATACCAGTTTAGAACAAATAGCTCAGGCAGAGGTATTGGAGGAGTGTGGGTATAAAGTACCTCTTGATAGACTTGAAAGAATGTGTTCTTGTAGGTTAGTATTCAATTATATATTTTAACAACAAATTCAATTTTAACATATGACACTAATTTAAGTGGGCATGTGTACAATTTCATTGGGTGAGTATGAAATATGCACAATTGCAGTGGGCATGACCTTTGTACCTTAGAAACCAAAAGATTGAAAAGTCAAATACATAAAATATATCGAATCATCAAAAGGCCTGTTTAGAATGATAGAAGGACAGTCAAAATTGTCTTAAGATCATCTTTGCATTAGGGCTTTGCAATCTTATTATTTTGATCTTCAAGCTTGATATACATGTACATAATATTAACATATATCAGAAATGTCCAGTTGATAAGTTTTCAGTAATCACCAGTAAAAGTTAATAAGTTCTTCCTTGTATTTTTCATCAACTCTGGTATTATATTCTATTCATATTGTAAATCAAGCATATTATTGCAGACCTCAGATTGAGTTGTAAAGGAATAGACATCATCAGTATATATCATATACAAATGTTCTTTGTTACAAAAACTGTTACTTGTAAAAAAATATATATTTCCAATAACTCAGGAGTTCTGGTTTTTAAAAATGTTAAACAAGTGGAAATTTGTCTTCTTAGTGCTCTCATGTCTACCTTTCATGACAGATTTTTATCCCAGATTTGTAGGGTTCATTTTTTTTAGTTTTTAGTTTTTATGACCTGCCTACGTTTCATTAGGATGGGGGATGGGGTTGCCACTATTTTCCCTGTTTGTGCATCCCATCATTGTAGGTCCCTCAAATAACAAGTTAAAGTTTTGATTTTAAGTTGTTTCAATACCATGAAGTTGTTGCCACTGTTTTTTGTCTCGCTTGACAGAGTCAAAAAGCGAGACATAGGTATACTGTTTCTGGCGGGGTCAACAATGTATTAGTTTGTGATTAGGTCTAGTTTGTGGTGAACCACAAGTTGTAGGTCAATCATATTTGGTATACAGTTGGTATACAGTTGTATTAGCATTGGCACATTGGCACATTGGCACATCTCATTTCCATGGAGTTTATTTGGCTCTGCCCCCTCAGTCATGGTATATTGACTTTGAAACTTTTGCTTATTTTACATGTATTAGTTTGTGATTAGGTCAGTTCAAGGGGAACCATTAGTGGTAGGCCAATGTTAATTAATATTCAGTTGTATAAGCATTAGCACATCTCATTTCAATGGAGAATATTTGGCCCCTCAGTCATGGCCTATTGACTTTGAAACTTTTGCTTAATTTACATGTATTAGTTTGTGATAAGATCAGTTTAAGATGAACTGCCAATGTTAAGTCAATGATATTTGGTATGCAAATTTATTGGCATTTGTAAGTATCATTTCCATGGAGATTATATAGCTCCACCCCCTCTTCATGGTTCATTGACTTTGAAACTTTTACATAGTTTACAAGTTAATATTTGTGTTTAGATTTGTTTAAAGGGAACAACTTATAATAAGTCAATGGTATTTGGTATGCAGTTGTATTAGCATTGGCGCATCTCATTTACATTGAGATGGTTTAGCCATGTACCTCAGTCATGGTTCATTGACATGAATATTAGCCTAACTTGTTAAGTATTGCCAATTTAATTTCAACATTTGCATAATCAAAATTACAAAAAAGCGAGACATATCTCTGTGATAACAGTTTATTGTGTTTTAGGTGACCTTGACAAGGGTCATTAATGGTCCTACACCTTGTGGAGTTTTGTTTTACATATTCTCAGCTTGAAGAATTTAGAATTGAACAGCTATGAAACTTTTGACGACTATTTTACTTATTGTAACTTACCAAATTTTCACATGACAGACACAACAGGTCACTAATGAAGCAGACCAGTTTGCCTCAACCAAATGCTATAAAACTTATACACAATGCTTATCACCACAAAACACAGATCAAGTTTGAAATTTGAGTTATGCCCCTTTATAAATGGAAAAATTGCTAAAGCTGTCGTTTCTGTTCTCTGATAAAATTGAGAACGGAAATGGGGAATGTGTCAAAGAGACAACAACCCGACCAAAGAGCAGAAAACAGCTGAAGGCCACCAATGGGTCTTCAACACAGTGAGAAAATCCTGCACCGGGAGGCCGGCTTCAGCTAGCCCCTAAACAAAAATGTGTACTAGTTCAGTGATAATGGAGGGACGTCATACTAAACTCCAGTTTGCCTCAACCAAATGTTATTGAACAATGAGAGCACTCAAACCTGCAAATAATTTCTAATGACAACATGTAGAAATGTATGTCATTAACTTAAAAAGAAAAGAAAATGTCAATAATTAGTACATTGACTCATGCATATTTTCAAGCCGTGGCATCTGTGGGCCATAGACACATTCTCCATTTATTTGGGGTCATTTTGCTCAATGTTTAGATGTGATGCCCTGTCTACAATTTATTATGGTCCGTTCTTCCCATAAATGGTTTAAGTTTTGGTTTATGGTAGTTTACCATGAAGTTATGGTCAAATCATTTCAAAGATAATTGTGGTATGTCATTGTCTTATTTCAGAGCTGGTGTTGGAACTGCTGGGGCTTTACAAACAATGTATTTTGCTGAAGTGACAGATGCTATGAGGGTTTCTAAAGGAGGAGGGATAGAAGAAGAGGGAGAAATGATAGATGTAGTAGATATATCTGTTTCAGAGGCCATGGACTTTGTCATGGATGATAATGTAAACAAACCTGTTGGAATGATGTTTGCAGTGTTATGGTTCTTTCAGAACAAAAATAAACATTATTCCTCAAAAATTTGACCAACAAACTGTAATAGGGTTATTACTAGTATTCTACAAAAAAAAAACAATTTGATGCACATGCTCTTTGTGTTTTATTGTATAATGGCAGCATTTTGATATTGTTTTCACAATTTTAGTAACTTTTTGGTTAAGCTAACATGAAATGTCATAATTGTGATAGATTATACCTAATTCAAAAAAACTTGACCTTTGTCAGTCTTTTTTCCAATGTTCATACAATCAGATTTTTGTAACAGATTCTTTAGCATCAGTGACTTAATCTAAAGCATACACATATAGCTTTTTTGTTGATCTGCATTTTTGGATTGCAAATATTGTGTTGGCTTAAAGGTGACATTTTTTTAAACATATTTTTAGAGATTAATTATTCCCAAATAAAAGGAAACATTTACTGATAAAATAAAGTTACTGTGGAAATATCTGTGAATTTGTTAATACTGTTCCACTAAGACTATAATGTTGAATTGCTTTGTAAGTTGGTATGACTCATTTATTAATGATGCTCTGATAAAAAATTCACAAAATTTCCTTTATCTATAAATCATACATGGTGATTACAACTTTTTATGCCCCATTTATGGGCATTATGTTTTTCGGTCTGTGCGTTCGTTCGTTCGCCCGTTCGTCCTTCTGTCCCGCTTCAGGTTAAAGTTTTTGGTCAAGGTAGATTATGATGAAGTTGAAGTCCAATCAACTTGAAACTTAGTACACATGTTCCCTATGATATGATCTTTCTAATTTTTATGCCAAATTAGAGTTTTGACCCCAATTTCAAGGTCCACTGACCATAGAAAATGATAGTGCGAGTTGGGCATCCAGGTACTATGGACACATTCTTGTTAAGTAATGATGTTGTCTCTTTTTCTTTTACTTAATTGCCTCTGTGGTATCTTTTCCATCTTTTTGGTTGCACGATTGATATAAAATTTAGATGTATGGTCACTAAACTCATGAGAGAAGGGTGTTTATTATAGACTATGGGCCAGTTTTAATTATTTTTAAAGAATGTTAGTTCAAACCTTCATGCTTGTACATAAGCAATATCACCAACTTATATGGTAAGGCTAGAGTCATGTCTGCATCCCTGAAAGCAGTAAAGTTTTTACCAAAATTCACTAATGAGAACCCTTAAGTGTTCAAAAGAATGTAAAATACCACTATATTGATATGTCGCCATCTTGACGGCTTCCCTATAAAAAAACCACATGATATCTATAAACCACAAAGTACTAAAACAAGCAGGGACTAACATAGTCACAATTTAATGTTGAAATCACTTGCAAGGGGTACGGTTGTTTTAACCAGACAAAGTAATGACAAAAGCAATCACAGTTTTCCGGATCCTAAAAAAAGAATTACACCAAACATGGTTGTATACTACCTGTCATCAAACTTTTTAAACTAACTTGATACGGAACCATGTTTAAATAAAATGCTTCGCTGGGGCGCAGCTTGATACGACCGCGGAGGTCGAACCCTGAACAGTTGGGGCAAGTATGGACACAACATTCAAGCTTGATACAGCTCTGAATTTGGATTGTTATTAAATATTTGACACAGCATAGGTTTCTGACACAGAAAGAATGTGGTCTAAGAACTTGAATTTTTTTAATTTACCTATTATGGTCCAATGTCCAAAATCAAAATACATGGTTAGATTCAGCATATCAAAGAACCCCATATATTCAATTTTTGTTAAAATCAAACAAAGTTTAATTTTGGACCCCAACTTGGACAAACTTGAAAACTGGGCCCATAATCAAAAATCTAAACACATGTTTAGATTCAGCATATCAAAGAACCCCAAGAATTCAATTTTTGCTAAAATCAAACTAAGTTTAATTTTGGACCCTTTGGACCTTAATGTAGACCAATTTGAAAAACGGGACTTAAAATTAAAAATCTAAATACACGGTTAGATATGGAATATCAAAGAACCCCAATAATTCAATTTTTGATGAAATCAAACAAAGTTTAATTTTGGACCCTTTTGACCTCAATATGAACCAATTTGATAGCGGGGCCCACAAATAAAAATTCTAAATTCATGGTTAGATTCAGCATATCAAAGAACCCCATATATTCAATTTTTGTTGAAATCAAACAAAGTTTAATTTTGGACCCCAACTTGGACCAACTTGAAAACTGGGCCCATAATCAAAAATCTAAACACATGTTTAGATTCAGCATATCAAAGAACCCCAAGAATTCAATTTTTCTTAAAATCAAACTAAGTTTAATTTTGGACCCTTTGGACCTCAATGAAGACCAATTTAAAAAACGTGACCCAAATTAAAAATCTAAAAACACGGTTAGATTTGGCATATCAAAGAACCCCAATAATTCAATTTTCGATGAAATCAAACAAAGTTTAATTTTGGACCCTTTTGACCTCAATATGAACCAATTTGATAGCGGGGCCTACAAATAAAAAATCTAAATACATGGTTAGATTCAGCATATCAAAGAACCTCATATATTCAATTTTTGTTGAAATCAAACAAAGTTTAATTTTGGACCCCAATTTGGACCAACTTGAAAACTGGGCCCATAATCAAAAATCTAAATACATGTTTAGATTCAGCATATCAAAGAACCCCATATATTCAATTTTTGTTGAAATCAAACAAAGTTTAAATACTGGACCCTATCTTAGACCAACTTGAAAACTGGGCCCATAATCAAAAAACATGTTTAGATTCAGCAAATCAAAGAACCCCAAGAATTCAATTTTTGTTAAATCAAACTAAGTTTAATTTTGGACCCTTTGGACCTCAATGTAGACCAATTTAAAAAACAGGACCCAAAATTAAAAACCTAAATACACGGTTAGATTTGGAATATCAAAGAACCCCAATAATTCAATTTTAGATGAAATCAAACAAAGTTTAATTTTGGACCCTTTTGACCTCAATATGAACCAATTAGATAACGGGGTCCACAAATAAAAAATCTAAATACATGGTTATTCAGCATATCAAAGAACCCCATATATTCAATTTTTGTTGAAATCAAACAAAGTTTAATTTTGGACCCCAATTTGGACCAACTTGAAAACTGGGCCAAAAATCAAAAATCTAAATACATGTTTAGATTCAGCATATCAAAGAACCTCATATATTCAATTTTTGCTAAAATCAAACAAAGTTTAATTTTGGACCCTTTGGACATTAATGTAGACCAATTTGAAAACTGGACCCAAAATTAAAAATCTAAATACACTGTTAGATTCGGCATAACAAATAAATAAATGTGATCAAAGATTTTACAAATCTAATGCGCCATACTGTGCAATTAAAGATTACTTCTTGAAATTTTTCAATATTTGAAATTTGAAAAAAAAATAACATTTGAAGAATAATTCTTTTTAATTTCTGAAATCTGAAATGAGAAAAAATTGGACCCCCACAATTTCTTTTTATCCCCCCCCCCTTTTTCCCCAAAAAAAATTCTTTCCCTCAAGATATGGTCATAATCTCAATTCAAATTTCCAATGGAGTTGGCAACCATAATTACCCATTTAAATTTACCATAGTGCTAACTTAATCTATTTTATAATAGAATTAATAAAAATATAGTGTCAAATCTTTCATATGGATTTTTTTGTAAAAAAAAAAGATGAAAACATTTGCAGATATTTTTACTGGTCTTCCTTTATAAATATGCATTTCTTTAAACATAATTTAAAAGCAGTGTAAGGGAAGTAACCAAAACGTTGTATTTGGATTACCTCCCTTACACTGTTTTAGATTATCTTTATTGTTCATTAACCATTACTTTATACATAATTTAAAAGCAGTGTAAGGGAGATAATTTCAATGATGTATTTGATTTATCTCCCTTACACTGCTTTAAATTATGTTTTGTACTAAAGTATTTGTCCATTAACCAGGACAACCTTGTTTTTCCCCCTTTTTTGCCCCTAATTCCTAAACGGTTTGAGCCATAACCCCCCAAAGCAAATCCTAACCATCCCTTTGTGGTATGGAAACTTGTAGTATAATTTCAGAGAGATCCATACACCGTTCCACAGTTATTGTCTGGAAACTAGAAAATGCTCATTTTTGGCCCCTTTTTGGCCCCTAATTCCTTAACTGTTGGTACCATAACCCCCAAAATCAATCCCAACCTTCCTTTTGTGGTATTTAACCTTTTGGTCAAATTTCAAAAAGATCCATACACTTAAACTAAAGTTAGAGTGCGAAAACCAATATGTATTCGGACGACGACGACGACGACGACGCCGGACGACGACGACGTCGACGCCAACGTCATACCAATATACGACCACAAAATTTTTTTGCGGTCGTATAAAAAGGTATAAAAGTCGGCCGATTGGACATCTATTTTTTCTTAAATTACTATGGTCTGTCGTTTTTTACATCGTTATTTTTTTTACTAAGATTGTGAAACAAGTAAATGTATAGAATTACTGTAGAGCAATTACTTTTATGGATTCTCTCAAAGTTTAAATTCATAATTAACGAGCAGGGTTCCGTGTAAAGTTGTTTTTCAAAAATCTAATTTGGTCATAAATCTTTTATGCAATACATTTATTTAAGTCTTTTCTTCTCTAATTTGATCATCAGCATGGCTAAAGGAATTATTGCCAGAGGTATTGTGAGGTGACACGTCCAGGTATTCAAGCGATTTCCTGTCGGGCTAAAAAACTCTTTTATTAGACAATTACATAATGCAGGTTCATTCATCGCTTTACTGCTTAGCGTACATGTATCAGTATACACGGCCGGTAACTTGTAACTTTCCATTTAAAAACTATCAGATGTAATATACATCATTTGTATATTTTTTGTCTTGAGTCCGACAGTGATATAATACTAGTCATTGCTAAACTCATACGTGTATACAATTTTACTACCACTTGTTTATGAATGACATTTCTGGTGTAAAGAATGATATTTATGAAAATCTAAATAATTCAAGCTAAAGATTTGAGGAAATAAAATCTATTTAGATACTTCCTACGGTAAAGTTTGGAAAAATACTTGTCAATAATTATGGAAAATTTGAAACATAGATATAAGAAGATGTGGTATGAGTGTCAATGAGACAACTCTCCATCCAAGTCACAATTTGTAAAAGTAAACCATTATAGGTCAAAGTACGGCCTTCAACACAGAGCCTTGGCTCACACAGAATAGCAAGCTATAAAGGGCCCAAAAAATACTAGTGTAAAACCATTCAAACAGGTAAACCAACGATCTAATCTATATAAAAAACGAGAAACACTTATGAACCACATCAACAAACGACCACCACTGAACATCAGGTTCCTGACTTAGGACAGTTGCAAACAAAAAAATGCAGCGGGTTTAAACGTTTTACTAGAGAAAACAACACAAGCGACATAAGTATCTACTTTATACATTAAATGTTACTTAACAATGGTATTTGTACG